GTACAAGACCGAAGACGACGACCGATAACAGAAGGAAGAACGGAGACAAGAACTGACAACAAGCGAACAGAGACGAGGACCGATAACAGAAGAACAGAGACAGGGACCGATAACAGAAAGAATGACACCAAGCGAACGGAGACGAGGACCAATAACAGAAGAACAGAGACGAGGACTGAAAACAGAAGAAGAGAGACAGGGACCCGGGAACACAAGAACTGACAACAAGCGAACGGAGACGAGGACCGATAACAGAAGAACAGAGACAAGGACGTGGACCGATAACAGAAGAACAGAGACAGGGACCGATAATAGAAGAACTGACATCAATCCTCACTCCGTTGTCTTGTTAACAGAAAAATAGAGACGAGAACCAATAACAGAAGAATTGACAACAAGAAAACGGAAACGGGAACCGATGACAGATGAACGGATAAGAACGAAGACGAGAACCGATAACAGAAGAACAAAGACGACGACTAAAAACAGAGACGTGCACCGATAACAGAACATCTGACAACAAAAGAACGAAGACGACGACCGATAACAAAAACCGAGCATCAAAACCCAAGAGTACGCAGAGAAAGGTGCCTTTAATTAATGTATATGTTTAACCTCCTCACACATACGCAGTAGGAATCTGAGTAGTCACGCTATATGCTTGCATAGAGTGCCAGATAAAATACATGATAGGGCAGGGAAGAGTGAATGTTCGCTGCGTAAACCCTAAATACAGGTCTCTTATGTTTAAATGCCTTAAAATTTTCAGTACTATCTTTAGTATTACTTCTATATTAGTACGTGTATTATATTGGCCTATAGAAAAATGTCCACCATCTTGGATTATTCGGCCATATTGGATTGTTTTGTTTGTTTAATTCTGTTTTGGTGTCTAATTTGATTTTACCTAAACATGCTTTGTATCAAATTTCAGGTTTTTCCTTTCCTTAAAAGTTTTATTTGATATATCATCCATTTGATATATCATCCATTTCATGTTAAAGAAATTTGGCGCCCATTTTAGTGGTCATTTCAAATGGCCATTTCAATAGTCAAGATCAAGTTTTTCAATTTGGTATCCACCTTTACCGGATTCATCAAACCTAAAATAGGTAAAATAAACCAAGATACCACTTGTACTACAAAATGCCTCTAGCATCTTATAGGGAGCCAAGTTCTCAAAGTCAGTCCTGTCTATTACAGGTATTCTAATGTATAAGTCGTTAAAATATCTGATAGATTATATGGTGCAATATAAACAGTTGTTATAATATATATATAACCATGACCAGACCATTGTAAGGCGAGAGTTATATAACAAACAAATCTTTATATTTATTACATGTCAAAAGTTTTTTTTAACGGATTTAATATAACAAACAGAATGATACTCTATTTGCAACAGCTCTGCATATCGGCTCCGGTTATTTAAATTAACAACCGTTACACTGAGATATATAACCTCTTTTTCTTTTTTTACACAACTTAATATTTATTTGACTGAATACTTTAAGGCAAATTATGCTCCAGAAAGGAATATGGTTATTGCATGTTTAGAAATGGCAAACATGAGTTTTATAAGTCGTTCAAATAATGTTTTTAAAAGCAAAAACAAGCAGTTCAGGTAATTGGCAAATAAGTAACTTTTTGGAACTTAAACAGTACTCTAAAAATAAAAAAGCTTTTGAAAAAGAAAAATGATAGCATTTCTCAAGCATAATGGGCCTTAAATGGTAAAAATACATCCCGTCTGCGTGCGAGTTCATGTTTACGAATGTTAACAGAAAGTCGGAAATACGGAAACAAGTTTCTCGATTTTGTTTTTTACTTGATTGTTACATTATTAAAGTTACATTAAATAAATATGTCAAAATAGTTTGCCGTCGGCCTAATAACCAAGCATTCTACTGTTTTATTAACCTTATTAACAGTATTGTTGTAAATCTCATCAAATAGTGTTCATAAATTAAGATTTTAAACGGAAAACCCCACGGTAACACTAAAGTTCGTATAGTAACAATCTGTATCAGTTAGTAATAGTATACTGTAATTTTTACATTTTGATTTTTAATGAGGTTTAGCTCATGTTTAGTAGTATGTGATCCACAAGTGACTGTGTATATATGTCAATCGGACTATAACTGTCATAGGCCTGTCAAAACCTTATCAAACCTCAATTAACTAATATAATTATGTGTGTACACGTGGCAGTGAAAATTAAAAACATTGAATTTTATTCCCTTTTTTTCAATTGAAACAAAGCGAGTTTTTATTATTTTCATTAATTATGATATAACGTATAAGTAAATGAATATTAAAAAAATATTTAAAAAAAGATGAAAGGTGGACTCTTTTAAATTTAAATGTCCGACTTTGGACAATTACTATCGGCTGGGAGTGTTGGCGTACTCCTGTAATCTAGCTACTTAGAGGCCGGGATCTGAGGACGGTTTGAGGGTGGGAGCCCTACTGTCAGCCTGTCAGTGTCGATCGGGCGTCCGCACTAAGCCCGGCATCAATATGGGACACTCGGGGGAGCCTGGGTGGTCCAGGTTGTCTAAGGAGGAACGTATCGGCCCAGGGTGGAAACACAGCAGGCAAAAGTTCCCGTGTTGGACAGTAGTGGGATAGCGCACGTGAATTGGCAACTGTCAGTAGCCCGTCCAATACAACTGGACTCGATCCTTTTGTTTTTATTTTGGATTTTAATTTATTTTATTCACTTTAAAATGTTTTGTTGTATTTTTTTTCAGTCATGATCGCGGAATCAGAACAATGTCTGACCCAGAATGGCTAGAGATCATAGGTCATCCAACCATACCGCACGTGCAATCATTACGCGCGCCCCCTGCTCAGGTGGCGCTCCATTCCAACAAGGAGAATCTGATTGGCTTAGCGAGCAGAAACCAATCGAAACGCTACTTGGAAAAGTTACAGAAGGAGCGGGAAAGGAACCAGGAGGTTCTGACTGAATGTGTTGACAACCTGCCAATAGTCATTCGGTTTGTATAGTTTCCTTGATTTTATTAGAAACAGTGGGGGCTATTTATTAAACATGGATAGAATAGAATAGAATAGAATACATCATAGAAAGCGAATTCTTTAGATTATTGAGGGCGTTGCTTATATTTCTTTAAAAAAACCAACCAACCAACCAACCTAACAAACAAAAAAACACGTTAAACGACCGTTTAACTGTGTTTTAGTCCACCCGACTTTTTCTATTTACTTAAATGGTATATTTTGCATTTATTTCGATGCAGCTCCAGAAAACGTTCTCCCTTTATCTGTAAGTGACAAACATAAAACTTGATGTCATCAGAATGAACTAACTGTGGCGAAAATAATCAAAATTTTATACTACGACATTGTCCATATAATATTGTCCATATATTGCGCAAAATATGGGAGGGAAGTGGTGAAGTTAGTCCTAGATTGGCCTCTGTTGAGCTTTACTTTTGCCATATATATAGTCACAGAAATTCAACAAGTATAATTAAAAGTGATTGCACATATGGCGTACATATATTATTTTAAATCTATATGTTAGTTGTGAAATTTTAGTAACAGTTATTAGTGGGTAGTATAGTTCGTTCGGTTTACTATAAAGCAGCACGCCTCCAGATTCATGTTAATTTTCATGAAAATCTTGGAAATGTATTTAGAAGTAAAATATTGTGAGGTGAAGAAATAAAATAATTTACATATTGCAATCGGCACTTACAATCCACGAAAAATACCGAAAAGTGGTCAACATATTCAAAAACAACCCATAGTACTGCGTTAGTAACGCAGAGTACTGCGTTAGTAACGCAGTAGAAATATGGTGGTAAAATACTGTAAAATCAGTGTTAAACCGCACATAACATGTAAAATAACTTGGATCTTGAATGTTTGTACCTTTCTTAAAGGTTTAGTGCATTTTTCTCAATATTGATTAACATTATAATTCTTTCTGGTTTTTGCAGGGAGTTTTTTTTTAATGTATTTATTTTTTGATATATTTTATTAAATTGTAACATTACTTGTAAATAGTGTTTAATGGAATGACCTATACATTGGCATTCAAATTTCTCTTTAACAGAACATTACGTGAACGCGTACGCCAAAATATATAGGTTTTTTCTATGACGTATTGCACGTTGATATTGATCTAAACAGTGTGTATATATCTACAAATATATTGTTTGCTTTCTTTTAAATATATGAAATAGCTTTGTATAATTGACTGCCAAAAATGAAATTTGATAACTTTCCATAATGACTGTGAACGTAATTAAAGACCTATACCCTTTTAAGTAGTTATAACAGAAACTGTCAAGTATCTGTATGATTTATTAAGATCCTGTAATAAAGATGTTTGATTTTAAGACAGAAAATCTTTAGGCTTTTGAATCGTTTATTATTTTGTGGCCGGTAATTTACTCAATAAATCAATTATTAAGCACTTTTTATTAAGAAACAAAATACGTTCAACCTATTTTAGCAACAATTTGCGAACGGATCTATTGAGCCTATAATAGAGCATACCGGAAGTGCTTTGGTTTAATATGAAATGAATGCTGGTCTTATTTTGTGAGCGTGCGAGCGGGTTAGCGCGTGGAGTTATTTATAGATATTTCAAGAAGTCTTTCGGATCGTAATTCTGAAACAAATGATCTTTTAAATAGTTTCTTCTTTTGTTGACAAATTTCAGTGGTAATTATAGCTGTAGATAAGTATTCCAGTGTACAATAGCACTTAGGTTGTTTATGAGGGCAAGATAAGATTTTTAAAATGTTGACTTTTGAAGGCATGAATGGGTAATTTAGTGATTAAGTACTTACTGAATACATCTATGCAATAATGTGGATACAGCATGTAAAGAAAACCGTTTGAAGAACTACTGATAAAAAGTGCATTATTTTTACGACTGATTTAAAGCATTTTTCTTCTTCGTAACGAGCAGTTGTAACAACGTGGGTGTAAGGAAAACACTAAATAATATCTAATTGTGTATTTAAATATTTCTGTGATTTTTAAAGTTTTATATAATTTAAATTGATTTAAGTACTGATATAGTTTACAAATTCGGACTTAAATAACCCCATTATTAATGAATCTGTCAAGAGAACTCGATTCATTGGCACTTGATTAATGACGAGACTAATCGAATTCATCAATCGGATAACTTGATTACATTACCTTAATGATATTCTATTAAAACAGAAAATTACTTTTCCAGTGGCATTCCAATGTAGCACGTTTTTCATTGCCATCGTGTTTATTTACTATAGTAAGCTTTGATAACAGTGTTTAAACAGAATAATAAGCAGTGTATTAGGTCCTTATATTCTAAAATTGGATATATTAAAGTTAATTTAAACAAGTATAAATATTTTGATAATGTTCGCTACCTAATTTACTGTGTGTTTTTGATAATGCATGAAAATTGCAATGTTATTTTTTAAGTCAAGGCTAAAAGCTAAAATCTTGAATGGAGATTCACGGAAAGATCGCGTATTCGTCGGCTAATTCCAACGGATTGACCTTTCTTAGGTGATATTAAAATGCATAAATATATATATAGCTTAATTTGATTTTAGCTGTAAATCAGCGTGACCTGGTTAATTCTATTCAAGGATTACTAAATTTGAAATATCAGTCATTTAAAAAAATGCACGAAATCGGGATATGCCATTTCAATTGAATACTTAGATCTATTATATCGATGAAAATATGATTTTGGGAGAAAAAAAAAATAATACAGAGTTCCTAATGATAAAGAAAATAGTGAAAATGTGATAAACTGGAATTAAAAGAATAAAATAGCTCTTGAAGCGTAGTGAAGCTATAGTCTTAATCTTGGACATTGACTTATATATTGGGAAAACTTGGATTACATTGGAATATAAAGTAAAGAAAATGATACAAATACATTATCGTTATATTTGATGTGATAAGGATTTTCGGGACTCCAGGAAGAATGTTCTTTCCAAAAATACCAACTGGCATAAGGTACATATGCATTAAAAAAATTCAATTAAGTTTTACAAAATATGGTTAAAATAAGTTTAGTTTTTTTTTAATTTAATTTAATTTTCCTGTCCGTACTTATGACATTGATTATTTCAATCTTTGTTTCGATTTATTTAATCCATTCATTGTGAATATAAGGAAAAAAATAACAACTGCAAACAATTCATTTGCGTGTTTCGCGTCTAAAGCATGTTCCTTAAATCCCACATAATGTTTTTGTATGCACTTGTAAATATATAAAATAGATGGCAAGGCTAAGTTCATTCCAATATTACAGACAATAAGACAGGTTTACAAGATAAAGTCTTTATGTTATTATAAGCTTTCCTGAGAACGTTTTATTTATTGTTGTCCGAAAAAAAAAATAATTATGAGCATTGAAAAAGAAAACTATCTTTGTATACTTTGTAGCGTGAAACATTTGATTAAAGACACATTTATGCCTTGAGGAGGCCAAATATGAGGTTTTTAACATTAAAACACCAGGTAACGGTTTTCGAGTATGATAGATGCTTATTATCTGAGAAAATTAGTACTGAATATGAAATTATTTGTCACTTAAGTAAAAAAATGTAAGTAAAGTAGTAATTTGACTTCCATATAAAGTAATAAATCACTATAATTGTACTAACTACCAAAAATCAACATAATCAAAATATGGTTCAGGTTATTTTGCTAGTGATAGCTTTTTGGAAACTATAATGAGACTATAACGGAAAACAAAATCGCAATAAATCAACTAGTTACTTGTATATGTACATGTATATGTTCTTTACAATCAACAGTGTGCATGGGCTAATTTCTAACGCTGAAACATCACGATAAAGTTTACACACCTTCGACTAACAATATACATGTACGCTTAAATTTGTTACAACAATTCTGTTATATCTATTATTTCATATTTTTAACAAATACCTTTTTTACTACCATCACTTTATCGACACCGAAATTGACCAAAATATTTATAATCTTGTCATCGATGCAATATTTTATCTATATATTAAAAAAATCAGTTAAAAATATCTTAATTTCTGTTATATTGTTAACTTTATTTAACAGAAAAAAATACATTTTTCTTTTTCTTCTTTAATAAAAAGATATAGCATTGCATGAATAACAAGATTAAACATATGTTAGGTCAAATCAATGCGATTAGCACCTTTGCTTAAGTCACAAAGCACAGGTTCAAAGCCAAGGCAAGTCCACTGCACCAATTTATCAGTGGCAGGGTTAAATATGTAACATTATTTATATGTTAATAACACTTAACAGAAAAAAGAGCAGTTTGACGATTTTATCAAGTGACTGCGCACCTTCAAGTGGTAAAGAGATATATTTGCTTAAGCTGGGAATGAAGTTCAAGAGATAAGGTTATAAAACACTATCGATTTTACGCCAACCGGTGTTTGAATAGAAATTAAATCAGTGACATTCAATGAAACAATTATTAAAGATTATATTTTCAAAAACTGAGTATAGCATTTCCTAAATTATGTACAATTCTTTGGCTCATTTGTAATTTAGAATATGATTATCATTAGACCAAATTTATAAAAAGCTACCTTTTCATATGTAAACACGTTCAAAGGCGCTGGAATAAATACTTGTAAACTGTGTTGGTGGGTTTTAAGTCTGATTTGTGATGTGCTCATCATATTGAGAGTATATAATAAAATGATGTAATGCCTTCTTAGAGGGCAGGAATTCTTTACATGTTTCTTGAGGACTGGCAAATTTCATAAAATAACACATTGGGTTCTTTCATTTCAGCCAAATGGTTTACCCAGAAAAGCCCTCGCCGAAACAGCCGTGGAGGTTGGGGGATGGACATTCAGCTACTTCTGGAGGGAAAAGATTTAGGGTTGGTAAACATCCAACTGACAGCTTTTGGAAAGACAATATCGAGCAGTGGGTCCAGTCTGAACATGGTAATCATGCAGAGGAGTCAGCTCGCAATCAGCAGCCTCATAATCGAGACGAACATGAAAAACCTGCGAATGCGCATGACCGGAAACACATGTGCTCATCCCATAATTCAGAAAATACAGGAAGCGTTGTGTTGTCAAAAGAATTTGTGCATCATCAGGGATTTCTAGGGAGCCAGGATAGTCAATCTACAAATTTAAAATACAAATTTGGCAAGAAAAAGGCAAGTACGAAAGAAAACAATCAGCCAAGCACCTTCAAACCAAAAGGTTTTGGTAGCTTGTATGATGAACTTGAGTTTGAAAGACGCTATAAGAAGGTATTTGATCTCAATAAACATATTCACTTTGTCCATTCAAACTTTGTCAGTGGACAAAGAGTTTACAAAAGAAATAAACTGCCACCTATCGGACATATTCCATCAATCGGTTCTGATCCGACTGACAGTCAGGATATCTTCGCAATAATGTCAGTGCAAAGATTCAATCACCCCGACGACACAGACTTCCAGAAAGGCTCTGCAAGCTCAACCGGAAGAAGTCACCCACAAGCTTCCGATGGAATTTCAAGAAGGCACCAGTTTAAACGAAGTCTTGAAATATCTCAAGATCTTAATGTTCCTGTAGGGTTTGTTCCCGGAACCATTAAAAGTACAGGAAATTCCCCATTTGCTGGCGTGAACGGAAATGTTATGCAAAAAGAAGGTTGTTATCGTCTATCTATGGCATCTAGGGAAAACGATAGTGCGCTTGGAACTCTGTCAGAAGACACAAGTAGACCTGCAGGCGGTGATGATCTTTCTTGTTCAGAGAGGTCTGCAAAGTCGGTGAGAAGCAGAGGCAAAATACGACTAAATAGCGATGATACAAAACCAAAACACACAAAAAAGAACCGGGTCTCGTCTAAAGAAAGGGGACATTTGAGATCTACGTCTAGAACTACCACAAACACTGATCGTCCACTAACAGTTGATGATAGCACAGTTGACGAGCAAGAACCTTTCAATATAACAGTACATGTTGAAATAAAACCTAAAGACCCGTATATAAACGGCGGAGATGACGTAGAGAATGAAAAAGCACGCGAAAGGGAACTTCCGGTTTTTGAACATGCTGATTCGCCAGACTTTACCGATAATGACAGGCAAAATGAACAAAGTCAAGACAGATCAAACAAAGTGTTATACTCAACAAGAGTGGACCATAACTTCAGTCCGCGTTCAGAAAGTACGGAAGATGGACTTAAGGTCATTCGGCCTAAAAATATTGCTACGACCTCTAACCAGTTTGGCTTCGTTACCAATAAGGTACAATATCCGGATAGGTTTGTTCTCAGAGAATCCTTGGTTGAAGAGGAAGAGGATGAAAACGAGGCTCATGTTGACAATAGTTATATCGAAAATAACGCTGGTAACGAAAACAATGTAACTAAAACAGATTCGATTTCAACTTGAATGTACACGGACAATGGACGCTCTTGAAACAAAATTTTATGTATAGCAACGTACCTTACATGATATAGAAGATTTTCTGGATGATATTAAGTGTTCCGCACCTCTATTCTATCTGTTGTCAATTATCAAGCTCATCACATCTATCATTTTATTTCATATACCGTTTCTATCAAATCAAAATGCATAATGTGTGGTTAATCGGTTGAAGGAATGTGCATGTAAGACGATAATGCATTGCTAAGTCGGGTATTCTAACACTTAGGGTTTATCTTGCTCATCGTGGTCTTTGTTTAAGATATAAAAAATAACGTTATCATGTTTTAATGAACTTCATCTTTATGTTCACGTTACATCTTGTTGTGTTGTTTTTTAAATTGTTTTTTTTTTATATTTATGAAAATACGTGAGAAATATTCGTATAATTATAATGAAGTAGAATTAATATGGCACTGAAAAGTTTGGGGATTTTTACTTACATTTTTGTTATTTCCAAAACAATACTAATACCACATTAAGGGACCCTTCCTTTAACAGTTTGATATGATTGTTGACTTATGGCATGAACGAGCTGCATCCAACACAGTATCCTGCTGCTGCTGCTGTTGTTGTTGTTGTTATTGTTGTTTTTTCTAAATATATCTTTTATATTTTTCAGATCTTATGAAATTACAATTACGCTACATGAACCCAGATGAACAAAGTTTTAAAAAAAAATGTGTTCTAGTTAAATGTATTAGAAGTTTCAAAATTGTATAACTGATCATAGTCTATATAAAATAGTAAAAATACCCATAAGATACTAAATTAGACTATGAATTAACTACTTACTACTCGTGGAGACATGACCACTTCTGCATCTTTCGACACATTCAATGTAATTATTTTTATTGTTCCGACACATTTTATGTTATTATTTTTTACTGTATTTTGCCTTTAAATATTTTATTTGTTAACATTTAAAAAACAATACTTTATCTTTTTAAACAACTTTCCGAATTTTTATATAAAAAATATAATTTAAAGGCGCCATGCCCTTATACGGGTATAATGTGCGAGGTTTCGGTTGTTCACGTGAAACATCGGGTGTTTCAGTAATCTTAAGTAATGTCTCATGCTACCAGGGGTTCTAGAAAACAAAAACATGACGAGAATACATATAAAATAATATCTAAAAAAGTGTGTCATGCTAAAACAATTTTCTTTTGCAGTATTTACAGTAGTATATACTGGAATAATGTCAAGTTCGTGCATTGTGCATTAATTCATACTGAAAAGTGCTAATGATTTTTAGTTTAAATGTTACATGTTATTTATTATTTTGTTGTACTTGTCTGCACTGATAATGTGATATGTTATGTTCTTCTTGCCTGGTTCTTGTGCAATACATGGTCATAAATAACACGATACTTGTTGTTTTTCTTAATGATACAAGCTTAATAATTTATTAAATCAATTAATTTTAAGATATTAGTACTCTGACGGTCGAAACAATAAATTTCGACCGCTGAGTCTATATTTTTACCGTTAATACTGTGGAGTAAAATGGTTGACCGGAGTCTATACTGTTACCGTGAGAAGGAAGAATCCTTATTGTCACTGTGTCTATGTTTTTGAACCCTGGGTGTTTGCTGTAACTATAGAGTCTGTTGGGACCATGGAGTTTTTGTTTTGACTGCAAAGCCTATAATGTTAATGTAGTGGGTGACCGCCAAGTGTAGAGATAATGTGACCGCGGAGTTGATATTAGAGACTTTAACTCATAGACCTAAATTTTCAACCTCAAATTTCTTCTGTCAACTTTGCAAATTATGAAGCATACTTTCACATAAAAGAGCAGTTGTATGTTTACACAATCGGGGGAATAGCACGTACTAAATCATGTTCTACCATAAACGTGTCAAACCGGGCTTGTAAAACTTCAAAAACGTATCTCGGGTTAAGATAAAAATCAACTTAAGAATTAATTGCGATTATGGAAAAACTGGGGCAAGTTAATACATCCTAACACTTCTTAAGATTAAAGAAAAGCGGTTTACTTCTGAATTACCGATTATTGACGGAATGTTATATGTGACTTAAATAAAATTAGGTCAAATGCACACTTGCAGAGTTTGAAGGAAAATATTAACACCAAAGACCAAGCGTTACTTTTTTCGCATATCTTTAAACTTAAATCCGAAGATTTTGTTTTTTGTTCACTTTAAATATACGGGCAAATTCATCAATTTTCCAGCCAAATTCGTCAATTTCCGGCCAAATTCGTCAATTTCCGGCCAAATTCGTCTGTTTCCATATGTAATTAGATATATGAGGATTAACCACATTTTATCTTAGATGACAAAAAAAAATCTTTTCAGGTTAAGAATTAAATCATAAACACTTCGGGGTTTAACGGGGGTGAAAATTGGTTCCACTATGCTGTAAATAATGCCTTTGCACCCTTAATTGGAAAAAATATTTTCCTAGTTTTAAATTATAATGAGCAGGCTACTAAATTTTACTGTACTACTATTAAAGCCATTTTATGCCTTTGCCTTGCCTAACACCATATAACACATGTATATGCAAACAAGCTTAAATAAATAATCCATTTTCTTTTCTATAAAAACTACGTTGAAACGATTACCTCTATATTACTCCAGGCAAATACATTTATATTTTTAGTTTTTTACAAAATTGCTTTCAAAAATAGATTTGTTTATTCGTAAATTGAAAGGTTTACAATATTAGGCATTAAGTTAATAAAATCAAATTGACAGCTTTATAATGTTGAGTTATTAAGTTAATAAAATCATAATTGAATAGCAAACAGAAATGACGCCGTCAAAAATATAATAGTAAGTAAACTTCCCTGACCTTGTTCTGTGCTGGCGGTAAAGGCCTACTTAACTTTAAAAAAAACGGCATGAAAAGGAAAAGCCATACAAAACAAAATAAAACTCAAATTAAGTTTAGTATGCATTTATTCTATATTGTATGTGTTTTTTAAAAAGGCTATTTACACAATAAAGACATGATTTTAAATAAAAGTATAAAAAGAATGGTTTTCAGTTACACAGTATCTCAAATCATTCTATTTTTTGCTTTGCCATCAGCTTAATCTGCAACCATAATCTGCAAAACAATCTCTCATCAGCAAACACAGTATTTTAAAAAAAATTAAATTCTAAAAAAATCAGTTTTCTGTATACAATAAACAAGGCTGCCACTCAGACAGCCTGCTCGACTATTCACAATATCTGACACAATAGTCTAATCTAGATGATGTAGGAAGGGGAATAATTCAGTCACAATCCATACTAGAGAAATAGGTCTTGGACAGTGAGTGAAGATTATACAGTCAATAGCTTTGGAGATTGGTCTGGCTTTTAATTCATAGCCAGGTTAACTAAATTCACAAAGAGGAACAATTCAGTCAAAACTGAAGCTAAAGTAAAGGGTCTTGGATAGCGAATAACAGTAACGATCAAAAACACAAAACTAGTGTGAATATGCAAGTGAATTCTGGCTGTTTTTCATTTGATATGAACTTGCTAACAAAACTTTAATCCAAGTTTTACAATGATGTTGGAATAGTGTTGAGTTAGATACTATAACCTTACTACAAGCTATTGATAATATGATATTTTGAGAGGATACTCTTGTAACATACAGCTGAAGTGATTAATGGCGCAACTCAGAAAAGAACAAACTATAACAGATTTGTCACAAGAAGACTTGATAAAAAAAGATTATTATTCAATAAAATATTTCTATTTTTAGAACTGTCACTTGTTTGAGATAAAACAACATTATAGAGTGGTTGCATGATAATCACACTCATTTTCAATGATTATTTACATGTACAATAAACAAACTTAACACCCTGAAAGACATTAATGCTCCATAAATCAGGTACAATTTTCTTTACTTCAGCAATGTCTTGACAATAATCTTGTAACTACAATTATTTTATAATTCAACAGTTATTCTTAATCCCTATTCCTTCACCCCTTCCCCCACTGCCACTTTGGCAATTGCAATGAAAATGTGGAATTGAACCAAGTTTTTAAATCATTCTGTTTGACCTCACACTGCACCAAAAGCCAAGAATATGAGCCGTGTCACGACAAAACCAACATAATGGGTTTGCGACCAGCATAGATCCAGACCAGCCTGCGCATCCGTGCAGTCTGATCAGGATCCATGCTGTTCGCTTACAAACCCTATAACAAGTAGAGAAACTGATAGCGAACAGCATGGATCCTGATCAGATTGTGCGGATGCATGCTGGTCGCAAACCCATTATGTTGGTTTTGTCGTGACACGGCTCATGTATATCTTACAGGTTTTGCCTTAAATGGGGAATTTTTTTTTACCATATTAACTTAAGGAGGTTTTATCGAATCTTTGAGAATACACAGGTCAATGTTCCTTCTGAGTTCTATTCCTCAAAGGAGTGGGAGAATTTACAATCAACTGGTGCATAACTTAATCTCTATTATAATACCATCCCTATCATAACTTAAAAAACAAACTGCAATATTGACCTTTTACCGCTAAGTTACAAAATCATAGCCAAAACCTACTGAAATGTAGCATTCCAAATATAAAAAAAACGCTATTAAGATGTTATTAAGTATAAACAATTTGTACAAAAAAAATGACCAACATTTTGAAAATTAATCTCAACATCAAAATTAATACTAAATTTGAGTTTAACTGTAAACCAACTCAAATATCAAGTTCGGGTGATAACAAAAACAACATTTTTTATCATCATTATACAACATTATATAGATCTACTTTTCAACATCTTTGATAATATTATATTAACAATTGTAAACATAACTCATAATGAGTTTTTATAAATAAAATGCAGTGCTGTTTACTATTTTAGAAACAATAGCCCTATTTCTGATAAGAGTAATAAATTAACATTTAATGGCACAAGAAAAACAAACTGTTGCAACAATAAAGAAACCAAAGCTTATTGCTTTTGTAAACATCACATGCATTTTCCTTATATTGATAAATATTCTTCATTGGACATATCATGTGGTGTGTGACATCATTATATCATGTCTCACAAGAAGTATTTTTGCATCAATTATGATGACAAAATTGCTGAAAATATCATATCTATCAATTTAAATGTCATCTTTTCTTTTGGGGTTGGGTTTTACATCTCACCAACACAGTATAGGTCATATGGTGACTTTCCAGCTGTACTGGTGGAGTAACAAACAGGCACCTAAGTGGATTCACCAACACAACGTAAGCTAGCGCAGCTGGATAGCTTCTTCACATGAAAGAATCCAAAGTCCCTGACGGGATTCATATCCACATCAGTGAGAGGCAAGGCCCTTAACAATCAGGTTACGAATTGCCCCCATAATATTTACTAGCACAAGCTAAGGAGATAGAAAAAAAACCTTCTCTGCAAATTTAGTACATGTTATTATATTTTTTTTTGTCAGATACCCAATATGCTGGGAAATTGTCAAGAGTTAATGTTAACAAGTCCTGTCTGTGGGCAATACACTCAACTTTTCTCAGTGCTTGATAGTTTAAATAAAGCAAAGAAAAGGGGAAATAATTATGCAAAATTGTAGCAGACTTACCTAACTTGCAAGTTAGAAAAAATATTTTAAGCCTTGAGTGAATTTCTCTGACAGACAAAAGGTGAAAATTTTAAGTAAAATTATGGCATTAATTAATTCAACGCAATTGTCTTTCAGGGTTATCTCACCTTTTAGATAACTTTCCAATTCTGATAGTGAACAAGTTTATAGAGAATCACTTATAGATAATGAGAAATGGACCAGATCAAAATGGTTAATCAAGGCAAAATATCAGTCAGAAAAAAGGGGCAGCCTGTAAAATATCTATTTTATGATTATCTCCCCCTTCCATATGGTGCAACATTTTGAAAGTTAACATGAATACCAAGTTTGAAAAGGATAGCTTTGATGTTTTGCATGAAAAATATTCTCTAACATAAAGATAATATAAACAAACACTCATGCCGACAAGAGGGCCATGATAATAATAGTTTTTTTTCTCTCCAAAAAATGAGGAGCTAAAAATAGCATCTCCTTGTATATTTAACAAGTTATTACTACAGGTGAACAAAGAAAAAACTGTTCTATACACTGCTGGCAACATGATTAAATAAATAACACAAATGTTCACATAGTACAAGCCTTATTGCAAAAAGGATAAAAATAAATAGACCGCACTTCAGCCTATCAAAGCACTTACAAAACTTAATTTTCAAAGTGTTATTACAATTTTTTTACAATCATTTACAATCATACCATATATAAATAAATTTACAATAACTGTTCATGCATATAAATGAGTTTTTCATCCTCAGATTTTTAATATTGACAAATTTCACATATATCTATAATGTTTCTTGTAACAGTTTATAACAATTTATTCATTTTTCCCTTCTATGCAATATGAATAAGTATTACATGAATAATTTCCAAAAATATCCAAGTTAATGAAAAATAGTGGAGCTAGAATAATGGTTAGAATCCATGGACAGTTCATGTATTTGTACTCTCTGAGAATATATAGTACAACAGTAAAAATCTATCTCGTTTTAGACAATAATGGTATAGCTGAAAGAATCCAAGAACAGTTAATGGTACTGTGGTTTAAAATCATGTAACATCACTTATATATAATGGTTGTAATCTATGCAGACATAATTGGTAAAAAAATCCATGGATGGATCTTGATAATGTGGTTTAAATCCATCAATAGAGAACATATAGTATCTTATTTATATCTGTGAAAACATTATTGGTATAACTGTAAAAATCCATGGACAGTTCATGGTATATTGGTTTTTATTCATCCATTTAACACAGATAGAATGTGGTTAGAAACTTTGAAGACATGAATGGTTTAGCTGTAAGAATCCATGGACAGTTCATGGTTCTATAGTTAAAATCAATTCATGGTACACATAAAGTAGTGGTTGGAAACTGGCACAGCTGTAAGAATCCATGGTAGTTCATGGTTCTATTGTTAAAATTCATCCATGGTGCATATAAAGCATGGTGGTTGGAAACTGCTATTGCTGCAAGAATCCATGGACAGTTCATGGTTATATGGTTAAAATCCACCAATGATGTATGTAAAGTATAGTGGTCAGAATCTATGAAGACATGACTGGTGATAAACTGTAAGAATCCATGGACAGTTCATGGTTATATAGTTAAAATCACACCTTGTCAATTGACAATAGATCAGTTTAAAACTGATTCAGCTGATGCCAAGATCTTTTGCATTTTCTGTTAACCAACTGTGGTAGAGATTCAACTTATGGTCCTTTGGTTCAACCTGAAGAAAGCATAGAATAAATTATTAAAATCAATTCAGCCAGGTTGTGGTAAATAATAATCACAGTCTTTATGTATATTCATTCATTTTGACAGTCTTTTCTCAAGTTTAAATTAACAAATAATAAGATAACAGTAATCATTGCAAGTCTCTAAACATGTACAGATTGGATTATAACTGAATGAACCATACCATAATTGATTTAATCATACAATATCACACCTTAAATTAATGAGATCACACTTTAATGAATCATGCCCTAATGAGATCACTTTAATGGATCATTCCCTAATGAGATCACTTTAATGGATCATGCCCTAATGAGATCACTTTAATGGATCATGACCTAATGGCATCACTTTAATGGATCATGCCCTAATGAGATCACTTTAATGGATCATACCCTAATGAGATCACTTTAATGGATCATGACCTAATGGCATCACTTTAATGGATCATACTCTAATGACATCACACTTTAATGGATCATGCCCTAATGAGATCACTTTAATGAATCATGCCCTAATGAGATAACTTTAATGGATCATACCCTAATGAGATCACACTTAAATGAATCATGCCTTGAAATCACACTTTAATGAATCTCAAAGTAATTGGATTATCACACTTAAATGGATTAAACAAGAATGAGATCACTATATAATGAAACACTTTTTAATAAGATCATTTTTAATGATTTATTCTATATTAATGAGATCATACTTTAATGGATCATACAACAATAGATCTCATATTAATGGATCATATTATCGTGTACAGTATACATGTAGCAGATCAATAACAAAATGATAAATACCACAATAGATGATATAGTCTTAACTAGAACTCCGCGAGTCGGAGTAGTCTCCTTGTGAACAGTATAGTTGTCACTTAGGCATTTTCTTCTCTAATATAGGTTATTTATAAACACGGCTACAGGGCAATAGCTCAAAAAATAAGAAGTGCATAGTACAAGTTCTTGTGCACTGCACTTCTTCTTAATGAGATCTATCATCCTATGAAGATTCAAGTCCATAGCTTTTATAGTTTAGGTGAAATGGCCGGGATAAAAATAAAGTAAGAAAATCAACCAAGGGCAATAACTCAAAAATCATGGAGTACCGTTTTTTGTGCAATGCACTTCTTCTTAATGAGATTTTTTCATCCTATTAAGTTTCAAGTCCGTAGCTTTTATAATTTATGAGAAATGGCCCGAACAAAAATAAAGTATGAAAATTAACAAAGGGCAATAACTAAAACAAGAGGGCCATGATGGCCCTGAAGTCGCTCACCTGTATATAGGCCCCGGAGCCGGGCCAGTTTAAACACCTGGGCTTTTATTTAGAACAAACTTGGTAGACACCCATTAGAAGATGGTTCATGCTAAACATCTAAGGTCTAGCTCGTTGGGTTTTTTAAAAGAAGATTTTTTTTAAGTTTTTTCTTTACACATATAGTTAAAAACAATGACACACCTGGGGCAGGGCCAGTTTTGACCCCAGGGCTTTTATTTGAACAAACTTTGTAGACACTTACTAGAAAATGATTCCTGCTTAATATCTAAACTCTAGCTATTCGGGATTTTTCAAAGAAGATTTTTTAAGTTTTTGCTATACACATATAAGGAAAATGAATGTCCTCCGGGGCGGGGCCAATTTTGACCCCAGGGCTTTTATTTGAACAAACTTTGTAGACACTCACTAGAAGACACTTCGTGCTTAATATCTAAAAGCTAGCTATTTGAGTTTTCTCAAAGAATTTTTTTAAGTTTTTGCTATACACATATAAGGAAAATGAATGACCCCCAGGGCGGGGCCAATTTTGACCCAAGGGCTTTTATTTGAACAAACTTTGTAGACACTCACTAGAAGATATTTCATGCTTAGTATCTAAACTCTAGCTATTTCATTTTTCAAATAAGATTTTTTAAGTTTTTGCTATACACATAATTATAAGGAAAATGAATGACCCCCAGGGCGGGGCCAATTTTGACCCAAGGGCTTTTATTTGAACAAACTTTGTAGACACTCACTTGAAGACACTTTAATGCTTAGTATCTAAACTCTAGCTATTTCGTTTTTCAAATAAGATTTTTTAAGTTTTTGCTATACACATATAAGGAAAATGAATGACCCCCAGGGCGGGGCCAATTTTGACCCCAGGGCTTTTATTTGAACAAACTTTGTAGACACTCACTTGAAGACACTTTGTGCTAAATATCTAAACACTAGCTATTTGAGTTTTCTCAAAGGAGATTTTTTAAGTTTTTGCTATACACATATAAGGAAAATCAATGACCCCCAGGGCGGGGCCAATTTTGACCCCAGGGCTCTTATTTGAACAAACTTGGTAGACATCCATTAGAACATGTTTCATGATAAATATCTTAGCTCTAGCTCTTTGGGTTCTTTAAAAGAAGATTTTTAAAGTTTTTACTATATGCATATAGGGAAAATCAATGACCCCCTGGGGCGGGGCCAATTTTGACCCCAGGGCTTTTATTTGAACAAACTTGAAAGACACCCATTAGAAGATGTTTCATGCTTAGTATCTTAGCTCTAGCTCTTTGGATTCTGTAAAAGAAGATTTTTAAATTTTTACTATATGCATATAGGGAAAATCAATGACCCCCTGGGGCACGGCCAATTTTGACCCCAGGGCTTTTATTTGAACAAACTTCATAAACAAAGCTCTAGCTTTTTGGGTTTTTTAGAAGAAGAAATTTAAAGTTTTTTCTTTTGGTTGCCATGGCAACCAGAGTTCTGCATGGAATTAAATTCTTTGAACAATTTTCAAAGGTGACCACTAAAGGAACATTCCTGTGAAGTTTGGATGAAATTGGCTTAGTGGTTTATGAGGAGATGTTATTTAAAGTAAAAGATAACGGATGCCGGCCGGACGCGGGACGAAAAGCGATCACAAAAGCTCACCCTGTCACTTTGTTACAGGTGAGCTAAAAATTAGAAGTGCAAAGTACCGGTTCTTGTGCAATGCACTTCTTCTTAATGAGATCTATCTTCCTATGAAGTTTCAAGTCCATAGCTTTTATAGTTTAGGAGAAATGGCCCGGAAAAAATTAAAGACTGGCAAAAACTGAAAAATTAAAAAGTGCAGGGTACCGGTTCATGTGCACTGCTTTTTGGGTTATTAAAAGAAGCATGCATACCAAGTTTGGAGTCAATCAGACTTATAGTGACTGAGTTATGCTCCGGAGACCCCTTAGAGACCGCCTACAATGACGCAGACACCGCCAACAAAAGTAACCCCTTTATGTCGCCTTTTAAAGGAAACACAATATTTAATATAACAAATGTTTTAAAGAATGTCAATAAAAAGTTCTGTTAATCAATTAATTAATGTTAAATTACCTGTTTCCATTCATTGAGACAGAATATTCTGTAAGAGTCATTCCCGTATTTTCCTATACCATATAACTCAATTGGATACTTCCATGATTTGGTTAAATACTCATCTTCAAATAAAGACAATAAGAATTTACAATACAACACTGCTAATATCTAACTCATGACTGCCCATACACAGAATTCAACAGTATTTAAAAATCTTACACTGACTGCAAATATACGATTGAATAACTGGCTGATTGGTAATGAACTATCTGGCACCAACAAGCCTATCCAGTGACTGCTTAATAGTTAGCTGACACCCAAATATTGCTGTAAGTGACAGCATTCAGTGTATGTTTCCTTTTTCTTATCTTCTAATATGCGACATATCAATTATAATTTGAAAAGAAATAATGAAAACTAATAACATCAGACAGTAAGCAGTACTTTCATGCAATGGTATACGAAATTTCAAATAATCAAAATCATTAATAACCATGGAATGACATCATCAAATTCATTAATAACAATGGAATGACATCATCAAATTCATTAATACCCATGGAATGAAATCATCAAATAACAATGGAATGACATCATCAAGTTCATTAATAACAATGGAATGACATCATCAAATTCATTAATAACCATGGAATAACATCATCAAATTCATTATTAACCATGGAATGAAATCATCAAATTCATCAATAACAATGGAATGACATCATCAAATTCATTAGTAACCATGGAATGACATCATCAAATTCATTAATAACCATGGAATAACATCATCAAATTCATTAATAACCATGGAATAACATCATCAAATTCATTAATAACCATGGAATGACATCATCAAATTCATTAATAACAATGGAATGACATCATCAAATTCATTAATAACAATGGAATGACATCATCAAATTCATTAATAACCATGGAATGACATCATCAAATTCATTAATAACCATGGAATAACATCATCAAATTCATTAATAACCATGGAATGACATCATCAAATTCATTAATAACTATGAAATGACATCATCAAATTCATTAATAACTATGGAATAACATCATCAAATTCATTAATAACCATGGAATAACATCATTTTAAAGTAGGCATCATATCTTACACCAAGGATGTAAGAGTGTAAGACAACATATGTCAACACAGGTGAAAAGTTAAAACGCTAGCAAATCCTGCTTGAGATGCAAGGAAATAGTATTAGGGTCAATCTAAAAATTTATGTTAAGATAAGGTACTATACCCATTTTTCACAATATTTAGATTTTTTTTTCAAATGATTTATTTACTCATTTAATTATATCACATTCCAAATATTATTAAACTTACTGCATAATAAACATATTTTAAATCCCCACAGACATGTAAGAAAAATATTGCCTGTTTATATGATCAATAGAAAAGATGAAGGATTTTGAAACTTTAGGAACTTACTAGAAAATCTTTTTATTGTGTAGGCTCTTTTCTCATGAAGGCCTAATGGTTGTAAAATCTTTGCCATGGCAACCTGGTCTCCTTTACGTGCAACATCTGGATTCGGCCACTTGTTCAGAAATTTCCACAACAACGGAATAGCTGCTGAGCCTGAGGAAAGGTAAGTTTTTAAGAATTATCAATTTTGCTGACAGAATGAAATATAATTTAACTGGTATACTTCATTTTATTATTTCTTGTATAGGTTTATAACAAGATATAACTTACTGTCTACAGTGGTTAAAGTATAATAGTCTAGTCTCTGCACATTAACTTGAATTTTCTCTTAATACAATACATAACAACAACATTGGTAATGACAATAACAAGAGCTGTCACAGGAGACAGCGAAGCTCGACTAATAAAATACTGGACGCAGTAAGGAGGACAAAACTATGAAAGAAAAATCAATTATGTATAATTATATATTAAGTTAAAGTAAACAAGATATGTTTGTAAAACATGTATGCCCCCTATCGGCAGCCAATTAGTCATGTGATCAGGTTATTATGCATGACTTCGGACCCAGTGAACAAACAATTAATAAGGGTTATCAGTTATCTAGTATCTACTGGTCATGACTAGTCACAAGGTAATAATAATTGTGACCCCATAGGTTGTGTGAAGCAATTTAAGTTATTACAAATCTTACCAAATAATATATGCATAAATTTTATGAATCATGTAGGCCTCATTAATGACAGCCAAGTTGTTATATTACATAAGACCATCAAATGTGTATACCAAAAGCATTTTTAGTTTAATATAAAAATATCAACCAAGGCAACTTGAGTTGTTGAGTTATTGGTCAGAAACTGTCATTAACTACAAAGTCAATATGACATTGACCCCTTGACCCCTAAATCAATAGGGGTCATCTACTGGTCATGACCAATCATCATACCAAGTTTGAAGTTCCTAGGCCTAAGCATTCTTTAGTTATTGATCGGAAACCATTTTTACCTACAAGGTCAATGCGACCTTGACCTTGGACACCTTAACCCCAAAATCAATAGGGGTCATCTGCTGGCCATGACCAATCATCATACCAAGTTTGAAGTTTCTAGGCCTAAGCATTCTTTAGTTATTGATTGGAAACCGTTTCTACCTACAAGGTCAATGTGACCTTGACCTTTGACACCTTGACCCAAAAATCAATAGGAGTCATCTGCTGGTCATGACCAATCATCATACCAAGTTTGAAGTTTCTAGGCCTAAGCGATCTTTAGTTATTGATCTGAAACCGTTTTTACTTAAAAGGTCAATGTGACCTTGACCTTTAACCCCTTGATCCCAAAATCAATAGGGGTCATCTACTGGTCATGACCAATCATCATACCAAGTTTGAAGTTCCTAGGCCTAAGCATTCTTTAGTTATTGATCGGAAACCATTATTACCTACAAGGTCAATGCGACCTTGACCTTGGACCCCTTAACCCCAAAATCAATAGGGGTCATCTGCTGGTCATGACCAATCATCATACCAAGTTTGAAGTTTCTAGGCCTAAGCGTTCTTTAGTTACTGATCAGAAACTGTTTTTACTTACAAGGTCAATGTGACCTTGACCTTTGACACCTTGACCCAAAATTCAATAGGGGTCATCTGCTGGTCACGACCAATCATCATACAAAGTTTGAAGTTCCTAGGCCTAAACGTTTTTAGTTAATTGATCGGAAACCGTTTTTACCTACAAGGTCAATGTGACTTTGACCTTTGACCCCTTAACCCCAAAATCATTAGGGGTCATCTGCTGGTCATGACCAATCACTATACCAAGTTTGAAGTTCCTAGGCCTAAGGGTTCTTTACTTATTGATTGGAAACCGTTTTTACTTAAGACGTCAATATGACCTTGACCTTTGACCCCAAAATCAATATGGGTCATCTACTGATCATGACCAATCACCATATCAAGTTTGAAGTCGGCAGGCCTAAGGGTTCTTTAGTTATTGATCTGAAACCGTTTTTACCTACAAGGTCAATGTGACCTTGACCTTTGACCCTTGACCCAAAAATCAATAGGGGTTATCTGCTGGTCATGACCAATCATCATATCAAGTTTGAAGTTCCTAGGCCTAAGGGTTCTTTAGTTATTGATCGGAAACCGTTTTTACCTAAGAGGTCAATGTGACCTTGACCTTTGACCCCTTGACCCCAAAATCAACAGGGGTCATCTACTGATCATGACCAATCACCATACCAAGTTTGAAGTTCCTAGGCCTAAGGGTTCTTTAGTTATTGATCGGAAACTGTTTTTGCTTACAAGGTCAATGTGACTTTGACCTTTGACCCCTTGACCCCAAAGTCAATAGGGGTCACCTACTGATCATGACCAATCACCATACCAAGTTTGAAGTTCCTAGGCCTAAGGGTTCTTTAGTTATTGATCGGAAACTGTTTTTGCTTACAAGGTCAATGTGACCTTGACCTTTGACCCCAAAATCAATAGGGGTCATCTACTGGTCATGACCAATCACCATACCAAGTTTGAAGTTCCTAGGCCTAAGGGTTCTTTAGTTATCACTCGGAAACCATTTGGTCTACGGACCGACGGACCGACAGTGCAAAGCAATATACCCCCTCTTCTTCGAAGTGGGGGCATAAAAATAATATTTGTTAACATAAATTCCAAGATCAAGGGGAATAATTCTAGAAATAATGCTAGAGTTATGGACCTTGTCACACAACATTTGAGTAATGATAAGAAATATATATTTTAAGTTTGAAGTAGATACCTTAAAAAGTAAAGAAGTTATTATATTTCTTAAAGAAAATCCTAAGTTCAAAGAAAGATAAATGTGTAAATATTGCTTCAAGAGTTATGAACATTGTCACATAAAATGTAATTGATGATAAGGAATAAGTATTTGAAGTTTGAGGTAGATACCTTTAAAAATAAAAAAGTTATAATAAAAAATAACATTTTTCTAGTAAAAAAATCTAAGTTTATGGGGAGATAATTCTTGCAATATTGGTGCTAGAGTTATGAACCTTGTCACATAAGATGTGGATGATGATAACGTAAATATATTTGAAGTATGAAGTTGATCCCTTTAGAAATAAATAAGTAACAGTAAAAAATAATATTTTTTATGGAAAATTCTAAGTTCAAAGGGAGATAAATCTGTAAATATTGGTGCTAGAGTTATGAACCTTGTCACATAAGATGGGGATGATGATAGCGTAAATATATTTGAAGTATGAGGTTGATCCCTTAAGAAATAAAGAAGAAACAGTAAGAAATAGTACTTTTTGAGGAAAATTCTAAGTTCAAGGGGAGATAAATCTGAAAATATTGGTGCTAGAGTTATGAACCTTGTCACATAAGATGGGGATGATGATAACGTAAATATATTTGAAGTATGAGGTTGATCCCTTAAGAAATAAAGAAGAAACAGTAAGAAATAGTACTTTTTGAGAAAATTCTAAGTTCAAGGGGAGATAAATCTGAAAATATTGGTGCTAGAGTTATGAACCTTGTCACATAAGATGGGGATGATGATAAGGTACATATATTTGAAGTATGAGGTTGATCCCTTAAAGGCCCAACTGGACTATAAAAGCCAGCAGATGGCGCTAGGGCAGGTTTCTTATTAATTTTATGCATGCTTCACTTCAGGGACCCTTTTTCAAAGATTTAAGATTAATTACCAAATGCATTTAAACAACACTTGGCATGTATGTAGGCATAGATATTCTTGATATACATGTAGATTGACCAAAATTATTCAAAATAAAACTTTGTTAAGTGTGTTTCTGGAAAAAAATACTGGCTGTAAAATTTGAAATTTGAATTTCCATGGGAGGAGCCAACTGATCATTACAGGTCATGAACCTTCAGTAGTAAACAGATGCACGTGGCAGTGTTTATTTCAGTGAGAGAGATTTGTAGCAGACGATATATATTTCAGGGAGGGAGATTTTCAGCAGACGACACATTCTAAATCTAATGCTGAATACATGATAAGAAAAAACAATAACTTTTACTGATCTTACTTTATCAAAAAGTATTTATATCCAACAAATTTACAATAATCCATTAATCTATGATTTTTTTTGAATTTTAAAGTACTGATTCAACTTGTATTTAAATGGTTTAAACTTCATGAAAACAGTAAAAGTAACTCCCAGGTATATTTCATTTACACTATATTTTGTTGTAAATATCTTGTAGTCAAAATTACATTTCACAAATGTTTATCATTTGTATAAAATTTTAATATATATTAATAGTTTAAAAATATTTTAAATTCCTGTCAAGATCATTTTTAGCAGTTTTTCTTAAAAGAAATGTCCCATGTAAGGCACATCCTTTGGATTTGGACATAGTTGTCTGACTTGATGAAAAACAACTGACTTCAAAAATAATATCTGGACAAGATGGCTTGATAATGTCTTTTAATTAATCTGATTAATCTGTGAGTTATATAAAACATCCATTAAACCTCTCCTGTGTATAATATGCTGTTTTGTTTATATTCTCTCTGCAGGTTAACACTGCATTCTATTTTTAGCTCATGGTTTATAACAGACAGTTTTACATCACTGATTAGTCACACCCACAAATACTCGCTGCCGCGGCAGCGAATGTTGCCCCTTTAAGAAATAAAGAAGTAACAGTAAAAAATAGTATTTTTTAAGGAAAATTCTAAGTTCAAGGGGAGATAAATCTGAAAAATATTGGTGCTAGAGTTATGAACCTTGTCACATAAGATGTGGTTGATGATAAGGAACATATATTTGAAGTTTGAAGTTGATACCTTAAGAAATGACAAAGTTATAGTGAAAAATATTTTACTGCACCAAAACTTTAATCTAAAATCTGGACGCGGACGCCGGGGCGAGTAGGACAGCTCTCCATATACTTCGTATAGTGGAGCTAAAAAGGGCTAAAAAGTTATTTACAAAACTTTACAAAGTAATTTACAAAACTTTACAAATGGATTTTTCTACAGCACACACTTATGTTAACTTTTATAAATACAGTAGAACTTTGGTAAGTCAAAGTTGAAGGGACTTGCGCAAAAACTTTGATACATCGGGACTTCGACTCATTAATCGGTCTCAATTTAATAACAAAATTTTGGCCTGTTGACGTATACAAGGAAAGTACAAAAAGCAAACAATAGGAAAGGGCGATAACTTCACCAGCTTTTAGTAAATATTTCGCGTCTGAGTATCACGAGACACCAGGTCACAGAAGTTCTCAAATGAAAGTACTCAATTTGAATAGTAACAATTAAATCATTTTATCACACATTTAAACACATACAAAGGCTGTTTGAAGACAAGGCTGTGTAATTAACACCTGTCACCCAAATTGATTTGAACTCATCTTTGCGGCCAGATAAGGTGTGAAAAATATCTCGAGATCGAAGGTGTCAAAAAAATCAAAGGACTGCGACTAATTTTTGGTAAATTGTACTCGATTTATTCTATACTGACCATAAAAAAACTTCGACACATCGAAAAATTTGACACATAAAATTTTGACTAATTAATAGGTTTCATAAGGAATATATACGGGGAAAAAACGTGACTTTAATTTTACACTGACACATTGAGAAAATTGACTAATCGAAATTCAACTCATAGATGTTCTACTGTATTTAAAATGTTTAGTATGAAAGATCATACAGCAACTTCCCATCTTTACTGGCAGAGGAAGACCTAAGGTGCCTCTTCATGATTTTATTTAAGACATAAGCGGACACCTGAGCAGAACAACTGACCTTCCTACATGTTGCTGGATAGTTTCCTCACATGAAATAATGCAAAGTCCTTGAGGGGAATCGAACCCACAGCTTTGAGTGTCATTTGATTTGAAATCAGTGACCTTCATCACTTTGTCACAGTCAGCTGCCCCCCTAATTAGTGAAAATGTCATATGAACAAATAAAGTGATTTTACCTAGCATAATATCATGATAATAATGTAGAAATATGGCAAATTCTGGTCATATTTGAATCAAACTTACTTAAGTAGCATTTGGGTCATCTCCCTACATAATTATATAATTATTGTTTGCTATTCAGTCAGTACATATTTCTGGACCATTTCTAGTTATTTTGGGAAAAGGCCTATGACTGAACCTTAGCAGGGTAAGAGTTAATTCATTTTTCTTAAGTTAAGATTTTTTTTTCAAAAGAATTTCTTAATCATCTGCAAGAATGCAGTTTATAGTGAACAAAAAATCTAACTTATACATTCTTTTTCTTCAAGATTTAGGCTGAAAGGTAAAGGAAACAAACAGTTATTCTTACCTGTTGTTCTATTTAAAAATATCGTAGCAACAAGAAGTTTCCAGGGATCGTGAAAAAGGCTTTCCTGAACAAGATTATGGGGCGACTTGGGCGGGGTCCACTGCATGTCACGGTGAAGCTGTGGTTGAGGAATAAAGATACCGTTCAAGAAGTATTGGCTCTCCATCTCAGGGTTGGGTGGAGATGCCGGAGGCGTCTGTACATCTAATTCTGAAAATAATGTTATCATATTATTAGATAATACAATAGATATATACAATCATGAACCAATACAAGTTGGGTTTTTCGGCTAAAAGGCCCATTATGCCTCAGAAATGCTGTCATTTTTTAATAACTTTTTCATAAAAGCTTTTTTTTAATTTAGGTATCTTGTTACTGTTTCCAAAGAAATACACATTTGCCATATACTATGTTTTGCTGACTTTGTTGGCATTTGATATTAGATTAGTGAATTAGTATTTTGTATCAAAGTAAAAATATTACTTTGTTTACATTACTTTGTTTACATTTTGCACCTTTATGACGCATAATTTACTGCATATTCAGTGCTACTTTTTCACTTGTTAAACATATAACATGCATATTGAAAACATGTTTGACATTTCTAAAAAACTTGGAAAAAAATATGGATTTCTTAGGCATAATAAGCCCAATTACACCATAAGCAATCTATAGGCACCATACATAGTTATCTTTTGGACTGCTTTGAAATTCCATTTTTGCCCAGCAAGCTACTGATTTTTCCTCCCTTTGTACCCAAATTAAGACAAAAGAGAATTTGAATATCCAATGAAATAACATATACTTGTTCTGTTTAATATTATGATAGTAACATCAGAAAGTAGAGCCTTAAATTGAAAATGCAATTAAAATCAGTAAGAAAATGTGCCTGTTGGCACCTGTTGAAGAGCATAAATGTCCATCAACAAATTAGAAATCAATAATACTCTTACCCTAAAATTTATAGCATTTCCCATACAACGTTAAAATCAAATGAATGAAAATACTGTCAAAATTTAATGTATTATTTTTCAATGTATGAAATTAACATATTCAATATTATACCTTCTGAATCTGACCCATGTACGATCAAATCATCCTCTGTGCTATTATTATGTGAGTTACGTGAAGGAGACCATGTGTTTCCCAATGATAACGATCTCACATATTTCGGAGAATTCGATTCGCCTATCTCCGCTGAAAGTGTACGTTTTAATGACGGTGAATTACTATAACTAGTCCTGTGGCGACCTGAATCTGGTGTTTTACTCGACGATGACTGTGATGAGTTCCTTGATCGCCGTGGCGATATATCGGGAGTATGAGTCATAAAATATGCGTGTTCATCAAGTCCGTTGAAATGCCCCATTTTTACACTAGCAAGATAAGCATCTTGCACTGTTACACTATCCGTAACATTAAATACCCTCTCCTCGTCTGCCGTAAACGTAAAATTAGAATTTCCGTACGTCAACATATCATTTGCACTTATAAATTCCAAACTTGTAGCACTAGTATCAGCATAATTGTCTTGTTCGCTCTCCTCAATAATGTCTTCAGGAAATGTGATACCGTTTTCATCATTTGTGTTAACTACCGCACTCAGAGATGACGGATCAAGAAATGCCCCGTGATTTTCCATGACAACAACTTTTTGAATATTGTTATTGTCTAGAAGTAGATCGCCCTCAGATCCTTGCGAACCTATTGGCATAATGGAAATGTGCATATAGTAATTATACAGTTGGTTTAGTTGTTAGTCCATCTGTACACTCCAAAATGCTGCCTGTTACTTTAATGGAGCAGAATATTTAACCAAACTTTTCTAATTTTTCCTTTTTTTGTTGATTTTTGACAAACATTGTATAACCAAAATATTTCAAAATAACAAAAAAAAATAAAATAAATATAACATGATTACAATAAAAGATATCACAGCTTCGCAATATAGTCTAAAAGCTTTTTCTTAATGATTTTTTTTTTAAATCATAGATTGCACTGACAATATGCTTTTTCATCAATGTCCAAATAATACAAAACTTCAAATTTAGTATCTGATAATCTCCATTTCAGCATAATTTCACAAGCACATATCTCTTCCATGTCCAAAATGGGTACATCAATTTTTATTCATTAAATTTTTAGTTTGTAAAAATGTTTTAAAACTCCACAAATTTTTCTTAACAATGGACACAGTTCATGATCACACATTCCAAAATTGCCATCTCCAACCTTTTAATTAACGACAAAGTTGCACTGCTGAAATAGTCGGGTGTTAGAGAGGGAATATTGGTAGTAGATTATTATCAAACTGTAATAAATATTACAAAAATATGAAGTCATTACTGTTAGAACAAATCATTCTGCAATGCCTATTCTACAAAAAAAAACTCAATTTATTATAATATTTCTGTATATAAGGTCTTTGTTTTTACTGGCACTTTTAATCAAGTCACACCAAGACAACTTTATTCATTTATATAACCAACAACATATAAAGCAGTGCCAGGATAGCTTTTAAGTTTTTGGAATTTTTATGTTGTTTTTTTGTTGTTGTTGGGTTTTAGATCAGTCATATGGCAAATTCCAGCTTTACTGGTGCGGGAAGTCCGCAGGTGCCCCTATGTGCATTATTTCAGGCACAAGCTGGCATCTGAGTAGAACCATCAATGATTTTTAAGCTAAGTGGATAGCTTCCTCACATGAAAGAATCTAAAGTCCCTAGCAGGATTCAATCTTACAGCAGTGAGAGACAAGTGGATAAGGGAATATGTCACAACTGACTATAGTGCATATGCAGGTATAGATAGCTAGCTTTCTAAAGTTTCTACTGAGCAACATCTGAGGTGGTGGGCTGGTCTGAAATAATGCAAAGAAGGGAACAATGTCTCCTCCCACCAATACTGCAGTTACAATATGACCTCACCAGTGGTATTGTGATATCAATCTCAATAGGGGTTAAAGTTCAACATACCTGCTGAGACAACAATACGGTCGTCAAAGCTCTCCTCGCCTTCTTCTTTACCTACATGTACATAATACAAGCATTAAACACAAAATTAAACCACACTTCCTCATAAATACATAAATTTTATATATATTACAAGTTCCAGCATAAACAATAACATCTGATAGATGTTCGACAATGTGGCCAAAAGATATCTTTACCATGACTGAAGTCTATTCTTACTATCACTGAACTTGACTTATCACCTCAATAAAAGAGCAGACAATATAGCTAAGCTCAAATATCTGTTAAATGGAGAATATTGAATGAGTGTAAGTTCTTACTGAATTAATTGAACAAGTTGAATAAAATTATATTATAAGAGCCTCTGGTGAGCATGGACATACACGAATATTCTATGTATTGCATACTAAAAATGAAGACTGTTTAAAGTGCAAAAGAATCAATTTCATTGACGCACCAATAGTGTAATGCTAACATTTAGCACGTCTTTACACTATGTTTGTATTATGCAAGAGAAATCACATCAAAATATATAACACAACTGCCTAATAGTATTTTACAGAGTCACAAAAGCGGCACAGGTGTGTGATAATAAAATTATAAAAATAAAATGAGAATCAGATAGATGAACAGATGGTAAGAAGGGAAGAAGAGACCATCCACTATGATCTACCGTAAAACTTTTGGGAATCATATAATATGAATTCTTTATATTTTCATTTCTAACCACATTCAAATTGCCACATACTTTATGATGCCTATAAAAAAATAAAACGCATCTTACCAATAGTGACTGCATCGTCCATGATTGCTCGTAACTCTATCATTTTAATAGCTGTTTCAGCATCCGGTTTTAGTTGCACTGAGATATAGCCGGAATCTGACGAGAAAATGTCTAGGGAAAACCTGTCCGATATCTCAACTTTCTCTATAGACCTACTTGTTAGCTGAAGAAAGATCATAAAAGGAAATTCAATTTAAAAGTTGACTCAATCTGATTTCTCATCAAAGTTTGTCACATCTACCCAACATTTATTTTTCTATGTTTATTATATATTTAATTTGCAGAACAAATGCAGTAGTTTGTAATTTTCCAAAAACATCTTTCAAATGCCAAAAAAGGGATGGCAGGAATATTTTTTAGCTGCAAATCCCCAATCAAATACTCACTCTAAGCCAAAAGAGGCAATAGAGCAGTATATTTCCTTCCAGATTCCAATACCATGTATAAAAACTGTTGCATCATTCTAACTATATAGTGCAGGGGCGGTAAACATGCAGTTCTCCTAGCATTCCCACTCTATAGAGGACAGGCAAGTTAGGGAAACAAATGACAGGTGCATAAATGACTTATAAGAATGCCAAGAAAAAGTGTAAGACACTCAGACAATGATAAAGTACTTTTAATAAGAAATATTTGATTGTTTGTTTGATTGGGTTTTACGTCACACCGACACAGTATAGGTCATATGGTGATGTTCCAGCTTTACTGGTGGAGGAAGACCTCAGGTGCCCTTCCGCGCATTATTTCAGGCACGAACGGGCACCTTAGAAGAACTACCGATCCTTAAGTTAGCTGGATGGCTTCCTCACATGAAAGAATCCAAAGTCCCTGTCGGGATTTGAACCCACAGTGGTGAGCGGCAAGTGGTTTAATGTCAACAAAAACTTAACCATTTGGCCACGGACGACCCAATTAGAGATGTAAGTAATTGAATCTTACCATAGTAGTAACTACTGGTTCATCTAATTTTGCATTATCTAAAACAACTTCCAGTAGCCAGCCATCATCTGCCCGTGACAATATCAGGGAACCGGCGCTGTATTTCATTGGTGGAGAATGGATATACGCATATTTCACCTGACCAGTAAAAATCTGAGGGCTGACTACACCTGAAAAGTGTTTTGTTGGTTTAAAGTGATGTGATAAACAGGTTTTTATTATTGGGATATTATAAATATCTGTCTTTCATGAAATTTCAGTCATGAACATACAAAGTAAGCAATAATCAAACAAATATTCCTAGACGGAACATACCAGACTTGATATGTTTATAAATAAGAAATACTTTCAGGAAACTATGAACGGGTAATAAATTTGGAACCATACACTTGAATTCTATTTATAAAGAACCCTATTAAAAAACAAGATTGCATTTGAGAAAAATGCTATGCCACCGCAATAATACAACACTAAATAGTAGTGTAGGAACAGATTTTTTTGTTTCTATACAATTGAAGATTGTCATAATGCATATCTAATTCTTATTATCAGATTAGTGGTTAAATTTATTGTTAACTCAATAAAAGATCAGAGTAGGAATATATCAATGCACTTGAGTCTAGTGAATTTGGTGGTGAAGGTCATATTTCACACAGCCTAAAATTTCATGACTGCATCAAAGGACAACATGTAATACACTTTGTCAAAATCTAGGTCAGCTGATATCAAAGTTCACTTTTAATTTTGACACTAGAGGCAAAATTTGAACAACTTTGGTAGAGTACCTATAGATGATATCATTTAACAAATATTAAAGCTCTAAGCCTTGTACCTTCAGACAATAAGATTTTTTTTGATTTTTTACTATATGTATATATTGAAAATCAATGACCCCGGGGCGGGGGCAATTTTGACCCCAGGGCTATTATTTGAACATTCTTGCTAGAGGTTTACTTCACAATGTTTCATGCAAAGTATCTAACCTCTAGCATTTGTCAATTGCTAGAAGAATTTTTTTAAAGTTTTTACTATAAGTTTTTACTATGTAAATATGAGGAAAATCAATGACCCCCGGGGCCGGGCCGATTTTGACCCCAGGGCTATAATTTGAACAATCTGGGTAGAGGTCTATCAGACAATGCCTTATGCAAAATATCTAAGCTCTAGGCCTTTTGGGTCTTTACAAGAAGGTATTTTAAATTTTTACTATATGTACATATAGTGAAAATCCATGACCCCCGGGGCAGGGCTGATTTTGACCCCAGGGCTATAATTTGTACAATATTGGTAGAGGTCTACCAGACAATGCCTTATGCAAAATATCTAAGCTCTAGGCCTATGGGTCTTTACAAAAAGGTATTTTAAGTTTTTACTATATGTACATATAGTGAAAATCAATGACCCCCGGGGCGGAGCCGATTTTGACCCCAGGGCTATAATTTGAACAATCTTGGTAGAGGTCTACCAGACAATGCCTTATGCAAAATATCTAAGCTCTAGGCCTTTTGGGTCTTTACAAGAAGATTTTTTAAATTTATTCTTATAATTCCTTTTGGTTGCCATGGCAACCAGATTTCTGCATGGAATTAATTTCTTTGAACAACTTTGGAAGCCCTTCACCCAAGGATCAATCCTGCCAAGTTTGGTTGAAATTGGACTGGTGGTTTTTCACAAGAAGATTTTTTAAGTTCACTATATAATCTATATAACACACAAACAAACACAGGTGAATCGCTATATGCCACCGCATCGCAGATGCTGCGGTGGCATAAAAAATATATATATATCATTTACTCACCCTCATCATCCTCTGTAAAGTCTGTAGTTTCTGTTAAATCTGAAAATAGAAAGAATATAAAATGTTAAAATAATATAAAAATGAATGACTGTTAAAATAGTTTAACACAATGAATTTAAGAATTGATTTGCCTTTCTTTTCCTTTCTATATTATTAAATAGTTGGTATTGTTTGACAATTGGTTTTTATTTCATTTTTACAGTATTATACATGCATTAAAAAACTGTACCGTACAGTACAGGATATTAAGCATGTATTCCTATAAATTTTCAATACTTTCCTGTTCATCCCTTAATACCCAGCTAAATTTGTTAAGTGGACTTATCTGCCTTCAATTAGAAATTACATGTATATCAAAACAGCAAAATTTTACCCATTACCTACTGAGTAGTTTGAATGAACTTGTCTTACTTTAATTTTTGGAATTGTCCATTATCAATTTTGGGGATATCAGGATTGTATACAATAGTATAGTACAGTGTTGTAAGTCTGCACAGATGTGCATGTTGGCCAGGCTCTATACAGGTTACAAGGGCCAATCACTTTTGGTTCCAGCAGTTAATTAAAGGTTTTAGCAATGAAAGAAAACAGTCTCAAGAAACTTCAACCATGTACAGGCTAGTTAGGGCTTTGGTTTTATACAGTTAGCATCTATAGACAAGTCCTTATCATTGTATAATAAGGACTTTTTCACAGGTCAGGGAGGGCCTTCCTTGGTTTAATATACCAATTGCACTCTAATATCTACCCTAAAGCTAAAACTTTAAATGAGTTTTTAATTTTGTTGATTTCCTCTGTATCAAAGAACGCTGTCTCATGAAAAAAACCACCAAAATAACCCAACTTTTTATGTGTATCTTTAACAATTCTAAATCATTAAAATGTATTTGTATTTTGAAGAAAAATAAAAAAAGTTTTAATTATACAAATAGTCATACTGACAGTGTCAAAACAGTTCCTCTATACAAATGTGAGCATACTTTTTGCAAGTAAGATAAAGAGGCTACATATTGATGAATTTTCCAAATCATAATTACCCCAAAATGTTAAGATTTTCCCCAAAACAAGCTTAATTTTTAAGGATAAAAACACAATTTGAAATTATTCAGTATCATCTGAAAAAAAATATGAATGTTTTTTTTCCATAATTCCCTTATTGTGACCATGCTGAAATTATCCAATTCAAAAATGCAAAATAACCCCAATAAACAATCACTGACCTTCATTATCATCCTCTTCATAAGGTTCATATTTTCCCATAACATCTCTTACATATTCATCCATTCGCTCCTCCTCTGATGTTTCCTGCCCCGCCTTTTTCTCCTTTAACTCCTCCTGCTTTTTCTGATAGCGTGCACTCCTTGATGATGCTCTAATGTTTTCTAACACTTGAAGCTCATTCATCGCTTCGGTCTTCTTAGCCTTTCCAGAATCTCGTTTATCTGAACTTTTCCGTCTTTCAGATTTAGAGTCTGTGCTTTTCTTTCTTTCAACCTTACTTTCAGCACTTTTCCGCCTGTCTGTTTTGGAATCAGAACTCTTTCGTCGCTCTGATTTTTTGTCTATTTTATCCTCATTTTTTGTGTCAGTGCTTATTTTTCTCTTTTTTGAAGGCGGACTTGTTAAGTCTGGATCAGTGTCATTCAAACCACTTGAATCTTGAGTCTTTGATTTTTTCACTTTTTGTTTCTTGGTTTCCAATAGGGGCTGTGGCGGTGGTTGTTTTATTTTCACTAAATCATCTTCTATGTCAGAATGTTCATTTTCCGTCACAGCCGTTGCATTTGATTCCTGTTCCTCCTCCTCATCAAGTGACACTGATTTCTTCCTTTTACCATTAGTCTTAGTCATTTTGAATGGAGGGGCAAACTTCATTTTAACCACTAATTTCTGGGACAGAGTCTTATTGGTCTTTTTTGGACTACTTTTTAACTGTTTCAATTCCTTTTTCGGACTAGGGAACAACTTTTTCTCACTTTTATTGTCTTTAATAGTTAAGCTAAGTGCTGGTTTTATTTTCTTTTTCTCTGATTTTGGTTTACTGTCGACTGAGTACTTTTTACCTCGCACAGTAAAGTCTATAGACTGAGGATCAACATTTATGCCAGCGTCCTCAACGTATCTCTCAAGTTCTGTTCGTGAACGGAACTTTTTCCCCTCTGGGCTGCAAAAAAAACCACCGTCACATGAAGTGATATTTCAATTGTTTTCTTTTCAAATAACATCAGACTATACAGCTGTAACACAAAATGTCTTTTTACATCCTCAAAATATTATCTTTATTTCAGGCTTTGAACTTATACCTAATTCACACACACCAAATAGGCTTCAAATGTTAAATAATCGCTGATATGTTTTACTATTTGAATAACAATGTGTTTAAAGTGTTGAAATTTTTAAACATACAATGCAACAAGTACTTAAGTGTCATAATTCTGTTTGTTCTCGACAACAAACTATTCTTAGAATAGTTTAACAAATAGAAATATTTGTGCTGTCAAATAAAGAAAGCAACATGCCTCCAAAATATTGCTTATTGTTACCATGTAAGTACATTTTTAAGTGTTTAAATAGTAAGAAAAAGTCAAAAGTGAAACTTAACCAACCATGCTCTTAAGTTTAATTTCCTAAAATCTATCAAAATATGTTTAAAAAAAAATAGCACTTACTTCTTTAATAACAGGGTAGAAATTTGGTGTGAAGTTTTTACTAAAACTTGGTGTGAAGCTTTTACTATGATAAAAAACCAACAAAAAACATGCACTATATAACATTGCTTTTAATGCATTGTGTGCAGCAAATTTTGCCTAGATTCAAAGGAGTGAACCATGGCACATTTTTATCTCTTCCTCAATTTCATTACAAAATACATGTATAACTATCACATGTAAACTTAGTGAAACACTATTCCCTACTTAAAGGTCCTAATAATTATTTTGTCTCATTCAAAGTATTTCTTAACATTTGTGAAACCTGTCAAGAGAGTGTGTACTTATTGAATTAGCAAAGTTTGTACTGATGTCACTAAATATGACATATTTTCAAAATAAATTTTTTCAACGACCAGTCTGTGTTGTAGAAGGGTAAAATATCTTGAAAGTACACCTAAAATACCTACCTGAAGACGTAGACATCATACTTTCCGGCAGATCTACCCTCCTTTCTCTGTCTCACCTCCCTGCTCCAGCCGGCAGGTAGGGAGGGATCAACGTACATTGGTGACACGTCATAGGTATGATCACTTCTAGAAACATAAAATCGTGTAAATAAATCATTTCAAAGCTCAAATTAGTGAACAGTTAACATTTTACGAAGTAAATACCTAGTTCTATGTACACAATATATTTTTCATCTAACAAGACTATGTCCAGTGTTTTTTTTCCTAATATAACTGATACCGAAAAATGGCACCATTCCCAATAGAAAATAGACAACAAATTTCCCAATTCATGACTGATAAATTCCCAAAATAACACTGAAAATTTCCTCAAAAATCGGCAAATTTAAAGGTAAACAAAAACAGAAATGCCATTGATAAGTGAAATGCAATAAAAACCAAGTATAACCACATGAGTGATATTCATACTACTTTTAGTGTTTCACACCTTAACATTATTTATGCACAATTGTTATGATTATCAATTTTTTTTTCAACCTCAAGAAGCAAAAATAATCATTAAAGTTAATAATACATGGTTTTAAAGTGTTTGTTATGCATAATTTTTATGTCGTCCTGGATAAAAGAAATTCCCAAAGAATATTTTGCATCTTATGTACCATTTCCAAAGTAGGGGAAAAAACACTGAATTGTCATAACACTTTTCTGATAAAAAGTAAATGAAATCAAGAGGCCCATAGTGGCCCTACATGCCTAACCTGAGATTCAATACTACATGTAATGATGTAGATCACATTTAAAATACATTCTGTAGAGGACCACAAGGTGACTCTATATAACATATATCTATGCTTTCAGAAAGATATTTTTAAGCATGTTACATTTACTATAAATGTCACAAACTAGAACACTTTAATGAGTATTCCTATATAAGTCTTTATAAATCCTGGGCGGGTTGGGGGGGAGGGACTAATTTTTACCTGAAGGAAATGATTTATATAACGTATGTCAAGGACTAGAAAGTGAAACTATATGCCAAATGTTTAAGCAAAACAAAAGGCAACAAACAAAACCACACACGTCATGGATTACTTAATTTATGTTAAATTAATGTCATGCACACACCTTTGATACTTAAAGAAGCATAGATCTACTTTACTTACTTCAACTGTTGCGATGATGCCATGCTTAATGAGGATTTTTACCCTGCAAACCAATCTGCAGTTACAAAAACAATTCACTCCTTTTGTCAACCTGTTGAAATAGACATCAAAAGATTAGTATATTAACAACTGAATGTAAATGTTTAATGTTTCCTCCATCATGCTATGGTCATAGTTCTGTAAAAAAAAAAATTCAATTTGAAATACACTGGCAAGAGAATTATTAATAACACATGGTATCATAGACCTTTAAACAAAACAATTTCAAACTATTTGGAGTAGATTTGACTTATTGTGGGACTTTATTTGAATCATGAAAATTGCAATGGGGCTTATTTTTTCTTCTTTATTATAATTATGTTATGTGCAGCTTATTTTGATTAAATCACAGTAGTCAGGTGATGTTGTGCTGTTGTAAAAAAAACAAAAACAAGAGGGCCATGATGGACCTAAATCGCTCACCTGAGTAGATGGTTTAAATTAACAAGATTGCATTATTAAGACATTGGTAAAAACATCAATTTTACAAAATTCAGTGTGCAGGGGTTGGTGTATTAAAAGAATAAATTTGTTGAATTGATACCTTTCATATCATTATTGCATAATGGACTCTACAAAAAGCATATATATTTAAACAGAACAAAACTTTAAATTGGTGACTAAAATTCTAAAAGGATGTATTTTTTAGCTCTGATAGCAATCTTGACCAGCAGACCCTGAGACCGGAACCATTTGAGCAATTTTCATATAAGACAAGCCAATGACAATTTTTAAGTTTCACAAAAATTGACCCAATAGTTAAGGAGAAGACTGATATCGTTTAAAGATTTTCTTTTTTTACCTCTGGCGACTTCTTGTTCAACTGACCAGAATTTTTCAAGACATTTTAGAAAAGGACTAAGGTTATTTCTGTAGACTTTCAACGAATTCTGTTGGACAGTCACTTAAGGACAAGATAACACTTTTTTTTCTATTTTCAATACTGGCAGCTATCTTGTTCAACAGACTGAAACAATTGAATCAATTTTTATTTCACCACAACTACAAAATTTTGTCATGTGTAATAAAAATTCATTTTTCATGAGATTTTTCTCAATCAATAATTTTATGTCCAAATACATTGCATCTGAAAACAGATCTATTTCAGACAACACATGTCTATTTTTGTTCACATTACTACTGTGATTTACATCAATCAACAATTAATTTTTCGAATTTTATAGCCAACAAATTATATTCTTTTCAGTATAAAGTCAGACTTCCCGAAGTTAAAAACAAGAGAGCCATGATGGCCCTGGATCACTCCCCTGAGCCATCAAACGCATCCAAGCAATGTTTTAGACAAGCATCATGGCCAAGTTTGATGACAATTGAGTCAAAAATGTGACCTCTAGTGTGTTAAAAAGGTTTTCAATATTTGGGCAATGTGACCTAATTTTTGACTGGAGATGACCCATATTCAAACTTGACCTAAAAATCATCAAAACAACCTTCCTGACAAATTTCCAGGATATTTCAATCAAAACTGCAGCCACTAGAGTGTTAAAAAGATTTTTCTATTTTTAGCTTCTGTGACCTAGTTTTTGACCTGAGATGAGCCATCTTCGATCTTGACCTAAAAATCATCCTATCAACCTTCCTGACAAATTTCCAGAATATTTGGATCAAAACTGCAGCCACTAGAGTGTTAACAAGCTTTTTCTATTTTTAGCTCCTGTGACCTAGTTTTTGACTGGAGATGACCGATCTACGAACTTGACCTAGAAATCATCAAACAACCTTCCTGACAAATTTCCAGAATATTTGGATCAAAACTGCAGCCACTAGAGTGTTAACAAGCTTTTACTATTTTTAGCTCCAGTGACCTAGTTTTTGATTGGAGATAATCCATCTTCGAACTTGACGTAGAAATCATCAAAACAACCTTCCTGACAAACCAGCATATTTGGATGAAAACTGCAGCCACAGGAGTGCTAACAAACTTTTTCTATTTTTAGCTCCTGTGACTTAGTTTTTGACCGGGAAGACCCATATTTGAACTTGACCTACAAACCATCAAACGACCTTCCTGATGACTTTCCAGCATATTTGCATCAAAACTGCAGGCACTAGAGTATTAACAAGATTGTTCTATTTTTAGCTCCTGTGACCTAGTTTTTAACCAGAGAAGACACATATTCGAACTTGACCTAGAAACCATCAAAATAACCTTCTTGACAAATTTCCAGAATATTTAAATCAAAACTGCAGCCACTAGAGTATTAACAACATTTTTCTATTTTTAGCTCCTGTGACCTAGTTTTTGACTGGAGATTACCCATCTTCGAACTTGACCTAGAAATCATCAAAACAAACTTCCTGACAAATTTCCAGAATATTTGGATCAAAACTGCAGCCGCTAGAGTGTTAACAAACTTTTTCTATTTTTAGCTCCTGTGACCTAGTTTTTGACCTGAGATGACCCACCTTCGAACTTGATCTAGAAATCATCAAAACAACCTTCCTGACAAATTTCCAGAATATTTAAATCAGAACTGCAGCCATTAGAGTGTTAACAAGCAGAAGCTTTTTCTATTTTTAGCTCCTGTGACCTAGTTTTTGACCAGAGATAATCCATCTTCGAACTTGACCTAGAAATCATCAAACCAACTTTCCTGACAAATTTCCAGAATATTTGGATCAAAACTGCAGCCACTAGAGTGTTAACAAGCTTTTTTCTATTTATAGCTCCTGTGACCTAGTTTTTGACTTGAGATAACCCATCTTCGAACTTGATCTGTATTTCATTGAGACATACATTCTGACAAAGTTTTACATTGATCCAATCAAAACTGTGACTGCTAGACTGTTAACAACCCAATTGTAGACGACAAACGATGCACAACGCACGACGACGGACCCCGGACATAGCCCCGTCACTATACCTCACCTTGACCACTTTGTGGTCAGGTGAGCTAAAAAGTGTCAGACATTCGGTCTGTCAAACCATGAAAATCTGTTGGACCGAAACAAAATCTGTCAGACCAAATAAAATTAATCAAAATCAAAGGAAAGCTGTGTTTGTTTTTCTAAGACACTTTTCAGTTTTAATTATTTGCCGTAAAAATTGGCACAAATCGCTCATTTTCATCTCTTCCTTGTCATACACCAACGATTCACGGTCCTGCTTCCATTTTTCATTAAATTTTGTCTCAGATATATTCTTTCCATCCTTTCACTGCTGTTCTGCGCGCTCCTCTAACGTAGATTTTCTTTTTTCCGAGGTTTGGCACCTTTAGCGACGCCATTTTATATACATGTGACTTGGATAAAAGCCGGACAGATCCGGAATAAAAAATTGTCGTACCTAATCAAAATTTATCGGACATGTCCGTTGGACTGATGTATTTCGAGAAGTCTGTAAAGTTTATTAAACCCTTGAATAGTGTTTAATATTAGCAAATAGTTTCATTGAAATGTTTAATGCACGTAAAGAATTCTATTGAAAAATGCTGGAATATTGGCAATGTAGTTGTAACGTTACTTCCCGTTTCACTTTTTGTAAGTTTAAAATAAACCAATACACTAATAAGAGCCTGTTTTATGATTTATTTTAATCATTAATTGTGTTTGCTACTGAAAAAAGTAATATTTATAACAGAGCATCAGTATTTGAGTGAAAATTCCGTTCTCAAATTTTGGTATTAATTACCGCAAGTAATCTAAATCATCGTCAGTTTCATACATTTCTTATCATACTTTCTTACTTTTAAAAGAAAAAAAAAAGCTGCCCGATCATCAGTCTCTCTTAACAATTTTCCGTTTGCTAGAAACAAGATCAAAGGAAGACGCCGAAATCTTATTTACGGCGGGGTTATACATGCCAAGGCAATCGTTACGTCATAACTGCTATGTGCCTTTTCATTGGTTTTCTGCATCTGTGGTTATAATATTGTGACTGATTGACAGGTAAACTGAGAAATTATGTAAAGTAAAGGGCAAATACTACAAATACTAAATAAATCCACAAGAAAACCCCAAGGTGAATAAGTACACATGCTGACCAACATTCTTGTAAACTTTCAGGCCTACAGGTCATAAACTTTTGAGTTAAGTGCAACACAAGTTAAATATTGTAAATTTTTACTAAGTCAAGGGCAATAACTCTAAAATACTAAAAATATCCACACGAAAATACCCAGGTGCACAACTACACATGCTGAGCAACATTGCTGTCAGTTTTCATGAATCTAGGTCAAATACTTTTTTAGTTAGGTGCGACACAACAAGTTGAAAATTGGAAATTTTTACTAATTTTCAAGGGCAATAACTCTAAAAATACTAAAAATATCCAAAAGAAAATACCCAGGTGCACAACTAAACATGCTGATCAACATTCCTGTAAGGTTTCATGACTCTAGGTGAAATATTTTTTGAGTTACGTGCGACACAACAAGTTGAAAATTGGAAATTTTTACTAAGTCAAGGGCAATAACTCTAAAAATACTAAAAATATCCAAATGAAAATACCCATGTGCACATCTACACATGCTGAGCAACATTCTTGTAAGGTTTCATGACCCTAGGTCAAATACTTTTTTAGAAACGTGCGACACAAGTTGAAAATTGTGAATTTTTACTAAGTCAAGGGCAATAACTCTAAAAATACTAAAAATATCCACACAAAATACCCATGTGCACAACTACACATGCTGATCAACATTCTTGTAAGGTTTCATGACACTAGGTCAAATACTTTTTTAGTTACGTGCGACACAAAAAGGGAACGGACGAATGGACGGACAAGGGTAAATCTAAATGCCCCCCCTTCCTATAGTGGGGGCACAATAAAAACAAAAATTATGATTTCCCCCAAAAAAATCCAAGTTACTTCCTGTTAATTAAATCCGTTATTTTTATGGATTTTTTTATTATTTTTTTTGTAGAATTGCTATTAATTAATGTTTTGAGTAAAGTACACAAAACAATGAAAAAATGACAGATTGTTAAAACAGATTAATTCTACATTCTTTCGTCGCATTTTAACATGTAATAATATTATATGATTCAGTTTCAATTTATTTTCCAACTGTCAATCTGTTTTGTTTTTTTGTAGTGCTATTCAGAGAACACCAAAGACGCCGCCGACTTTTAACTCGATGCAAACATAACTGTATCAACCCATTTACTGTTGTGTATTAATTATATGAAATTTAAATTTACACTGTCGGTGTGACGTTGCTTGTAGTAAATTTAAGTCAAATGTGCTAAGACCAATTATGTGTGTAAACTTTTTAAACTCGCTGATTAAAAAGTGACAGGTGTCGTATAAATTATGCAAAAAATTATTTGTTATGTTTTCATCAACAAATTGGAAGGCAATTATGTCCGATGGATCTGCATATCATGTCACTTAAAAGTTAAATGTGTTAATTGCGGTCAATTATCGGCAGTAACTGTGTTGTAACCAATTCAGTTTAAATTACGCCTGGACGCGAGGATTAGATTTATAGACAAGCACTGTGTGATACGTAATGATTTGTCCATGCAGTAAGTAAAAAAGCGCAGCGAAGTTGATTTAGCTTTGATGTTCGAACTCGGCAAAGATAAGAAACCTTTGGCGACTAAGCCACTTGATGACGATTTGATGTGGTACTCAAACCTGTACCTGAAGTTGTGCATTATTTTACATAACAATATGTATTACAATACCCGTTTACTGTATGTCACCTTATATATCTTGACACTCATAGTTATCTAAGATTAAATTAAAACTGAAGTCTGAACAATAGAAAAACTGCACTGCCACTCTCAGCGCAAAACATTTTTATTTTTAAGCAACACGACAGGAATAAGAATTGCGCATATTTAAAGTGTGAAAGGTAGTTGTCACAATTCAGTACTTTATGTTTACCTTATAGACTTATTGAAGGCGTTCTTCGTATTCAGATTTAGGCAAATTTTGGCATGCAAGCCGCCATGTTTACAATTTTAGGTAGCAACAATTATAAGATTGCATGACAAACGAAATTTTAAAGTTAGGTCACAAGACACCAATACACGTTGTTGTCACGGTCCGCCGTCTATAAGGTACTAAACATCAAATGTTGAGTGGTCTGGATTACCTGCCCTTTTCTCTCCGTACTTAATTTTATAGTACGACGGGAACCAGATTACAAATGTTGGATGTTCTAACCGTTTTTGTGATGTATTATCAAAAAAGAGAAAAACAGAAACTACTTTTGCAATGTCATACAACATTTACATTTACATGTTACTGCTTCACAATCAATTCAGATTATGACTAGCAGGTGAATTATCCCAGAGTCATTTGATTAAGCCGTTTAACGTGTGCTTCATTCATTTATTTGTGTGTTTTGGCCATTCCAATTTTTATTTAACAAATAATACATGGCCTTGAGGGCTATATATGCAAGTTTACGGACTGATTGGTCAGACTGAGGAAGGTATATGGCCTGTCAATTGTAAAAGTCAATACATTTTTTGAATAGCAAAATTTATAAGTTTGGTCCGGAATGTTGATTTGTTCAAGTATAAACCAAATACATCATTTATTTACAAAGTTGTAGCAAATTTTAATTTCAGACAGTATGATATGGTGTTGTCTGATATGTCATTTGGTCCAAAAATTTATAATATTTGCTATTTGCAAGATTTTGCAGAATTCAAATATTTTTTATAATCGTCCTTGATGGAAAAATTGGGCAATTAACATTGAAGAACAATGTCATTTATTGGTAAAGGTCAAAATCCTTACGATACATGCAGGTATACACTATGACCATTAATCATTAAAATCGGTTGAGCGGTTTAAGTAAACAGAGACACAGAAAATCAGGCGGCGTATAATGATGGGTATAATGCACAGCAGCCCATTTTCTTTTACCTTGTCCTCTATTACAATTTGATTTAAGCATGTTAAAAACTTGTTACGATACCAACTAAGAATAAAAACATCACGATGGTTCTAATTGCTCAAAAAGTTTGTTTTTTTTAATGGGAAAAAATGTGTGTCTTACTCTTTGTATTCATTTAGGATGACACATATTAAGTATACAGCTTGCAAAGATGAGTAAAAATCAATTACACATTAACCCTTTCGCTGCCAGAGGGTTATTGTTTTATTGATCACCTATTTGCCAGAGGGTTTTCTAAAAAAATTTACTATATTATTAATTAATATATTTATTATTTGTTATTAGTATTATAATAATTATATATGTTTCCAAATATGCTAGTATAATAATAATAATTGTTGATGGTATAATTTTCTATATATTTATTATTATTTTATTATTATTATTAATTTGTTATTATTATTATGATTATTATAGAAACGGCTAAAGCCGTCCATATGGCAAATACGGACGGCTTAAGCCGTCCCTATGGCAGTGAAAGGGTTAATTACTGATATACTAAAACCCGTGAGGCATGTGACGTCCGTGACGGCATCAACACGGAAAATATAATTTACTGTCACGGGTTTTGTTATTTTGTTAAGTTAGATTATTTATTTAAATATAAGGTACCAAAGATTTTATTTGATTTTATGAATGATTATTTTATTTTGATCTTTTTAATTTATCTCATAATCACGTTGCAATCACAACTTTATATTACAATAACGTCACATGATTGACATAGAATTAAATGTCATTGAGTACAGAAAAAATTTTACGTCTTATTCGGTCTGAACCGGCGATATCGGCGCTTCCTTTCAGACCAAAAGGTGGCGAAACGTGGATTTTTTAAGGGGACGGTCTCAAAGCACGGGATTGGCGAGCTGACGGACATCGTTGGATAAACCAAGGCACTGGGGGTCTTCCACGCAAAATATCTTGGTTAAAGAAAAAAGTATTTTTATATACATACCGAGAATGGTACATCAAAAGAATGTGTTAAATTTGTTTACCATGAACCTGATTGCATTAACGGTCCTTTTGTTATTCAGTACATCGGCAGTGAACAAATCTCTTAGCCGATGTCCCATGGAAATTCCAAAAACCAGGAACGCCCTTTTTAAGATCAAAGTCAAGCAGTCTAGAAAAATTGCTAAATAAAACAAAATCGGAGGATCCAAATTTAGTTTATAAGGAAGAATTTCATGACAACGACGAACAGCCAAGAGACTTAAAGCAAATCCAAAATCTGCGACATAATTAAAGGAAACACCGAACTTAGAATATCTCGTGATGCGTTATACAATCTGCATGCTTTAGCTAGAGACACAAGCAATCAGTTTATTCAGGCACGGACTTTAATTGACAATATAAATCCGTGATTCAGATAATCAATACTTTCCCAACAAATTAGTTGTAATATGCGGGCAAAAACTTATGTTTGAAGAACTGGAAAGAGTTCTGTACCTTGAAAATGAAAGTCAGTGTCTCAACTATGACACCACTTTTCAACTTGTGGATTTCTATGTTTAGACATATATTTTTAAGGTAATACCATGCATACCAGCAATATTTATGCTAATGGAAATAAGCCCCAGTTGATGTGGTAGTGTTGTCATTTCTACGTCTTCATCAATATTTTCTTAAAGAAATTTCTAGTGGTCGGGCAGCTAAAATTGATCTCCTAGAAATTATCCAATTTACAGTTTCACAACCAGAAGATATTGTAAACGACATTCGTGAAAACCAATTTGTCTCTAATACAGACAATGACGCACATCCAGATCCAGATATTCAAAAGATTGACATTAACTTCTCACGCGCCGATGAACTTATAAAGATGATAGAATTTTTCGCTCCAATGCTAAGTAAATTTACGATATTAGGAAGGGATGACAATGCTCGGGTTGTAACACTATTCGTGCGGAAACACGCATTGCTATCATTTAATAGCTGTAAAGAAATCTTTAGGTATGGAAGTGAACTTGAAAACCAAACCCAACATAACAACACTTAGATTTAGATGAAAAGAAAAAAGCAGACAGAAAACGACCTAGACAAGATGATTTCCCCTGTCAAAAATTCACGGCAATTGAAAAACCCGTGACTATTCTGCTGTCACGGAAATTAAATTCAGTCGTAACGGAAATTAGATTCACCCGTGACAGTACCAACACGGGATCATGATGACAAATCCGTGGCGACTCAGTCGCCAGAAGAAGATCCATCGCAATCGATATATCATGCAAATACAAAAGAATCTATTGTTATTTTATTTAGATTAACTGCCAAAGGGGACGCTAAATTTCTTCGGGACGCTTTTTAGTGAGACCGGAACTATGCGTGGATAGATGTACGATTTCGGGCGCTATAAAGATAATTTTATGTATGGAAAACATTTTTCTCGCTATTGTTACTTATATAACTATTTCATTAACTAAAATTACGAAGTATTTCAAAATAATTTTGGTTTCGATAAACATTAAACCTTCCGGACGCTTTGTCGGTATACGGTGGTTTTCGGTCTCACTAAAAAGCGTCCCGAAGAAATTTAGCGTCCCGAAGCGTCCCGAAGCATTATTGTTAATTTAAACAGTCAGAAGGGTTATATTTATTGTAAATAATGTATATTATTATGTATTGAGGTATTTATGGTAGAAAAAAATATTCTTACTTATCATTTTTTCTATTTATATAAAAAACAAACATACCTTCGACTCCATTTCACTTGCTCAAAAACCACCGTATACCGACAAAGCGTCCGGAAGGTTTAATGTTTATCTGAACCAAAATTATTTTGAAATACTTCGTAATTTTAGTTAATGCAATAGTAATGTAAGTAACAATAGCGAGAAAAATGTTTTCCATACATAAAATCATCTTTATAGCGCCCGAAATCGTACATCTACCCACGCATAGTTCAAGTCGCGTACTGACTAACATAGCGTCCCGAAACGTATTCATGGTTTCTATTTTTATCTAAGCAAAGATAAATCGTAATTAAGTTCTTTTATTATATGTGTAAGTGACATTAAAAAGGAAATAAACATTTCATCCACAAAATATTATTTTACAGCGCGAAAACTGACGTTTCCCATGTTGCGCTAACAAAGCGTCCCGAAGAATTTAGCGTCCCGAAATGTCATGAAGCGTCCCGAAGCATTATTGTTAATTTAAACAGTCAGAATGGTTATATTTATTGTAAATAATGTATATTATTATGTATTGAGATATTTATGGTAGAAAAAAATAATCTTACTTATCATTTTTTCTATTTATATAAAAAAAACTAACATACCTTCGACTCCTGTTCACTTGCTCAAAAACCACCGTATACCGACAAAGCGTCCGGAAGGTTTAATGTTTATCGAAACCAAAACTATTTTGAATTACTTCGTAATTTTAGTTAATGAAATAGTAATGTAAGTAACAAGGGGGAGAAAAATGTTTTCCATACATAAAATTATATTATCTTTATAACGCCCGAAACCGTACGTCTATCCACGCATGTTTCAAGTTGCTAACTGACTAACATAGCGTCCCAAACGTCTTCATGGTATTTTTTTATCTAAGCAAAGATAAATCGTGTTTTTTTCTTTTATGTTATGTGTCAGTGACATAAAGAATGAAATAAACTTTTCATCCACAAAATATCATTATACAGCACAAAAACTGACGTTTCCCATGTTGCGCTAACAAAGCGTCCCGAACAAATTTAGCGTCCCGAAGCAGTTTCACTTTAAACATCGATATAATTAAAAGAAATCACTATCCATTTAAATATTTTTTTTTCTAGATGATATTATTCAGGAAGACAGTTCTTCTCTATCAAATATTATTTGATATCCAGAAGATTAAAGTAGACATGGACGTGCGCAGTTGATGACACACTCTCATATTCCTAAAATTAGGAAGCGTCCGGAAGATGTTATTGTAATCCAAAAAAGTTGATATTGTAATAAATTGTATATAGCCGAATACAATCATTATCAAGTAACATTTGTTTTTATGGATAATATTAATCGGTTCACGTTAGCCATGTCGCGCTAACAAAACGACAGGAAAAAAAACCCTGACAGTATTTGAAATAAATGGTAACTTATTGAAATCATTGTTTTTTCTAAATTGTACCGATCATGACATTATGTGTTATCCATAAGAAGGTTATATATTTCTATAACACTTATGTACATGTATGTAAAAGCAAAATTTTAATGTTTGTATTTATAAATATTTCATGGAATGCACGGGCTGGCAGTGTCATTTTTCCGGTTTGTATGTACTGTAGGTAATTATACATTTAGGTGCACGAGCACTGTTCTTATAATCTATAATTATTGATTTGTGATTCATTGTCTCGTTCCTTATGTTGATTAGTGTGTTCATTTCATTGCAATCCTAATATCATTTTGTCAAGTTAATGAATAATATACATGACATCCCACCTAACAAGACTATTATCATTATGATTTGTTTAAATTGTCTAAATTTTAATTATTGTATTTCTAATTTTTTAAGCCGTAAACGGAGTGAAGATTGTAATCTATCGATAGAGGAAATTAACCGCAATCGCTATGGATACCGCACTACATCCACCCCCCGTTGTGTACGCATTACTGAAGAGTCCAGATAACTGCCTTTCCTAGTTTATTGCAGTGTATATCCGGACATTCGTTCGTAAACTGTGAATAAGTTATATAATAGTTTTTAGACATTTTTGTGTATAATAACAGTACATATTTGTTGTTTTCTGTGATATCTTAACACTAGAAAATGTAAAATTTCAAAATCGTATGATAATTTTTAAAACTTTTTTTTTTATTTTCAGACTCTATATCACAGTAGATATGTAAAAATAGTGTATATTACACGGGCAAAATCATGAAATTGTGAATACCTGAAATAGTATGTAAGTATTGGTAAGTATTACAATAAGTATTATAAACAGGTAATTACCGATATTTTGAATTAATACAAGGAAATATACATTTCTTCTGTTTCTGTATATATTCATTACTTAATGTATGATGCACTGATAGAAAAACGGAAATTCATTGGTAAGGTTATATTCCGATTGATTTATATTGACAACTGAGGTAATTTCTTTCGAGACATGTGTGTGGCCCTTAAAAGGGCCTTTTGTTGTCCTTAAAAGGACAGTTTTCAGCCATTCACGTATCTGTTTTACACAGCACGCGTTGTAATCTGGCCCTGAATTTTTTGTGCCCGTTTGTGTTAAGATGGACCTTGTCTGTGTGGTAGTTCTTACAGTATTTAATATCATTGAATCGAATTAAATATTCTTTGAATTTTTTCGCCAGCCTTTTATTAATGTATTTTATTTGATTTCCGAAGCGCTCTTTTGTCAAACCCGGTGCTTTAGAAAATTCGCCTGTGGTCAAAATTTCACAAATATAAACTTTTTTAACCCCAGAGGCCTTTAAATTATCCACAAGAATTTGGATTCTACTGACAATTTCGTTCGGGAATGATGTAGCTGTTATGTCATTACCGCCTACATTCAGAACTACAACATCTGCGTTTTGGCGCAGCAGACGAGAATATAGGGCATGGTCCATATGGTCGGTTCTTAGACCGCCTTTAAAACACCAATGCACGTGCCCTGGTCTTCGGCACAGTGATAGTGAAGACGTTTGATATAACTGTCACCAAATAGTACGACTTTAGCCATTGTAAGTCAGACTGTAATCAGTACGCAATAACTAGTAGTTTATATACATCTAAACTGAGCTGAAAATGTCATATTTCAATGTTTGAATGAAGTAAACTGTTAACACAATGTAACACCTACCTGCATAAATAGTGCCTGAAGTAATTATATATCAATCACGATTTGTATACAGCCGTAAGTGTGAAAAATAGCATACCTACTCCTTAGATAGTCTCTTGTTAATTCGTTCAATTATATACATTAGAATATAATATTTTTTCTTTTTCCAATTTCAAATTTTATTGCCTGAAACATTATACAATGTTTATAGCATATAAACAACATAAACATATATACATATATATGCAAGCATTGCATAACAGTTATCTACAACTATAAAGAATGTCATTCCTAGAATGATGTGAAATGTATTATTGGAATGTCATTCATAGATTTGAAAATGTATTCAAACAAAAGACACAGTAAATAAAAAGGGAGAAACACATTAACAACAACATCATAATAACAAGCCGTGCGTAGGTTTCGAACCTATTAGTTCAAATCATTTAAAGTAACAGTGACGTTGATTTACCACCTGAGCTATCACGATGTTAGAATTAAACTATATGAGTCGCGTCACGACAAAACCAACGTAATGCGTTTGCGACCAGCATGGATCCAGACCAGCCTTGGCATCCGCTGTTCGCTTACAAACCCTATAACAAGTAGAGAATCTGATAGCGCACAGCATGTGTGTGGATGCGCAGGCTGGTCTGGATCCATGCTGGTCGCAAACCCATTATGTTGGTTTTGTCATGGCGCGGCTCTTATCTAGTTGTTGACACTTTCGTTTTCGGATAATATGCAGAATTACCCTTTTAATGGACTTTCCCAACAATATACAACAATATACATAGAACACATATAACATGATTTAAAAAGTACATTGCCACTCATATGTTGAGTTATAAAAGACTTTAGTAACAATTCAACGAATAAAGAGACTTACGTAATTACTGCTATATATACTATATGCATGCTTATATCCTTAAAGCTAAGAAGCAGACGCTAATCGTTAAATAAAAAATCATTAAAATACACGACGATAAAAAACTGAATGTGGAAAAAAGGCACTATTGCGCAATTCAGTTATATAAATAGAAAAAAAAAGATAAGTAAGATTATTTTTTCTACCACAAATACCTTAATACATAATAATATACATTATTAACAATAAATATAACCCTTCTGACTGTTTAAATTAACAATAATGCTTCGGGACGCTTCATGACATTTCGGGACGCTTAGCCTTTCCAGAATCTCGTTTATCTGAACTTTTTCGCCTTTCAGATTTAGAGTCTGTGCTTTTCTTTCTTTCAACCTTACTTTCAGCACTTTTCCGCCTTTCTGTTTTGGAATCAGAACTCTTTCGTCGCTCTGATTTTTTGTCTATTTTATCTCAATTTTTGTGTCAGTGCTTATTTTTCTCTTTTTTGAAGGCGGACTTGTTAAGTCTGGATCAGTGTCATTCAAACCACTTGAATCTTTAGTCTTTGATTTTTTCACTTTTTGTTTCTTTGTTTCCAATAGGGGCTGTGGTGGTGGTTGTTTTATTTTCACTAAATCATCTTCTATGTCAGAATGTTCATTTTCCGTCACAGCCGTTGCATTTGATTCCGCTTCCTCCTCCTCATCAAGTGACACTGATTTCTTCCTTTTACCATTAGTCTTAGTCATTTTGAATGGAGGGGCAAACTTCATTTTAACCACTAATTTCTGGGACAGGGTTTTATTGGTCTTTTTTGGACTACTTTTTAACTGTTTCAATTCCTTTTTTGGACTAGGGAACAACTTTTTCTCACTTTTATTGTCTTTAATAGTTAAGCTAAGTGCTGGTTTTATTTTCTTTTTCTCTGATTTTGGTTTACTGTCGACTGAGTACTTTTTACCTCGCACAGTAAAGTCTATAGACTGAGGGTCAACATTTATGCCAGCGTCCTCAACGTATCTCTCAAGTTCTGTTCGTGAACGGAACTTTTTCCCCTCTGGGCTGCAAAAAAAAACCACAATCACATGAAGTGAAATTTCAATTTTCTTTTCAAATAACATCAGACTATACAGCTGTAACACAAAATGTCTTTTTACATCCTCAAAATATTATCTTTATTTCAGGCTTTGAACTTATACCTAATTCATACACACCAAATAGGCTTCAAATGTTAAATAATCGCTGATATGTTTTACTATTTGAATAACACTGTGTTTAAAATGTTGAAATTTTTAAACATACAATGCAACAAGTACTTAGTGTCATAATTCTGTTTGTTCTCGACAACAAACTATTCTTAGAATAGTTTAACAAATAGAAATATTTGTGCTGTCAAAAAAAGAAAGCAACATGCCTCCAAAATATTGCTTATTGTTATCATGTAAGTACATTTTTAAGTGTTTAAATAGTAAGAAAAAGTCAAAAGTGAAACTTAACCAACCATGCTCTTAAGTTTAATTTCCTAAAATCTATCAAAATTTGTTTTTAAAAAAATAGCACTTACTTCTTTAATAACAGGGTAGAAATTTGGTGTGAAGTTTTTACTGAAATTTGGTGCGCAGCTTTTACTATGATAAAAACCCCAACAAAAAACATGCACTATATAACATAACTTTTAATGCATTGTGTGCAGCAAATTTTGCCTAGATTCAAAGGAGTGAACCATGGCACATGGGGTCTTAAAATCTGTAGCAGTGTTCAACCTAAACTCTAAGAATTGATTTCGTTTAAATCTAATTTTGCATATCTATGGTACTTCCTACATAAACAGAGCGCGAGATATCGAAATTATTATTTTTGGTCCTTTACTTTGTCAAATCGTCAACTAATTGTTCGCTTTAGCAGTGAATGAAATGTTGTTTTGTTATTTGAAAACAAGCGAAAACTAGCAGCTGTTTGCAAAAATTGTGTAAGGTACACCTTGTAACGTTACATTCGTAAAACTTAGTTAAAATCCCTCAAAATTAGATCTATGTGACCTTTCAAACATGTCAAATAATTTTCAACTGTTAAACTCGTTTTATTTTCAGGGATCTTATTTTAAGGCGTGACTGTAAGAAGATGGATATCAGACTAGTATCAGCCGGTGATGATATTAAAATATGGGACAGTGATGATTTCACTCTTACCAGGCAGCTTAATCCACATAACCAGAACATCTCTAGTGTATGCTGGGCTTATGACAGTATCCTTTAAGCAAAAAAAAACTATACTACCAATAATGCGTGCATGCTCTTATGGAATAAGTTTATTGTTAAAGTGCTGCATCTCTGTCAGTATCACGGTAATATCAACATGTACTGATTTACATACTGTACAGTATCCTGCCAGCGCCTACAAGGCTACAGGTAGTGCCTGGGATGGCAGTTACCCCAACAGCACCACTTAATATAAACAAAGATGCAGAATAACATAGCATACACTATTTGTAGCTGCAACAATTTCCTTATATCCTAATCTATTCTAACATGCCTTATGATTTTGTCACTATACACAGTGAAGAAGATAACTGAGTAAAAGTCTAAAACTGCCAATAAAGACTTTTTTCCCATTATTTTTATTGTTTTCTGTTAAAATAATGCTAAAATAAAATCTCACTGACACTAACTACACATGTTTTATCCATATCAGTTGATAAAATTAATATAAGAAAAATCTATCCTAATTTGAAGTGCTCAGCTTTAATGACATCACATGGCTTCTGCATTCTCATTGGTATCACATAAAGTTTTTTTGCGTTTCCTCTCTGTTCCACTGAACCAGGATGTTGCTTTGAAACTTGGAGTGATTGTTCATAAATTACTATGACTGCCAAACTTATACTTTATGAAACAATTTTGACTTACATGTCTTAAAAGACTTCATAAAATTTTTTCTCTATCTACAAAAACTCTAGATATGTGATATTTTATGCTATAATGTATTTTTAAAGGTAGCCGTATGTTAGTGAATAAACATTTAATATCATCACTCATTTGTTTTGAATCATTTGAATTCAGTACAGATAGAATTTGCTGCTGAGTTCGCCAAAGCTGCAAGTTAAAAAGGTTTTTTATGAATGCAAAAATGAGTTTAAAGGAAGTTGCCATTATTGCCTTAACTCTAATATCAGACAGTTACCTGGCAAGTGTTTCTATGCATGCTGAAGATATCGCAGTAACTAATATGAGCACATTTGAAAGTACGAGATTAAAAACTGGGGTAAATATGTTTTAGTTATACCAAGAGTCATGTTTACTTCTTGAACAGAAAAAATTCTGTAACTGCAGTAAAAAGGGTTAAATGACCAAATAAACAGCTCTGGATGAGGAAATTCGTAATGTGTTACATTTCTCCGTCAGAAAATTGCAGGTTGTTTTAAAAATTCAAGAAGAATAAGAAAGAAAAAAATCACTGCCTTTGAAAATTTTCCCCTGTGTGAATTTTTAGCTCGACTATACGAAGTATATGGAGAGCTGTCCTACTCGCCCCGGCGTCGGCGTCCAGATTTCAGATTAAAGTTTTGGTGCAGTAAAATATTTTTCACTATAACTTTGTCATTTATTAAGGTATCAACTTCAAACTTCAAATATATGTTCCTTATCATCAACCACATCTTATGTGATAAGGTTCATAACTCTAGCACCAATATTTTCAGATTTATCTCCCCTTGAACTTAGAATTTTCCTTAAAAAATACTATTTTTTACTGTTACTTCTTTATTTCATAAGGGATCAACCTCATACTTCAAATATATGTACCTTATCATCATCCCCATCTTATATGACAAGGTTCATAACTCTAGCACCAATATTTTCAGATTTATCTCCCCTTGAACTTAGAATTTTCCTTAAAAAATACTATTTTTTACTGTTACTTCTTTATTTCTTAAGGGATCAACCTCATACTTCAAACATATGTACCTTATCATCATCCCCATCTTATGTGACACGGTTCATAACTTTAGCACCAATATTTTCAGATTTATCTCCCCTTGAACTTAGAATTTTCTTTAAAAAATATTATTTTTTACTGTTACTAATTTATTTCTAAAGGGATCAACTTCATACTTCAAATAAATGTACCTTATCATCATCCACATCTTATGTGACAAGGTTCATAACTCTAGCAACATTATTGCAAGAATTATCTCCCCATCAACATTGATTTTTTTACTAGAAAAATGTTATTTTTTACTATAACTTTTTTAGTTTTAAAGGTATCTACCTCAAACTTCAAATACTTATTCTTTATAATCAATTATATTTTATGTGACAATGTTCATAACTCTTGAAGTAATTTTTACAGATTTATTTCTCTTTGAACTTAGGATTTTCTTTAAGAAATATTATAACTATGTTACTTTTTAAGGTATCTACTTCAAACTTCAAATATATACGTCTTATCATTACATACATGTTGTGTGACAAGGTTCATAACTCTAGCATGACTATTTCTAGAATTATTTCCCTTGATCTTGGAATTTATTTTAACAAATGTTATTTTTTTACTATAACTTAATACATAATTATACATAATTGATTTTTCTTTCATAGTTTTGTCCTCCTTACTGCGTCCAGTATTTTATTAGTCGAGCTTGGCTGTCTCCTGTGACAGCTCTTGTTAAGATTCTAGATTTGTGTGAAAGTTTCATTTTGACAAGTACTAAAAATATTCTCATGAACCTTCACTTACATGTACATCGTCATGGTCATAATTTTAAGATGAAGAAGCTGTAGATAAGACTTTCTCTGATTTATTTCATCTTTTAGAATTTTTTTGTCACTGTTATGTCAACATCTTTCTGTGTTTCAGCCTGGCTGCCTGTGTATAGATGTGAATGACTCATCAAGATATTTGCTCAATGGTTGCTCAGATGGTTTGATATCAGTATGGGACTTAAAGTCACAAAAAATCAGCAAAACATACAAAGTAAACAACTTTTTTATCATGTCATTATATCTGTGCAGTATGATCATAGTTTGCACTTTTCAATATTCAGCCACTACATATTTTGAAATATTTCCTAAATCTGTTAAATGGTGTCTGTCCAGATTGAAAAATGGACAAGTTATTTAGTGTAATAACAGTTAATACAAGTCCATTTAAGATACTTAGCAGAGTAAAGGTAAGAAAACAACAACATATGTTTACTCTTTTTAATATAAAGTTATTAATATTTGAACTTTGCTACGTAAATTAGCTATAGAACCATATAAGAGGCACTTTATGCCTTTGTATGTAGACTAAAAGAGGGCGTGCCCTGAAATTTGCTCAAACAATTCAACAACAAAGAATTGTTGTTCAATGTTGATCTTTACCAAGCCACAAAGTTCAAAAGCATTGCTAGATAGTACATGTAAATATATCATCAAATTTTAATTTGTAGTAATAATAATTTTTCTCATATCTAGGGTCATAAAGGGCCAGTTACTTGTGCAAGATTCAACCAAGGATCCAGTGCTATAGCATCAGGGTCCGAGACAGGGGAGATAATAATATATAATGTAGTGACAGGACAAGGTTGTAGACCCTTGGTTGCACCAAATGTTCAGGTATTTATTTACATGTTAAGATAAGTAGAAAATATCTAGGGCTGGGGAGAGTATCTGAGTACTCGGTTTATCGCAAATCAAAATGAAAAATCTAGTACGAATATTCGTCAGTCCAGAGATCGTAGATCATGATCTTATTTATTGGTAAACATTCACTCTTTCTCACACTCTAAAAGTCAGGGGTAAAAAATACAATTTGTGTATGAATTATGCAAAGTTTACCAAGATTAAAGACAGGAAGTAAACAAACAAGTACCACGATGATGAGCTAGGAAGTCATTTGTTTCAAAAAAGGAATCACTTTATCTTTATTTGGCACTATGTTTTTGCATGAAAATAAATATTTACAAAACTCAAGTTAATAATTACCATAATTACGTCTGTGTGATGTCAAACATCCTGTCTGAAACAATGTCTGAAAAGGAGTCGCGCGGATATAAAAAAATTCTACCAGCAAAATTTACCTCCAATGTTTGGAAATACTTGGTATTTCAACTGAAAGTGAGAAAAATCTAGTTTATATTTGCATATGATATATGTTTAATGTCTAGCATTGTTTAAAGAAAAAATAAACACTTTTTCAGAACTAGTAATGTTCATGTTTTCATGGGTGTCTTGATAACAAAAGATTCATGGTTTGATTTGTGAATCATAAGTGCTGAATCGTGGATCAGATCGTCACTTATCCGACGATTCACACCCCTAGTTTTATCGGCATATAAGAAAATATATATACCCAATACTTTAGTATCGCAGTTGTTACAGTTTTGGTCTAGTTATTATACTGTGACATGCTAAGTCATTATTTTTGAAAAACAAGATAGTATTTAACTATTGAAATAAATTTGTGTACAAAATTATTACTTTCATTACTTAAGAGATATTATGAATACAGTGTAAGCTAATTTGTATCTGCAGCAATAATGACTGTGATGAATTATTTTGATTTTCCTTGACCACAATTCTGTGTTCAACGTTTATAATTGACTCATGTATTATGTGCAACATTCAAGATTTTCATTTCATTAATGTGTTCTCTATTAACCATTCAAGCTTTGGTCCTTTTGGTTTTTCTTTCTGCTCATTTATTCCATACATCATAAATAATATATATATCGTAAATATATACCTATTATTTCTGTTGTTAGTGCACATTTGCAGTATGATACACAAATTAAGTATACATATTATATACAATTCTCTTTGGTAATGAAAACTTAAATAATTATATATTTTATTATCATAGGCAATAAAACAGATACAGTTTAGTCGATACAAGAAATCTTTGTTTGGATCAGTATCTGATGACGGTTGCGTGAATCTCTGGGACGCCAATACCCGACAACAGATTCACAGTTTCACATGCCATCGTGCACCAACTACGGGCTTAAGTTTCTCACCTATCAACGATATATTCCTGATGTCAGTCGGCCTCGATAAAAGGATAGCTTGTCATGACGTCCACACCAAAAAGTAAGTTTTGTTGATCAAGTTGTCTGTAAAGGCTGTCAGGCCCCTTGGGATGAAAGCAATATATCATCATGTTCATTGAGATACAAATAAATGTAGATAAAAGTTATGTTATACCAAACTATTTTTTTTTTTATAGATTTTTGCATGTGAGCCTAAAATGTTCGGGTTGGGCTATTAAATTTGCGGCCAGTTGGAAGTCAAAGTCTGATGGTTAAGTTTCCTTAGCTATAGTCATATCTTTTGTATTGAATTTCTTTTGTAAGATTATGTAAGTAGAACCTAGATGAATAAGTCTAAGAAGTATAATGAACACAACTTTCATAGAAAAGCACTGATCAAGTGATTATAATGATATGACAGGAATTAATAATTGTATTAGCTAATTATTTAACATTCTTTTTAATGTCAAACAATCAATGTTTTATTGGGCTGCTAATTGTGATATTCTACTTTATGATAAATCTTTTTCTTAGTTTTAATCCAGTCAAGTTTATATTCACAATCTTAGGGTTGCACAGAAAATTCTTGTCATTGTCATTCTGTCACCTTAGTGCATTAACAACTTAACTCCTATTACTTATATAAGGAGTTAACCCGTTACTGCACTAAGGTGACAATTTGGCCATGTCTTATGTTTCTATGAACACAGAAACTGTAAACATGTATATGTGAAACTAATATTTGAATTACAGAGTTGTGAAGATTATGACAGCTGAGAGTCCCCTTACATCTATTGATACAAAGAGTGATGGAGTAACTGTGGCAGTTGGTTCTACGCGTGGTAAGATATACCACTATGATCTGAGGAAAGGCCTGATGCCAGTGAGGACAATTGATGCACACAAGTCTTCTGTACAGTGTCTGAGATTCCAGACAGAACAAAAGGTAAATCTTTCGAAAGATATGTATGACTTGGTTGCAAATGCTTTGTTTTACCATATGAAAAAAAAGAAAGAAAAATAACATGATATTTTTCTCCTTTTGTAATAAACTTGTGTAATCACACTGGATGCCTGTTGCTGTAAACTGCCTGGATTTTTTTTCTGTGAAATATTTAAAGGGGAAAACATAAGATATCAAAATGTACTTTTATTATAAAATCCAATATAAATTTTCACCTTTTCAAAGTGGTCAATTTCTAAAATTGCAATATGGGGCATTAAAGATGCAAAAAAATATCAGTCACATAATTAGATCTAATGTCCATTGCTACATTTATCTTTCCCCCACATTTTCTAGAGCCTCAGCTTATCTTTGGTCTACTCTTCACTCTTGTTGCCTGTTTAATTACTTTAAGTCTACATGTGTGGACACTTCCTAGGGAAATAGCTTTCTTTTTACAGAGGTAGGGGAAAAGGTGTTTCCTTTAAATTTAGTGAAAAATAACACTGTATTTTTGCAAAAGAGGAAAAAAGATTTAATTTAAATTGAATTTTAAGGGTAGACTGCATGCTGCTGAAGAATTTCCCAGAGGAAAATTAATTATGTCTCCCCCACAGGGGAGACATATTGTTTTTGCCCTGTCCGTCCGTCAGTCCGTCCGTCCATTCTTCGTTTCCGGACGATAACTAGAGTTCCTTTTGACCTACAGCCCTCAAACTTCATAGGATGATTGGTCTTATAGAGCTGATGATCCCTATTGTTTTTGGGGTCAGTAGGTCAAAGGTCAAGGTCACACTGACCGTTGGTCAATTTCTCGTTTCCGGATGATAACTAGAGTTCCTTTAGACCTACAGACCTCAAACTTCATAGGATGATTGTCTTATTGAGCAGATGATCCCTATTGTTTTTGGGGTCAGTAGTTCAAAGGTCAAGGTCACAGTGACCGTTGTCAATTTCTCGTTTCCGGATGATAACTAGAGTTCCTTTTGACCTACAGCCCTCAAACTTCATAGGATGATTGGTCTTATAGAGCAGATGATCCCTATTGTTTTTGGGGTCAGTAGGTCAAAGGTCAAGGTCACAGTGACCGTTGGTCAATTTCTCTCATTTCGGATGATAACTAGAGTTCCTTTTGACCTACAACCCTCAAACTGGGGGGAGACATATTGTTTTTGCCCTGTCCGTCCGTCCGTCCGTCAGTCCGTCCGTTCATTCTTCGTTCCGGACGATAACTAGAGTTCCTTTTGACCTACAGCTCTCAAACTTCATAGGATGAATGGTCTTATTGAGCAGATGATCCCTATTGTTTTTTGGGGTCAGTAGTTCAAAGGTCAAGGTCACAGTGACCGTTGGTCAATTTCTCGTTTCCGGATGATAACTAGAGTTCCTTTTGACCTACAGCCCTCAAACTTCATAGGATGATTGGTCTTATAGAGCTGATGATCCCTATTGTTTTTGGGGTCAGTAGGTCAAAGGTCAAGGTCACAGTGACCGTTGGTCAATTTCTCGTTTCCGGATGATAACTAGAGTTCCTTTAGACCTACAGACCTCAAACTTCATAGGATGATTGGTCTTATTGAGCAGATGATCCCTATTGTTTTTGGGGTCAGTAGTTCAAAGGTCAAGGTCACAGTGACCGTTGGTCAATTTCTCGTTTCCGGATGATAACTAGAGTTCCTTTTGACCTACAGCCCTCAAACTTCATAGGATGATTGGTCTTATAGAGCAGATGATCCCTATTGTTTTTGGGGTCAGTAGGTCAAAGGTCAAGGTCACAGTGACCGTTGGTCAATTTCTCATTTCCGGATGATAACTAGAGTTCCTTTTGACCTACAACCCTCAAACTTCATAGGATGATTGGTCTTATTAATCAACCTTGTATATAAACCTCCGTCATTGCCGATTAACTTGTTCCTTCAAAAGCTTACCCTTGTCTTGGAAAATTCACCAACAGAAAACTGCATAGTTCTAGGAGACTTCAACATTGACCTCATTCAATATTTAGAACATCCATTGACCCACACTATGTTACGACATCGCTTTAAACAAATAATAAACAAGGCTACTACAGCACACAACACACTTATTGACCATATCTACCAGAGAGGCTTGATTGTGAAAACGAGTGGAGTCATCCCAACACACTACAGTTATCATGATTTGACATACATTGAAATTTGAGTTGTCTTTCAATAGTGTAAAAAATCTGACAATATGAACGTTTGTTTCAAGTATCATCAAAATCCTTCAAAGGGTTGAAGAGTTATGGAGCAGACACAATTTCCTTTAATTTCGTTTGTGAAACTATATATGATATGACATTCAAGTGTCAAGTAGACCTTGACCTTGGAACCAGCCATACGAAACATTACTCTACACGTTCTCTGGATGTGGTGAATTTTTGTTTCAAGTATCTACAGAGAGGCTTCATTGTGAAAACGAGTGGAGTCATCCCAACACACTACAGTTATCATGATTTTACATACATTGTAATTTGAGTTGTCTTTCAATAGTGTAAAAAAAATCTGACAATATGAACGTTTGTTTCAAGTATCATCAAAATCCTTTAAAGGTTTGAAGAATTATGGAGCAGACACAATTTCATTTAATTTTCATTTGTGAAACTATATATGATATGACCATCAAGTGCAATTTCGTTTGACGCCCGCCTGCCATACGCTGATTGAATAACCAGGATTTTCAAAATTGAATACCTGGTTAAAAACAAACAGTTTAGGAAGCATCTTCTCATACAACCTTAACAATAGAAACCATCCATAGACAGCCTTCATTGAAGTGACTACCGGGTATTTACATAATCTTATCTCCATTTCCATTCCTGTTTCCATTCACAGTTATTCTCAGCAGTGGGGGAGACATGCGCTTTTTTACAAAAGCATCCTCTAGTTACAATTACAATTAATGACAAACAATTAATGACAATTCACAAGTTTATTTAGATTATCATTTTTTTGTTGACATCAAGTATTTTCACAATTTTCAGGGTGATTCGTTCAGTGGTAGATCAACCTCAGGATCAGTTAAACAGCATATAAGAAACAAAGGGAGGCAACTTCCTTCAATGCCAAGGGAAAATATAGGTGAGGATTTTATTGACAATCCTTGTCAGAGATCTGCCGAGGACGCGATTTTGCGCCATTGGCGCTAAAAAAATGAGAATGGCGCAGGAAAATCGGCAGCCAAAGGGCCATGGGCGGATCTCAAATCTGTGGTAGACTTATAAGAAAACAAAACTGTCTGCTGGTTTATTTAGTCATCCAGTCAAAACTGGTACCAATTGCAACATTCCCCTGTATTACGCATATTCTTGAGTTTATCCATTCCCCTATAGCATCTACTTACCGCATTTCTTCTCATAATTCCTTTCCCACACAGATACTCATTTCTACTACGTAAATTTAATCCAATATAACAAACAAACAAATTATACAACTACTTAATATTTAAAATGATTATCGGTAACTGAAAAAAAGTGTTGCTATTTTTAGAAATGCTGTAAGTTACAGCATAATTTGACAGGTGTACAACATGAGCACCCCTAAGGTCACTCAAGTTGACGCAAGCTTTGTAAAAAAAAGATGTCTATTTCGTCATCAGAATATTTGACAGGGTGATTAACCAATCAGGGAAACATTGTGCATGACTTTTCATGATCAAAAGGTCTGTCGGCAAGTGTCTTTGATGTATGCTGTCTACACAGAGGCATACAAGGGGAAATAAAATCTGCAAATACACAGTGGAAGGGGGACATTTAGGGGCAAGTAGGAAACAATTCAGTGGATTAATGCACATATTTAGGACATTTATAAGTAAACCCCCCAAGCAATTTTATGTGAAATTTGCATTTAAAATTTCTTGACAGCTCATTTAAAAAATTTTTGCTTACAATTAATATTAGTTTTGAAAGTTTACAAAATGTATGCTAATGTTTTTTAATTATTGGGGTTTAAGTATGAATTTCATAAGTAACCTTGTCAAAAAAAGTGATTTTAAGTTTTATTACCAGGGAATTTTCAATTATCTACTTTTAAAATTTTTAACAGGTTATTTTAGGTCAATGTTTTTACTTTATTTGCCAAAGGCCCCATACTTTTGGGTAAAAAAATGGCCATCATTTTCAGACCAAGTGGGCCCAGGGCCCAGTACTTGTTTCAAATTCTTGCAAATTCTCTGGGCTTGTATATTTGGTAGAAATTTCGTTAGATTTGGATGAACATATATAAATATTGAGCAATTTCCTCGTACTTAATATTTTTTAGGTGAAAGTGTTATTAGTGGTATTAAAAATTAAATTTATAATATTAATTGTCCAAGTAGAATTCAATTGAATAGATTGTAGGTTTAAAGGCTGAATGCCTCACAAGAATATGAGCCTAATATGTTTTAAGAAAATATAACTTGAGAAAAATGCACTAAGATTTTAAGAAAAGTAAAAAAAATCAAGATTCAAGTAATCGTTTCCATGTTATGTGCAATTATTGACAGATTTTGCCGTATTCATCACCATATAATTATTTCTAGTGCATGACTACCACAGTAAGGGCTAATTATGCATATTTTGACCACTTTTTGGTAATTAACATAGATTGTAAGTGCCATTTCCAATGTGTAATTTACTTTCTTTGTTCACTTTACAATATTTTACTTTTAATTACATTTTCAAAATTTTTATAAAAATTAGCATGAATCTGGGGGCATGCTATTTAAAAAAATCTTTTATGATATAATCATTATTTCAAGCACTTTTGTGGCACTTCCCGTAAGTTGTGGGTTAGAACCAAAAACTATCCTTCAGCCCTACTTTTGATACTGGTATTTCACCAGTGAAGCTAACTTAAGTTATTCATTTAAATGTAAAAAATGTGTTTCTTGATCAAGTTGATATAAATTGTTAACTGTTTAAATGTCACAAAGAGTTTAATTGATAACTCAGTTTTCACTAATTTATCTAAGAACAATTGTGTTGAAGCTGAAAGATTATTGAAACATTTTTAAATCCGTTCCTGGAACCAATCAGTACTAAGCGTAAAGTTTATTGGTCACAGAAACATTGGTCACTTTCCCTGACAGGGTTATACCCACACAGCCATCAATCCTTAGACTAGTGGGACATGTAACTTAACCACTTGACCAAGCAGCCACAATTACGGTAGTGATGGAAATCGGATGAAATTTGTCCCAATCGATCATCGGTTCAGTCGGATGGGACATAATCGATAACTTTTCGAATAAAGTCGTGTTAAAAAGAAATAGGGAAGTACCAATTCTTTCAAAGGCACTTGATTATATTCTGAGTAACATGAATTTCATTTAACACTTTTCAACACAGTTTTAACCTTATATAATCATAATTTTACCAAATTACGACGTCGCGGAACAAATTTTTGTGAATCGATTATTGTCGCTTTACATAGCAGTAACTGATTATTGGCGACTTGCGACAATTGGAACATCACTAGCCACAATTGATAACTTGTCATTGTTCATAAAGTGAAGCTTACAAGAATGTTATGGTATTTTTGTCTTTTACCTTTGAGTTAATTTAAAGCATATGTACCTAAATAATTCTAATTATTATTTGTATTTTATAGAAAACACAGCTCCTCTACACAACACAGGGGCCGATGGGGATGTTTTCTCACCACTCAGAGAAGGTGCGTATTTAAAATTTCAGAATGGTACTTAAATGATGCACAGGGCTATTGTTTTAAATCCTGCTATTTCTCTTTTGTTTATTAAACACTTTCTTGTTTAATTACAAATGTTTGAGCCATGTTGTGTGGTAAGTCTGACACATGATTGGCTATTTTTTTAAGTTTTTTTCAAAATGCGAACTATTTTTCGTCAAACCTTTGGGGGTTTTCCCGTATAAACCCATATTTTACAAACTTTAGAGAAATTTTCCTAAATTTTTTCCCAAATTTTTGTAAAAAATTTCAAAAATAATGTTTTTCCAAATTTTTCCCCCAAGTTTTTTTAAAACATTGGGAAATTTCTTCATTCCAAAAAGACTTATTTATATTTTTGTTTCCCCTCAACCCGTTGGAACAGAAAGTTTGCCCCCAAATCTAAAAACCAAATCGTCGCAAATTGTAAAGCACTGGGCCCTGCACTTTTAAACAGTCGAAACCCGAAACCCAAAAACCCTTTTTTTATTTTTATTTTTAAGTCACCTTTTAAAATTTGAATGGACTGGGCTGTTCTAAATTCAAAGCTTGGCAAAACTATTACATGAATTTAGAAGGCTCAGGAATAAAACAGGAATAAAACAGGCTTGATAATTGGTGTAAAATTGCTGCAACAGATTTGGCGTATTTAAAAAATAAGTTTGTCATTGTAGGGTACCAAGATCAGTCTAGTGAAGAAATGGATTACAGATCATCAACGAATGTTACGCAAAACACAAAAAATAGTACTGCGGAGAATTTCTCAGGTAAACTGAAGTAAAAATTTGATTATATAAATTTTTGTAATAAGTTATATTGTACTACCTTGGATAGAAACAGATGTAAGTAAATGCAGGATACTTGCAGCTCTACTTACACACATGAAGAACTTGAATGTATTAAACAATTATTATTCTCTAGTTTGACTCAACTGAACATTATCATTGAACTATTGGGATTGAATTGTTACATGCTGAATGACTTTTGAACTGGAATAAATTAAGCAATTATTATTTCACGAGTTTGACACCGCTGAACAGTAACATTGAACTGTTTGGATTGAATTGTTACAGGCTTAATGGGCTTTGCATCCTGTTTCTTGTTTTAAATGATAATATGTGAAAGGTTCTATTATATGATCAACTAACACAGGCACTTTGCTGTGAATTTTGACACATTTTAAACAGAAATAATCATTATACATGTATTTTACATGAAACTATTCAACTTAAGTGTTTTTGCCTTGATTCATTTTGACACATTGAAAATAATTTTGTTTGTATTACTCAAATATTTTGTAATTCCAGGTGGAGTATTTTCTCCAATTAATGATGCAATTGGGCGAGGATCTGGAAGTGGTGTTGGATTGTCCCCCTTGACATATTCTGGGTACCCACTGTCAGAGCAGAACAGAAATAGTCCAGGGATCTTAGATTATAACAGAATGAATAATCAAGTAAGTTAGTAAGCATAATTTGTCATCAATGGTGACACTATCCAATATTTGATATAAGCAATGTTCATCCATGGCCGACTTCAAACCACTTGGCCATCAACACTGTTGCTTCGAATCCTGCCTGTGATCATTGGTTCTCAGATGCCTGTTTATGTCTGAAATAATGCATGGAGTGGCACCTGAGGTCTTCCTCCACAAATAAAGCTGAAAAGTTGCCATATGACCTCTTCTGTGTTGATGCAAAGTAAAACCCAACCAAAGATATTATTAACAAATAGCCTTCTCCTATTTTTACAATTTTGTAATAATATATTATGTTAATTATTCATTTCAAAAGTTGTTTTTCTTCCTTTGGGAAACATCAGACATAAAATCCAACTATAGAATGGCATTTTATCTAGCATTACTGTTAGGTAATGGATGACAAGCTATTGATATATTCTGACAAATTTCTTTCTTTACAGAATAGTATACCATCATTGAAAATAACTCATCCTAGTGTTGATGAAAGCCAAAGGTCAAGTTCAAGCTTGCCTAATCATTCACCAGCATCAAATCATGTGACTTATGAAGCTCCTCCCAGAGAATATTTACACCAATCAGATAGCCACTCCAGTAACTCATCAAATGAGAATCTATCATCAAGTCAAAAACATGTTGCCTTTGAAACAGGTTCTCTTGCATTTTATTTTTATGCCCCCACAATGTGGGAGCATATAGCGTTGCACTTGTCCGTCCGTCAGTCCGTACGTCCCGAAATCTTGTGAACGCAACTCCTCTTAAACCGGTTGGCAGATTTTGCTTAAACTTACAGGGATGAACAACCTTAATGTGTAGATGGTAGTAAAGGAAGGAATTTTCGCTGCGACCAAATTTAACAGAATTATGGCCCTTTGTTGATTTTTTCACTATATACTATATAGAAATTATGTGAACGCAACTCCTCTTAAACCGGATGGCAGATTTTGCTTAAACTTACAGTGATGAACAACCGTAATGTGTAGATGGTAGTAAAGGAAGGAATTTTTGCTGCGACCAAATTTAACAGAATTATGGCCCTTTGTTGATTTTTTCACTATATACTTTGTAGAAATTTTGTGAACGCAACTCCTCTTAAACCGGATGGCAGATTTTGCTTAAACTTACAGGAATGAGCAACCTTAATGTGTAGATGGTAGTAAAGGAAGGAATTTTTGCTGCGACCAAATTTAACAGAATTATGGCCCTTTGTTGATTTTTTCACTATATACTATGTAGAAATTTTGTGAACGCAACTCCTCTTAAACCGGATGACAGATTTTGCTTAAACTTCCAGGGATGAACAACCTTAATGTGTAGATGGCAGTAAAGGAAGGAATTTTCGCTGCGACCAAATTTAACAGAATTATGGCCCTTTGTTTATTTTTTCACTATATACTATGTAGAAATTTTGTCAACGCAACTTTTCTTAAACCGGATGGCAGATTTTGCTTAAACTTACAGGGATGAACAACCTTAATGTGTAGATGGTCGTAAAGGAAGGAATTTTTGCTGCGACCAAATTTAACAGAATTATGGCCCTTTGTTAATTTTTAGTTTTCAACTTGTGGCACATGTAGTCCAAAAAATATTTGACCTAGAGTCATAAGATTGACAGAACAGTGGCGTGTGGGGGCATCAGTGTCCTATGGACACATTTCTAGTTATTCCTACATTCAAAGCATTTTAAAAGTGCAGACTTTGTGGAGTGCAAAAAAGTTTACCTGTGTTTATTCCCAATGTTGTTATATTCCTTGCCTAACATGTCTTAACACTGAATAAGCACATTACATCTTAGAACAATAATATGTTATAAGTCTATGATATTTGACTTTAAAAACATTTTGTTGGGAATGATTTTGTAATTGTTTTCTATATAGGTAACAGAAAGTTTCAACTCAGATGCCTACCCATTATGAGTTAATGCATTGCATGAAGAGCAGTTGAGTCTTTACACATCTAGAAATGCAGGAATTTTTTAGAGGTGAACCTTTAGAAGAAAACATAATAGCTCTAAATAATCTTCTAAAATGTAGCCTATTAGAATCAAACACTTCTATACAGCTGCCAGCTCATGCCTGAAATGATGTATGAGGGGGACACCTGAGGTCTTTAACTTATTAAACTTGACATTTTTTATGTGACCACAATAGTGGTGATCTGAATTGAGGACTGATCCAAAACTGAAAAAGATTTTATTTATTTATGCTTTTAGATGAACACATTTATTCATTCCACAACGAAGGGGGGTCAGGCACTGTTAATGGAGTTCACAGTCCTGAGCTGAAACGTCAAAGACAGGCAGCTCATAATCACCAGGTAGGCATGAGTGCATCACCTCAGTTTCCCAGCTTACCTCTGGAGGATTCTCCCGGAAGTGCTTACGGCAGTGCTCACGGAAGCGCTCACAGCAGTGCAAGAACACCAGACGGCGTAAATGCTCAATCCTCGGTACAAAATCTCATGGACATTAACCACTCGGCAAGAAGGGAAAATAGAACAGTGAAAACTAGTGTAAAAGCAGACTCTCAAACATTAAGTGGAGATATGAGTCAGTTAGCAGAGGTGATAAGGGGCGTGGTTAGGGAGGAGTTAGCAGAGTTTAAGAAGGATATGATAAATGTAATGATGGACGATATGGTGGATCAATTACACAGAGACATTATCACACTTCAAGCTGAAATGCTGATTCAATTTCAAATACACCAGGTAAGAATTAGAATAATCTTTAAATAGAATCTTCTTCATTTAATGAATTTTGTTGCAAATTTTATACTTTGGTAGGTGTGTAGATGTGGTGCATTATTTGTGATATGCTATTTAACTTGAAAAAAAATAAGCTTAGGTTTATAAAATTTGGTTATGAAACTGCCCATGGCATGGCCAGTATATGACCCCTAATGATTTTGAGGACAAAGTCGCAGTGATGCATAGTATAAAATCCTTGTCTGCTAAATAACTTGAGAAGGAGTAAGCCTACGTTTGCGAAACTTGGTAGGGACATTAAACATGGCAAGGTGTTTACCCCGGTCATAAAGTCAAAAGTGAAAAGTCGTCGTATGATCTTAACAGTGTGGGTATGTCATTAAAATTCAACATCATGAACAAACAAACAGTTGCAACTTGTTAAAATTACTAATGGTATTTGTTTACAGTTGATTTATATAAAAGCACGTCATAGTATTCAAATATGGTAAATTATGAATCTGTATTGATATGATACAAGTATGAGATATCTGTGTAATTTTTTGTGTCGCCTCTACGGAGTAGTGGCGACATATAGGGATCACTTCTCCGTCGTCTGTCTGTCCGTCTGTCTGTCTGTCCGCACTCACAGGAGAGTAATAATGTGGCTAGAGGGACAATAGGTAACTGTTCTTTCTCTTTGATGTCATTCATTCCGTAATGCTTTTATGTGGCTTTTTTCTTTTGTGTGGCTAAAAAGAACAATAGAGAGAACAATAGAGTAGCCACATAATTACTGTCCTGTGAGAACGTCCGTCCGTCCGTCACAAAACTTGTCCGGACTACTCCTCATAAACTACTGGTGCAATTTCATCCAAACTTTACAGGAATGATCAGTACCAAGTCTAGTTGTGCATATTGTCAGCATTTTCCAGTTCACTGACTTTTGTCAGAGTTATAGGCCTTTTAATAATTTTTAATTTAAAAGTTTGTCCGGACTACTTCTCTTATACCACTAATGCGATTTCAATGAAACTTTACAGGATTGATCTGTAGCTCAAGTCCTTGCGTATATTGCAGGGGTTTTCCGGTTGAATGATTTTTGGCCGAGTAATGGCCCTTTGATAAAAAGGTGTTTTTTTCTATGTGTTTCCAGATACACAAAAGCTTGTCCGGACTACTCCTCATAAACTACTGGTGCAATTTCATCCAAACTTTACAGGAATGATCAGTACCAAGTCTAGTTGTGCATATTGTCAGCATTTTCCGGTTCAATGATTTTTGTCAGAGTTAAGGCCCTTTAATAACTTTTAATTTTAAAGCTTGTCCGGACTACTTCTCTTATACCACTAATGCAATTTCAGTGAAACTTTACAGGATTGATCTGTAGCTCAAGTCCTTGCGCATATTGCAGGGGTTTTCCGGTTGAATGATTTTTGGCCGAGCTATGGCCCTTTGATAAAAAGGTGTTTTTTTCTGTGTGTTGCCAGATACGCAAAAGCTTGTCCGGACTACTTCTCATAAACTACTGGTGCAATTTTATCCAAACTTTACAGGAATGATCAGTACCAAGTCTAGTTGTGCACTGTCTGTCCGTCTGTCACAAAATTTGTCCCAACATGAAATTGGCCATCATGAGGCGACACATGTGATTACTGATCGCTCTTGTCTTACTTTCACAATTTGATTGCTTGACTCATATATGTTCTTACATTATGTTCACAGACAGAGATGTTACATCTACTGGAGCATTATTCTGTGAACCAGGATCTTGTCTGTGAAGTTCAGAGATTACAAGAAGAAGTAAAGAGATTGAAAAAGAACTTCTAGATTGTCAATTTATCACCAGATTGTAGTCAGTTAATTACACTACACCAATGCAAGTTTAATGTAGGTCAAAGGTCATAGATATAAAGGTCATTTAATGAGATATAGGGTATGTAATGTGTAAAACATACATTTTGTGGTATTAAAATTTTTTATAACAACCTTACTTTCCATATATAATAATGACATTTTTGTAAACTATGTACTGACAATTTTCTTAAGTAATTTCTTCTTTTTCTCTATAAAAGGTAGTTTGCTGTATTATTAATTTGTTGCAATGGTTCTTGAAGGTTATATTGCTGTCTATAAATGGTTGTTAGTAATATAGGTCTGGTTATATGTGCAAACAGTTATTTTTATAGGGCCATATAACCTGTCAATACATCTTTACATACCTACATTACATGTAGCGTCTATATTGTACAATGTAGACAATGGTTAAATTGAACCATTTCAGCACAATGTAAATCTAAAAATAGGCATTTCATACAGAATAAGGTACCTACATTTCCTTCATATTGTTCACAAAATCTACATTGCAATAGATCTACAAAGAATAGGATTTAGGTTGTTAAATATAAAACAGTCCTATTTTGTTCTATGTGTACTTGAGGTACAGGTTTAACAAATTGTAGTTGGCAATGCAATTTAAAAAAAAGTATGCTGCAACCACATAGCAATATATAGTTTATTTGTTTTATAGGAGAATTTTACTTTGTTTGATATGTCCATTATAGAGTTTATGGCATACACTGCAATAAGGTTTTGTGGAGTAAATGATCTGCATAGTTAAGTTCACTCAGCATTTATATTGGATCTGGATACATTACAATTTTATACCAGTTTTTCATAAAATTGACATTGCAATATTGATGTTTTTCTACTGATTTTTAAGATTATTTCATAAATTTTATATATATAGTATCATTACATATAGTCGACATGATCTACATTGCATGAAATGCACTTCAGTTACATAGCCATTGATCTTCCATGATGTATTTGTCTACATGATACATATTTCATCAAAAATGCTTATGCCAATTATGGTACAAGAGGTCGAGTGAATTTTCTTTGTATACTGTAGATATACAGTTTTATATCATAAATGACCTATATTGAAATAATTTGCTACAGTGTCAATTCATGTCCATGATTATGCCGAATGGTGCTAGAGTGTGTATAGTGACTGTATATTTTATAATTTAAGATATATGTAAATCAAATGTTGTATATTACACATTTTTCATAAAATATGTTTGGTATTCCATGATAATGATTGTGAAGTTACAGCGAAGTATAAGAATAAGATATTAGTTACAGAGATTATTATTACATGAACATTATATTTTATTGAAACATATTGTTCATCATAGCTGTTTAGATTTATCTACATATTACACACCAGACTTGATCTAACATTGAATGCTTATCTAGGTTTTATAGATTTAAATTGCCAATATTGAAGTAAAATTTGTATATATATAATAGTCATTAAGTTGTAAAAAGTGCCTCAAATTAGTTATGATTCAAAATAGTAGACTCCTTTATGATTATGTTAATACATTTTTCGTAAATGTATATGGAGTAATATTTCATAAAATAGATTTTTATAGCATGTTTTTCTAAAATAAATTGTTTCATGTAATTTCAGAAACCTACATTTTCACACAACACAACACTGTATAGTAACTTACATGTCCATTTATATATGTAGTAAAACAGGTGCATTTGTTGGATGTAATGGCCTAGAGTTTATGATAATTTCATGTCATTTAGTGCAAGAGAAAATATATGTAATGGCCTAGAGTTTATGCTAATTTCATGTCATTTTGTGCAAGAGAAAATATATGTAATGGCCTAGAGTTTATACTAATGTCATGTCATTTCGTGCAAGAGAAAACATATGTAATGACCTAGAGTTTATACTTATTTGATGTCATTTAGTGCAAGAGAAAACATATGTAATGGCCTAGAGTTTATACTAATGTCATGTCATTTTGTGCAAGAGAAAACATATGTAATGGCCTAGAGTTTATACTTATGTCATGTCATTTCGTGCAAGAGAAAACATATGTAATGACCTAGAGTTTATACTTATTTGATGTCATTTAGTGCAAGAGAAAACATATGTAATGGCCTAGAGTTTATACTAATGTCATGTCATTTTGTGCAAGAGAAAACATATGTAATGGCCTAGAGTTTATACTAATGTCATGTCATTTCGTGCAAGAGAAAACATATGTAATGACCTAGAGTTTATACTAATGTCATGTCATTTAGTGCAAGAGAATATATATGATATAGCATTGAGTTTATGATAATTTCATGTCATTTAGTACAAGAGAAAATATATGTAATGGCCTAGAGTTTATGCTAATTTGATGTAATTTAGTGCAAGAGAAAATATATGTAATGGCCTAGAGTTTATGCTAATTTCATGTAATTTAGTGCAAGAGAAAATATATGTTATGGCATAGAGTTTATGCTAATTTCATGTCATTTAGTACAAGAGAAAATATATGTAATGGCCTAGAGTTTATGATACATGTAATTTCAGGTCATTTAGTACAAGAGAAAATATATGTAATGGCCTAGAGTTTGTGCTAATTTCATGTCATTTAGTGCAAGAGGAATTTGTAATATGGTATTGCCATCTTCTTACAACTGTTATTTATACGTTATCTCTCTGTTTGAAAGAAAGAGTTAATGATTTGTGTTTAAAGGTCCATTATGCTTCAGAAACACTACCAGTTTTATTTAAAATACTTTGTTTACATTTTGCTACGTTATGACACATTATTGCACATCTTCAGGTATTTAACATCTAACATGCACTAAATCCATTCTCAAACACTATGAAACACATTTATGACAATTTTAAAAACATCAACTGATTTCTGAGGCATTATTTGTGTATTTGGTACATATAAAATAACTGTCATATTTAAATATACCTAAAGGTCTTTAACAGTGTCACTGTTATAATAGTGCCACAAGGAGACCTTGAAATCTCATATTTTTCTGTCTCATTATTAAAATATAAACATTTTTGTTTTCATTTAGTATTAGAAAAGGCCAGTAGCATTGGTTAAAATATAAACTTGACATTTATCAACATATTGAAGATGAGTATTTAGCGATTCTTTTAAGTTTAGAATAAAGAAGATATAAACATGTTGCATTTAGTCATCCTACAATGTATTGATCATCTTCATTTTAAAAGATTATTCATCATTAGATTCGAAAAAATGACATTTGTAGCGATGGGTCGATCACCTATCCCTCGTCTGTTTTGAGACTGGTCCATAATGAAATCTCCAAATTATGTTTTTCTGAATTGTATCATTACGCTCTTGAGGATATTATTTTTATATGTACATTGTATTTCAACGAAGGTCAGTTTGATGTTTATTACTATAAGACTCATAAAATGTAAAAAATGAAGTTGTTTTATTAAGCAGTACAATTTTCATGTTTTACAGTTTATGTTTCAAACATAAATATTTGAAGAAATTGTCAAACCAAACTGAATATTTTGCATTTATATGAACTAATCTCTGTATACTATTTTGTTAATGTTATTAAATAAATAAGAACAGAATACGTTTTGAATTTGTTATATTTTCCATGGCCTTTTTTAAGGCAGAATAACAAGGTTAAAATTTGTATTGCTTTTTAATTTGACGCCATGAGTGAGGTCATGCCAAGGATGCTACTAAAGGGCATTTGAAAATAATAATAAGTGTGGCGCTTAACTTGTAAGCAAACATTTCTTGTAAAAAGTTAGCCAAACCCTTCAAATTATTAGTCCAAGATGCACTTTTCAAGATGCCATATCAATGATAAAAGTGGAATTAATTGAGTGTAGTGTTTAGGCACTGCCCATGATGTGGTGAGATTTTAAACCGCGATCTCTCATGTAGTTCTTCATGTATAGGTGGAGCCAAGATCTCGTGGAACAAGACCTTGACTGTATGGGGAATGTGGTAATGTTTTAATACTGTTACCATTAGGGCAAGAAAGAAAAACAAATGATTTTTAGACTGACGATCTTGATTCCTGAATCGGCGCATGCTGACATATGGACGGACTGAAACATAATGCTCCGGAATGCAGAAAGAATGTCCGTAAAAGACCCATGTGATACTTCTGCACTCTGGCACAGAAAACAGTTGCCATTATTCCCTGGCAATAAAAACAGTGCATACATGATGAATTTTTGTGGACCAAACGCTATGAACTATTTGGGGTCTTCCATTCACTTTCATCGATCCACACCTTGTTTTTATTGCCATGAAGAATACATGTACTTTAGTAATTCATGTTTTATCGCCAGTCACGATTTTAGCCATGCGTTGGGGTTCAGCATTCTTGTACCTTTCACAATTCGCATGTGTCCCTTGTTTTGGTTATCATTCATAAGGCGTGCAAAATTTAAAAAGTTTCGTATTTACCAATGACGATTATGCTACATAATAACTTATCCCTGTATTTTCTCCACTGTTTCGCGGGCATCTTCCTGACTACAGCTGCTTTTGTTGCAGTAACATCACATTCGACTGTTGCATTAAGTAAAATATCCGTCCCACACGATTAAATTAACCAGGCACATCTCCTAAATGTGGCATATAATAAGTGGACTGTCTAAATCTGATCAATATCAGGCGTTGCAAAGCCAAGCATTACGCACTCTTTGCAAAACGCTTTTCGGTCTTGGAAAAAAAAAAGTTCTCTGTGTCTTGTCATTTTGAATCACAGTATACATAACCTTAGTAAGTTCAAGTCAAAATTTTTATCTGCTGTGTAAGTGTATCCGTGTTTCTTGTACATGTAGCAGAGAGTCTGAACATTCTACAGATGTATAGTATTAGCATAATAAGCTCTCAAAGTTAAAAAAAAATAAGAATGAGGAGTACTTTACAAATGCCCCTTGTAGGTACATGTACATGGAGTATGTAATTCAAAGTCAAATATGTTTTTTACATGAGGTTGACAAGTTCATCTTACAGTCGTGTTATATGTATTGTCAATATCGAAACATGGACGTCCTGGGGTATGATTCAGATTTTACTTTTTGGCAGTTTAACAAATATTGAAACTTCTGGTCATGGATTTTCAATCTTATGAGTATAATTATATCTACTATAAATTATATTTCCAACATGAGCCACATTTAGTATATATGTTAATTTTGTTATCATTGCCTTCTTTTGGAAAAAAGAGAAATAATGATTTTTTAATCATTACATTATTTTGAATAGTACATCAGTAAAAATTCACTGATAATATGCCACTTTCAATTTCAATATTTTGATATAGTTTTTGTATTCTGTGAGAATTAATATATACCACACCAGATAAGTCAATTTTTTAGGTAAAAAAATACTCTTTCACATAACTCTAAATGTTCTAAAAGGGAAATTCCCATATGTTATTAATGAATCCTGAAAATCGTTTACATTGAAGACACACTTTGATTTACACAGTTGTTAACACTATGACACCGAAAAGTATCCCTTTACGTTTATTAATATTAAAAGCAATGGAGTAACACATTGCAACACATTCGAATATACATGTATAATATTAATAGGATTAAAGAAAAATGACCGCTGTCTGAGAATAGAGGCAAAACAAAAGGTAAGTATTTCTGTAGCTACATATAGGAAAATATATGAAATAAGCAATCAATTTTTTATAACAGAATATAAAATATTGTATAATTGCAAGTATTGCTAGTGTGATTTTTTGAACTTAAAAAGAAATTTAGTAAACTATAATTATATACAGTACTAGTATATCAAACTATGAACTCAGTCATTAAATTAAGCACATATCTTCACTTCTTCAACCCTTAAGCATATACACAGCTTTCTCATTCATATTCTTTTTCCATATACTTCAATGTTGTTGTCATTACTTCTAATTATACACATCTTAAACGTTTGTAGATTATAACATACTAACTGTATTCGGGTTTTATCTTTTTCATTTTTTATAACCTGTCCTATCAGGTCACCATCAGATGTAAACTGTACAACATTTGTAGAGCGCAACCCAGATACCAGAACGCTGCCTGCTTCAGTGAGACAACAGCAGTTAGCTCCCCTTATTTGTTTATCCTTGAATGTTGTAACAATCTGGCCAGTCTTGTCAAGTACTATCAGTCCATTATGATAATCAGCAACATAAATCCTTGTAGCGTCCTTACTTACAGTTAGGCTATGTATGCCAGAGAACAGTTTCTGACCTTCTTGGCTAATGTTGAACTCTTTAAGCTTCCTTCCAGACAATGTGTAGATATAAACTGATGACCGATTGTCAGAAATATACAAATTATTGTTTGCATATGCAAGACCAATACATGTACAATCAATTGTAATCTTGTTTGTTATTTTCATCTTTCCTTCTAGAGAAATGAAATGAATTTTCTGCCGTGTTTGCAAAGGTGATAAAGATATTGCTACTTGAGAATTAGTGATTGCGCAAACTTCCCCTGGTGCTGAAGGTAGATCATAATAGCCTGTCACAGTATAGGTGTTACTGTCTAACCGTTTAATATTCTGGTTTTGTGTATCAGCTAGGATTATTGTGCCATCCTCCGTACAACAGGAACTGGTGAAATCACAGTTATCTTTGTCAGTCTTCAATTTAACACAATAAGACCGTTTTGCTTGAATCTCAAATAACATGTTCTCAGCTTTTGTATTTTTCTCTGTTAGTTCACCTAGGATATTGCTTTGCTCTAGACGTTGAAGGAGTTCCATATCAGGTTTGAACTCTACGTCAACCACACCCTTCTTTTTAGAATCTGCTACACACATGTTAGCAAGATTTGCTGCATGCTCTCCCATCTTTAAATAAACAAAAACTTCAGATTGACTTTTGTTTGAATACGCTAATTTATCGTTAGCTGAGGTAACCCTGGCCATGTTATCTTTTAACTGTCTCACTTCTGTTTCAATCTTGTCTTCAAGAAGTTTGAATAAATCTTCTACTTTATCTACAGCGTTTTTCTCTAGCCTGTCCAGTTCTTGTCTGAATTTTCTTATATCAGCCAGTAACTCCGTTTTTCTTTTCTGCAGTCTATGTTTATCTTGTTTACATCGGTTAACTTGTTCTGCAAGGGTCTTACCTATTCCTGACAGGTATGCTTGTATTCTTCGTGGAGTAACATGTTGGGTGTAATGTTTGATATATTCTGGTATGTAGAATGTATCCTTGCATGATCTGGAAAATACAGACAGTTGAAGTTGATTTGCATGTAAGGGAGAATGAATATGCATTCATGGAAGAAGAACAAATTGCTTGCTTTGGCTTAAAGGCCCATTATGCTTAAGAAACGCTATCAGTTTTATTTCTCAGTTTTATTTCTCAAAAACTTATAATTTCTAGTATTTTGTTACAGTTTCCAAAAAAATATGTATAAGCCATATTCATGAACTTTCTTCTGGTACTTTTGCTCTGTTGGCAATTGGTGTTATTTATAGTGAATCATTATTTTGTATGGAAGTCAAATTTTAAATACCACTCTGTTTACGTTTTGCTACCTTAACGACACATTACTGCACGTTCAATGCTAACTTTCTTCAGTTGTTTAACATCTAACATGTTCTTCAATCAATATTTAAACGTTATTGAACACAATCATGTATGACATTTCTAAAGAATTTAAATGAATATGAATTTCTGAGGCATAATGTGCCTTTAATAATAAAAATAGTTCAAGGCATTATTGTTTCAAATACAATTACCTTATTTCATACTCTACTGTATTTTCTTGTTAGAAAATATTAAATGGGTAAAACTTGTTGAAAATATTAAATGGGTGAAACTTGTTTTCGCAAATATTAAATAGGTAAAAACTTTGTTTGCAAATATTCAATATTATAATATCAAATGGCTGGGTTAAACTTGTTCGCAAATATTAAATGGGTAAAACTTGTTTGAAAATATTAAATGGGTAATATTGAATTGGTAAAACTTATTGGCAAATATTAAATGGGTAAATACTTATTGGCAAAATATTAAATGGGTAAAACTTGTAATAAGTTGTTGGCAAATATTAAATGGGTAAAACTTGTTTGAAATATTAAATGGGTAAAAACTTGTTGGCAAATATTAAATGGGTAAATTTTTTTTGAAAATATTAAATGGGTAAAAATTGTTGAAAATATTAAATGGGTAAAACTTGTTCGGGTAAGTTGTAAAAACCAACCTGTGATCAAGTGCCATACACGTAGAACAGCCAACATTATCATGGTTCTGACAGTACCTATCAATGTGTTTATGACTGTGTCTGTCACACCTCTCTCCTTGGGCGCTACGCACACCAGTTCTGATTCCTGGCGTTACCTGAGTTTTATCCAACACTTTGTGACCAACTAGCAAAGGCACTTTGCTGTGAATTTTGACACATTTTAAACAGAAATAATCGTTACATTCTACACAGAACTTTTCACCGTCTGTGTTTTTACCTTGATTTTCACACATGGAGCATACAATATCAAATGTCCTAAAAGCAAGAATATCCGTTTCTAGTTTTCCACCTGCAGCCATTTTGTAAAATATTTAGTTCAAACTCGTTTCTAAAATTTATCTTTAAAACATTTGAAACATATGTTAATTGTCTCCATGTACTTTAATTACAAACATTTTTAAGATAAAAGTTACTTTAAACCAACTCCTAAGGCATTTCAATCATAGATCTACTAGAAAAAAAATATCAGTTTTTACAGTTAGTTAACAGGAATTAGTAAAGTAACAGTACTGTAAAGCTGTCACACATTTTTGCACAACATGTGACTATATCTGTAAAAATATGAAACAAAGTATAAAAAATTTTAAACTTTAAAATATATATATTTCCATATGACTGGTTTAACATAATTATTTGATTCTTTATTGTAAAGCATTAAAATGTGTAATATTATATGGCATGCTTTGCTTTAAAACCTTGTATTCCCCTTTCAAAATTCCATTTCATTTTGTTCCACCTGAGTGATGGATAAGCTTATATGTCACCAAGGTCCTGCACATTGTTTTCTTGTTAAGGACCCACAATTTTTTATGTTAGGACCAATAACGACACTTTCCATGGAATGGAGCCAATTATGTGTCTAAATCTTTTCTCTTCCTCATTCATTTTTAAATGCCTTTTCTTTACTTTTAAACATTTTTTTAAATACTCGTAAGTAAAAGCTGGAAAAGAGGGTTAAACTTTCTTTTTCTTGATCTAGGAAAATATTCCTTATGATTAAGAATTACTACTTAATAACTCATTAACATGCTTTCATTTATGGTTAAAAGAATTTGACAATTTAGTCTTGTAATATGAGGAGAAGTCATTTGCATTTGATTTTGAGCAAACTTTTATTTGTAACTATCAAACTATAAAACAAGTTTTGTAAGGGAATATAAGCGAAAAGGTGACAGCACAAATGTGTTTTTACTGTTAAACAAGAAGATACTTGTAATATTAAATACATTGTAAATTTGATTTAAGTGAAAAAAGTGCTATTTTTATGTCCCTTTCATGCAAAAGGGACTTTCACAACCTCAGACCACCCCTAAATTGATTTAACTGAAGAAATTCTATACATGTATTTCAGACCCTTTCATGCAAAAGTGACTTTCACTTGCAAAATCAAACAAAAAAGCTATTCAACTTGTGCTCAAATTATTTAATAGATCTAATACAATATACCAATACATTTTACAGGAATGCTAGTGCTTATATATTTTCAACAATTGTCATAGAATATATATAAAAAGAAGAACTGGAATGTCATGCTTACACTGTTAAGATTTTACACCAATAACATGTTGCTTAAAAGATGGAGGTGTCATTTTTGAAAATAATTTATATTTCATAGTAGCTGAGAAACATATTTCAGGCTGGTATGAAACTATTTTTCTCTGCAAGGACACGTTGGATCTTACTGTACCTTTATACTGTATCTAAAACATTATTTTGAGCTTCACTTTCCCGAGGAAGCTTAAAATAAATTTCTTAGGGGAAGATAATCTTGAAAGCCATTTTTGCTTAATCATTTCCCTTTTTTGATTTAGAATACACAATTTTTTTCTCAAAATTGGAATGCATTTCTACAGAGCAGGTAATGTTTTGATTTGGTTTTGCTCAGTTATGCCCCCTTTTTGACTTTTTATTTTTGTTTAAGTACATTAACTTTTTCTCAAAAAGTATATTCATTTTTTAACTTAGGAGTACTTGTTCACTATCATTTGTAATCCTGAAAGTCAACTTTAATTATTTCCCTTTTTTTATTTCGAATATTTGCCTTTTTCTCCAAAACTGTTAAAGGTATTCACCTTAAACTTGAAATATTTGTTGACTTTCATTGGCTACGTATGCCCTCTTTTCTATGTTACTTAATTCAACATAATAGCGAAAATAAAACAGCAGGGAGAAGGACGGGGCAGGTCGTATAATTTGAATTCAACAACCGTAACCACACAGCCACCTTTAAATCAAGCTTTTCAAATTATTAACAAACATACAATGATCAATGCAATGATACCTCTTCAATTTATATTTACTAAATATATATATTGAAATATTCTTTCAAAATGAACCTTTTCATTTCTTCACTTTTTCAAAACTCTGTGACATTAGATTTATCAGGTATCACTAAACAATCAAGGGTTTTTCAAAATTTAAACTTACAATACAGTTAATGTTGTTTTAAAAGAAACAAGAGCCGGTTGAACCGGGTGATGCTCCCCGAATAAGTTTTGGACACAGGAAGGTTTACTTCTTGTTGTGCACAGACAAAGTTCAAAGTGTAAAAAACAACCCAAATATTGTGCACAACACATTGTCTCAATATGGTGATCATTTTTGTGAAATAGTTGTAAAATCCGACTTCAAATAATAGGGGTGTGGATCGTCGGATAAGTGACGATCCGATCCACGATTCAGCACTAACGATCACAAATCGAACCACGAATCTTTTGTTATCAAGACACCCATAAAAACATGAACATTGGTTCTTAAAAACATGTTTATTTTTCTTAAAACATATAGAAAATAAAACATATTTGCCAATATAAACTGGGTTTTATTTATTATTTATTCTTTGCATGAGTGTACATCTGTGAAACATATATGGTGAAAAATAACTGCCATAGATAGTCAACAACCATACTTATGATTTTTAACCAGATTCACCAGTCAGCCCCTAAAATTTACATGTTATGAAGAATGGAAGCAATGTCCTTGGTTTCATTAAAGTTTTTTTTCAAAAAAATTAATTGATCAACACACTGAGGGTCAAGACATGACCTAGTTGCTGTAACAATATCTCCAGCAGTTGAAAATATACGTTCTGAAGCAACAGAACTTGCTTGTACACACAAGAGCCTAGAAAGACGAGGTAACCTGACAGCAATGCCCTTCCAGAACTTCAAGGGATCCTCACAGGATAGCACTTTTGACTCACATTTGTACATTTCAATTTCCTTGCAAATAAGCTCTTCATTGGAAAGAGGTGGCTCCACCTTTGAAATTTCAATATCATCATCATCTATCAGGAAACTAAGACCAGATCTCATTTTCTTTGCAGGAGATTAAATTGTGTCCTCGTTTTTAGGCTCCACCGAGTCTAGCTGGCTTGGGAGAGCTGGCAATGGTGGTAAGTCTGTCTGTATCGAAGGTTCCTCAAATTCAGATTTTACCTTAATAGGCAGGTGTGGAAGCAAAGCCATCAGTTTATCCTTAAGTCTGTCCCAAACAGCTAAAGGGGCTTTGTACTTTACCCTGGGATCCAATGATGTTGCTTCTTCAAGGTACTCTAACAGAACATCATTTATGTACCTTTTCTCTAAGTCTTGAAGTATAGCCTTCTTGATTTTCTGCTGAAAAGCAGTATCACCCTCCATATGGGTATACAACTTCTTAAGTTTCAGGAGCAATGGATACATAAGCCCTACTGTAGGGTGCTGGTCAGCAGATAGCGCCAGGGTAGCTTGATACATAGGCTCCATTAACTGTAAGAATATCTCCAAGCGTCGAACCTCATCTTGCCCAAGTACACTACTAGCCTGTAGGGATTTTGCTTCATGTTGCTTCTTAATACTTTCATCTGAGAGACAGGCTAAAATGGCAAGTTGCTGCTGAAGGAAGCGCTCCACCATGAGATAACTCGAATTCCATCTGGTTTTGACATCGATGATGAGTTTCTTCTCAGGTAGTTGTAGCATTTTTTGCTTCGTTTTAAGCAGAGCAGCGGCAGTGGTACTCCGATGCATAAAGGAAACAACTGACCGGATCTTAGCCAAAATATGATGAACCTCTTTAATATCAAGTGCGCGGGAAGATGCTAAATTTAAGGTATGGGCAAAGCATCCAATATGGATGGATATTCCAGCTGTATGTGCAGCAATTTTCATGTTTGCAGCATTATCTGTAGTAAGGGCACATACCTGACAACCCCATTCAAGCTGTGCTTGACGAAGCACGTTTCCAACATGTTCTCCAGTATGAGATTCTGGTAGCTGCCTTGTCTGAAGAACACGAGAACAGAGTTCCATTTCAGAGTCAATGAAGTGGGCTGTGATAGTCACATATGATTGGGTGGCTCGACTTGTCCAGCTGTCTGTGGTCCAGGCTATAGCTTCTGCACTCAATAATTCGCCTTTAATACGTGAGGCTACAGAATCATACATTCTTGGAATTACGTCTTCACTAAATGTTTGTCTGCATGGGAATTTGTAGCGAGGCTCACACTCATGTATCATGCTTCTGAAGACTGAACTCTCTACGGTGCTGAATGGACGCATATCATCTATAAGATATCGGGCAATACCTACAGTTATTCTGTGAACTTTGGATGGAGCCAACTTCACTCTTTGTGCCATGTGAAAGGGATTGCTTGGAGATATGCTAGCAGTTACACAGCTTGTGCTTGTAGATGCCCCTGTTGCTGACGTTTGTAATTTGACACCTCCTTTAAAAGAAAAAAGATTTAGATTATTTATTTATTTATAAATTTTCATACATTTATTTATTTATTTATTTATTTATAAACTTGTTATACAGTATACACTTTCATTATTATAAATGTTTCCAATATTTACATTGTACATAAATATTTCCATTTAATAACTATGTAAATGTAATCATTGTCAGAATGTCACTCATATGGAGTATATTGTAAAGTTCTGTACTAAATTAATAATGTTCTGTTCTGTTATTCAAAAGTTCAGAACATATGCAAAACACGTTTTAAAATTAAATTTCATTTATTTTACAGTATAATATACGTTTGATATTCCGGTATATTGTTAAAATGAAATGTTCTTTCGCGGGCAATATATAGCATAAATAAAATTATATACTGTTCAACAGTTCTCTTTTTAGCTTTTGTTTATAAAGTTCACTTTGTCAAAGATATTATGAATGAATAAACAAAATATAAAACAATAAATGAAAATAGTATATGCAGGACTTAGTTTAGTTTTTAACATAAAAAATATTAAGTTATTTAGAATATTTAAAAGAGCAAAAAATACCTTTCGACATAGGGTCGATTCCGTGGTGCCTTTTCATGTGATTAGAGAGATTTGTTGTACCGCCGGTATATGTCATTTCACCTTGGCATGTTTTACAAACAGCCTTTTTTTCATTCTCTATTGAGATACCGAAATATTTCCACACGTTAGAGGTAAATTTAGCTGGAGGATTTCTGTATCGTCGCGACTCCGACATTGTTGCAGACTTTATGTGTGACGTTATGCTGACGTAATTATGAACTTAAGTTTCGCAAAATTGGATTATTAAAAATAGAACAGTATTCGGTACATGTCACATTATTATAACTTTATATATACCAACTTAAAATCAATTTTGATGTAAAAACATAGTGCTCAACAAAGATAAAGTTATTCTTTTTCCGAAACTAATGACTTCCTAGCTCAGCATCATGGAATTTGTTTGTTTACTTCCTGTTTTTAATCGGCAAATTGTATTGAGGTAAATGTCGCATAATTCATAGTTAAATTGTTATTTTTTTATCGAATTTTAGAATGTGAAAAACAGTGAATGTATATAAACAAATAAGATCGCGATCCACAATCTCTGGACTGACAAATATCCATACTCAATTTTTCATTATGATTCGTGATTATCCGAGTACTCGGATACTCGCCCCAGCCCTATCAAATAACGAAGTAATGCGCCGGACATGATTTTGCTGCAAGGTCATGCTGTGACCTTGACCTTCAAGGTAGCGACCCAAATGTTGCACACGACACGTCGTCTCAATATGGTGATCATTTCTGTGAAAAAGTTTTAAAATCCGACTTCAAATAATGAAGTTATGGACCGGACACGATTTTGCTGCAAGGTCATGCTGTGACCTTGACCTTCAAGGTAGCGACCAAAATGTTGCGCGTGACACGTCGTCTCAATATGGTGATCATTTCTGTGAAATAGTTTTAAAATCCGACTTCAAATAACAAAGTTATGGGCGGGACACGATGGACGTACGTACGTACGTACGTACGTACGGACGGACGGACAACCCGACTACTATATGCTCCCCCGAAATTATTTCGGGGAGCATAATAAAAACAAAACAAAGAAATTATCAAATAATAATATATTTAATTCAATATATCCCAGCCTATTTACACAAACAATTACTCCAACATTGCAATACATAAGTTATCACAGAAACATTCTTAATAAACTTATCCCACATCTTTCAAAGTCATAATGTTACCTCTGACTTGCAGAATGTCTTAAATGGACTTGTCCAGCTCCCTGTAACTGTCCATTATTAATTTTGACAATATCATATTGAAAACTTGAAGTTGGATATTCTCCCTTGCCATGCTCTTTAGCAAAGGCTTATCACTTTTGGTTCCAGCAGATTTAGAAATAAAATAGAATTTTTTTTTTCCAATTGACAATTTTTCTTTTCTTCTTCAAACAAAAAATGCAATAAATTTTAAGAATAAGTTACAATTTATATTGTACAAGCTTATTACCTTCAGTATTGCCTACTCAAAATGTATTAAAAACTATAACAGTGGGTATTTTTTCTCACCCTTTTAAGAGTTTCACAACTTGGTCTTGTAATTTCAGTACAATGTAAAGATACTCTCCAATATAAAATCAAGAGTTTCAAAATTTGGTCTGGTACCATATTACATGAGAAGTTTCACAACTTGGTCTGGTGTTCTAGGTACAATGCTATGATACTCTCCGTACTCGTTCTTTGGATCACTAATTGCATCATACATCAGCTTATAGGACTTACAGATTAGTTCTGAGGAATTCTTTTTGATAAGTTCTCTGAAAAAGCAAAAACATTCAATATACTGACTGAATAATAAAGGTTTTTTTGTTTTTAAATTCTAACCCCGAATATTCCACATTTAGTATACTAACTTGTACAATCTCAAACAAATCTATGCACCTTATAAAGTACATCATAAAAAGTAAATGGACATTTAAAGTTATAAAGTCAATTACAGTCATGGGAGTATATAATATATGAAAAGAAGCCAATATTCTCACAATGTACATATAAGAAATGAACAAAAGTATCTCTAACCAGATCAGTGAATTTTCAACCTTATTGTGCTAAATACAGAAGTTAACTTTCATAAACAATACAACGAGTGTGTAGTTTCTGGGAAACTTTTTTAGCTTATAAAGAGGACCGTATTGATAAATGAGAGTCATAACATTACTTGTGTACATTTATTTTCAGAAACCAAATGAAAATGTGTGTGTTTAATACATGTACATGTAGTCGTATCATGATCTGTACCAAGTTTCCTTAAAAATCTCTCCACTCTTTAAAAGACATTGGATGTAACACGCTTGAACAAATGTGAGACAGATCTGCCATAAAGGGCGTACGTCTACTGAAAATGTAAAGTACCTTCATGCTGAGATAACTTACCTATTTTTGGAGCTTGTGATCAGTGTAAACTGTGGTAACAATAAACTATCTGGACTGGCTAAATAACTGTCAAATTTGTTCTGCAATTTATTTATATGTTACATTTTGATAATTTCATATCAAAGCATTTAATGACCAACAGTTCTTTTTATGAAAAAAAAGAAGATTTTTCTTACATCAAATAATTGTTTATAATAATTTTTTCTATTAATTTACATAAGCAGTGAAATTTTCTGAAAATAATGTATGTGATTTTCCATATGCAATTGGTAAGTTTCAATCCTAGAATAGACATTTCAATTAGCCTTAATTCTAATATTTTAAATACATTAACAGTTTCTTTAATTGTAACTATTAACATTTTCTTTAATTTTAAATTCAACAGCAAAACACTAATATCAAAAAAGACAAATACACAAGTTGAAAAATAAAGATACAGTATGTCTTACCATAGCAGATTTTACAGTGATGGCATCTAACCCTTGTAAAGAAGACAATGGGCCCTGAAAAAGTAAGAAAACAAAACTTAACTGCTGTTCACTGTTTTCAAAATGGTTACACAACTTTTTGTAGTAAGTATGTAATACAGCAATCCAATGATGACAAACAGTTGAATAAATACTGTCTACAAGTCAAATAATGTCTATCTTTGCAATCAAAAAGTCCAATAATGTCTATATCTTTGTAATCAGGCAGTCTAATAATGTCTATATCTTTGTTATCAAATCATCAAATAATGTCTAGATCTTTGTAATCAAGCCGTCCAATAATGTTTTTGTAATCAAACAGTCTAATAATGTCTACATGTTTGTTATCAAATCGTCCAATAATGTCTATATCTTTGTAATCAAGCCGTCCAATGATGTCTTTGTAATCAAACAGTTCAATAATGTCTATATCTTTGTAATCAAGCCGTCCAATAATGTCTTTGTAATCAAACAGTTCAATAATGTCTATATCTTTGTTATCAAACAGTCCAATAATGTCTAGATCTTTGTTATCAAACCATCCAATAATGTCTTTGTAATCAAACAGTCCAATAATGTCTAGATCTTTGTAATCAAACAGTTCAATAATGTCTAGATCCTTGTAATCAAGCCGTCCAATAATGTCTTTGTAATCAAACAGTTCAATAATGTCTATATCTTTGTTATCAAACAGTCCAATAATGTCTAGATCTTTGTTATCAAACCATCCAATAATGTCTTTGTTATCAAGCAGTCCAATAATGTCTTTGTAATCAAACAGTCCAATAATGTCTATATCTTTGTTATCAAACAGTCCAATAATGTCTAGATCTTTGTTACCAAACCATCCAATAATGTCTTTGTAATCAAACAGTCCAATAATGTCAATATCTTTGTAATCAAACAGTTCAATAATGTCTAGATCCTTGTAATCAAGCCGTCCAATAATGTCTTTGTAATCAAACAGTTCAATAATGTCTATATCTTTGTTATCAAACAGTCCAATAATGTCTAGATCTTTGTTATCAAACCATCCAATAATGTCTTTGTTATCAAGCAGTCCAATAATGTCTTTGTAATCAAACAGTCCAATAATGTCTAGATCTTTGTAATCAAACAGTCCAATAATGTCTAGATCTTTGTTATCAAACCATCCAATAATGTCTTTGTAATCAAACAGTCCAATAATGTCTAGATCTTTGTAATCAAACCGCCCAATAATGTCCACATTTCTGCAATCAAACAGTCCAATAATATGTATATCTTTAATCAAAGAGATCAATAATAATAATGTATAATTTTATCTTGGTAATCAAGCAGTCAAAAAACATACATATCTTTGTAACCCAACAGTCCAGTAAAACAGTGCTCGGCCATAAGTTATATCTTAGCAATCAAGCAGTCAAAAAATGTATATATCTTTGTAATCCAATAGTCCAGTAAAACAGTGCTTGGCTATAAGTGCAGGCAGCCAGAACTTACAGTTCTGTATTAAAGAGTAAGTACATCTATGACCAAAAATATACTGGTAATAAATATTAATCTGACTGACCGACTGACTGACTAATCACAAACCTGTTTGGGTTGATGTTGTTGAATGGAACCATATATATGAGCAAGATCAACACGGTTTAGAATAAATGCCGCCTGTTCACTAACCATAGTGTCAATTTGGGCATCAATCTAAAATAGGAATATACTATTGCTTTAACCCTTTGGTAGGCTAGTGTCATATTTTGAAAATGCAACCATACATTGTATTTCTACAGAGACAACCATCATAAATTGCAAGCATAAAATTTGCATGAGCAAATAAAAGTAATATGCATTATTCAGTCAACTTTGTACAATCAACTGTCAATGACAGTGCTAGATTTTAAGAATAAAGCAACAAACATAGTTAAATCACTAAATTGAGCAGTATAATAAACTACTATCTATAAATACCCCTTACATCTCCCTAAAATTGCTTTTTGGTTGATTAACATTTATATTCAATTTATAAGTTTATTTATTATAACAAAAAAGTACGACTGACAGCAACCATTAAAAATGTTGAAGAAATTTAGAGAAAATCAAAAAACTTAATATCAATTTATTCAGATATTCTATTTTGAATGGAAAATAGTTACAAAATATGCACAAAGGTTGATTGTCACCAAATAGCTAGTTTATCCATCCTTCGCGTGAATAACAATATAATGTAGATGAGTCTAAAATGGCTACCTTACCCACAACAAAGAGAATATATGACATTAATTTTGGAAGAAATAAATTAGAATATAAATATTTGTTTTACCTGGGCTTGTAACATTTCCTGACGAGTGTCTGTAAACTCATACAGGGCAATTGTTGTCTGCATCAAATATATACAGTTCACCATGTATGCAGCCATATCTACTGTGTTCAGACGACTGGCTGATACTGAACACATCTGGAGCACCGGGTCCAGAACACATGCCAAAATCTAGAAAGCAGGAAGATAAACTAAGTGTAATCTGGACATGGTTACATACTCCAAGATGAGTAGGACAGCTCTCCATATACTTTGAATAGCAAAGCTAAAACTTCACATAAATAACCTGAAAACATCCCTTTTTTAAATATTGCCTTTCCTGACAATCATATCAGATTCCATTAATCTGCTTGCTTATTCATTTCATTTCATTTATTGGCAAATAAACAATGGCCATTACCAGAGTGTCATAACAAATATGGCCAATAGTTTAACATGTACAAACATTATATCACACAATTTATCACAAAATGAATACAAGAATCAAACTAAGAATTAATTTTTTTATTAATTAGCAATATCTTCTGAACTTTTTTGTACCAGGTTTTAGTTCATGTCATGCAATTAACATCCATTACTGGGGCTCAAACTCACAGCAATGTTGGAAAGGTGAAACAAAATTAACAATCTTTAACCACATATGCCATAAAACCTTGCTTGGCAATTTAATTATTACAAAGAAGAGTGATACAGGAATGAGGAAAAAGTAAAAATAAAAATCTACATTTTTTAACCTAAGTTATGTTGACCCTTAAGGATTCCACCTGAAAATCCATCTGAAGGTAGTGGTAAATTATATGGGTATAACATACAAAATGTCTTAAATATCAGTCAATAAATGGCGATGTTGTAACAAGAGTTTAGTAAGACTGATAGATGGATAGAAGGAAATACATGGCACAACTGTACACTCTATAGGAACATTTCAGGCAGCATACAAATTGCTTGTCACACACATTAAGTACCTGTTTAAAGTCCTGTTTTTTATTTTCTAGAGTGACAACAGAAGAGTCATGGCACTGTAGCACATCCTTTAGAAGAGTCATTGTCTGAGCTAGTGAGGCTGTAGGACCTAAATCTGCCGGCGGTAACTCTACCTGTAAAAAAAGTTATCGGTCCTTCTAAATATGAAAACCTTTGATAACCAATATATATTATCACCGTTCATTTCCTTAGTGCCAGTTATAATAATTCATTATGCCCTTCTCTTTCAGTAAACAGAGTCACTAATCTATGAGAACATAGGTAACTACATATCAAAGCAGAATCAGTCATACCAAAATTTCATGCACTTTAATTATAGCACCACACGGCATTAAAGTACATGGAAAGTTGTACCGAAAAAGAACCTGTAATATTATGTCAAGTGTGCTTTGAGATTTTTCCTGTAAAAAGGCATACTGGGTAATCAAAATTACAATACTGATGTTAAAGTTGCCCTTTTATTTCCAATCATTCTTTTTAAAAAAGCTACATTTTTTACTAAAAGTTCCTGCTTAAGATATAGAAATCAAAAACTTCATATTTGCATTTATAACTGATGTAACAAGATAAGACCTCACCTTATCCAGTAGTTTGTTGGCATTACATGTTAAACTGTTAAAGAACATTCTGTGGCTCAGATCACGTATTTCCAAAATAGTTGACAACAAAGCAGCATCTGGGTTAATTATCTGCCTGAAATTAAGAATAAAAAGAAACAAAACAATATTTAAAGTACTGTAATGCTTGAATATTGAACTTTTTAAATTTCATCTAAATTTATCACAATTAAAACAAACAATGAGTTGCACGGTTGTCATAAAAGAAATTCTGAGACTATTTGTTTTGAATTTGTGGTGGTCATTTTGGCTTTATCACAAAGAATGATATAAAGAATTTGAGGCTCATGTTCTTGGCATATGATTTAGGACAAAGCTGTTTGCAAAGGCTGCTTGTAATTGCTCTCAGAGGGCTAAGAGTTAAAAATTGGAAACACAACAATATGGATTCTGATCAGATTGCATGGATGTTCATACGGTCTTATACTTTACAATAGTCAGATCATTATGAGCAGTAGTTTCTATCACTGCTTTATGTCTCCTAAATATAATTTAAATATACCTATTTATATATGAGCCGCGTCACGACAAAACCAACATAATGGGTTTGCAACCAGCATGGATCCAGACCAGCCTGCGCATCCGGGCAGTCTGATCAGGATCCATGCTGTTCGGTTACCAACTCTATTACAAGTAGAGAAACTGATAGCCAACAGCATGGATCCTGATCCATATATGCTTACTAATACCTTTATTTAGTTTCTTACCCTATAGTATGCAGGTAGAATTTAAGAAGATTGTTCAGTTTGTAGAGTGTTACAGCATCTTGTTCCGACACCAACACCTGCTCCACCCTAACCTATAAAAGAATTGAACATAATTACGTATGCTATTTCTTAAGTAAAGTCCATTGAGAAGTACAAAATACGCTTGACGGAAAAGCAAAATGACTGTTTTTCTACATGATGCTGTATTGTCAATAAATAAAAATATTGTATATATGGTATAATTATGTTATAGATATATTTGTATATAAAAGTTATATTAAACAAGAACGTGTTTGTTAAACACAAATGCTCCCGGCTCCGATTCTTGTCAGTAGCAATATTTCAAACTAGAAATGTGTCATCATGCCACGAATGCCCCCGCATGCAGCCAAAATTTCAGACGGTGCATTAATTATTTTTTTCATTTTAAGTTCAAAGCCCTTAAAACTTTTCAATGTTAACACAAACCATTTCCATACCATGTTCAAAGCACTGAAATTATTCAGTCTTAACCTTTTAGAAATAGCATATTGCATATTTGTAGCCAAAATAATGGCTAAAAGAATGAGTGGTGAAACTGAAAGTTCAAAATTTTTCCAACATTCAGGAAAGATAAGTTTGTCTAAAATCATTGAACCATGACCAAATTCCAACTTAAACTGCTTATTCCTAAGATGTATCTATATTATTTTCAAAGTGAAAGAGACATAACTCTGCCAAAAATCATCAAACCATGACCAAATTCCAACTTGACCTGCCCATTCCTTTGACATATCCATATGTCAAATTAAAGTTGAATATGTGACACTGTTGGGTAGATAAGGAACAGAAACTGTAAATTTCATATTATTTTCAAAGTGAAAGGGGCAATACTCTGCCAAAAATCATTGAACCATGACCAAATTTGAACTTGACCTGGGCATTCCAAAAACATATCCATATGTCAAATTTGAGTTGAATGTGTTGTACCATTGGGGAGATAATAAACGGAAACTGAAAATTTAATTCATATTACTTTCAAAGTGAAAGGGGCATAACTCTGCCAAAAATCATTGAACCATGACCAAATTTGAACTTGACCTGCCCATTCCTTTGACGCATCCATATGTCACGTTTGAGTTGAATGTGTTGTACCTTGAGGAAGATAATGAACGGAAACTGAAAATTTCATATTATTTTCAAAGTAAAAGGGGCATAACTCTCCCAAAAATCATCGAACCATGACCAAATTAGAACTTGACCTGTATTTTTTCATGACATATCAATGTGTCAAGTTTGAGTTGATTGTGTTGTACCATTGGGGAGATAATGAACGGAAACTGAAAATTTCATATTTTTTTCAAAGTAAAAGGGGCATAACTCTGCCAAAAATTATCGAACCATAACCAAATTCGAACTTGACCTGTATTTTCTCATGACATATCCATATGTCAAGTTTGAATTGAATGTGTCCAACCGTTCTTAAGATAATGAACGGAAACTGAAATTTCATATTATTTTCAGAGTAAAAGGGGCATAACTCTGCCAAAAATCATCGAACCATGACCAAATTCGAACTTGACCTGTATTTTCTCATGACATATCCATATGTCAAATTTGAGTTGAATATGTCCAACCGTTCTTAAGATAATGAACGGAAACTGATGATGACGGAATGACAGAATGACGGAAGGACGGAAGGACGGAAGGACGGAAGGACGGAAGGACGGAAGGACGGAATGACGGAACAGGGTAACACTATATGCCCCGGCCATTACATGGCGGGGGCATAAAAATGTTTACCCATTCGCTCAGTTATGGACAGAAATATTGCCAAAAAATTGTAAACACAAGTTATATAGCTTGACAGAGTCATGGCATTTTGTAATTGTGAAATATATAAGTTGCCAAGTCATTGCTATGACTTGTGAAGTGATAAATATTCAACTTTATCAAATATATATAAATGTAAGAAATCTATACTTGGCACCCTTGACCTTGACCTACTGACACCTATAGAATATCATGCAAGTTATCTTCCTACCAAATATGAAATACACCTGTCAATAAATAAAGGCTGTATGGGCAAAAATGTTAAAATCTATTTTGAGCATTGATGACCTTGATCAAACTGACCAATAACTCCATCCAAAGGAAGAATACCATGCAAGTTATCTTCCAACCAAATTTGAAATAAATCTGTCAATAAATAAAGGCTGTATGGGCAAAAGTGTAAAAATCTATTTTTAGCACTTGTGACCTTGACCCAACTGACCCCTAACTCCATCCAAAGTAAGAATAACATGCAAGTTATCTTCCTACCAAATATGAAATATATCTGTCAATAAATAAAGGCTGTATGGGCAAAAGTGTAAAAATCTATTTTTAGCACTAGTGACCTTGACACACTGATCCCTAACTCAATCAAAAGGAAGAATACCATGCAAGTTATCTTCCTATCAAATATGAAATACACCTGTCAATAAATAAAGCCTGTATGGGCAAAAGTGTAAAAATCTATTTTTAGCACAAGTGACATTGACCCACTGATCCCTACCCCAATCAAAAGGATGAATACCATGCAAGTTATCTTCCTACCAAATATGAAATATATTTGTCAATAAATAAAGGCTGTATGAGCAAAAGTGTAAAAATCTATTTTTAGCACTGGTGACCTTGACCCAACTGACCACTAACTCCATCAAATTTTATGTTCCTATCAAGTATAACTGACATCTGTGTATAGAATATGGTTAATACACCTGTAAAAATGTAAAAATCTATTTTTAACATTGGTGACCTCGACATTGGTGACATTGACCTTGACCCAAATGACCCCTTACTATACCCAAAGAAGTAGGACCTCCCTTGGCATGTTTATATTAAACATTAAAGACATCAACCAAAAAATAAAGGCTGTATGAGCAAAAATGTTTAAATTTATTTTTTAAACCAGTGACCTTGACCTTGACCCTAGAGACCACTTACTCCACAAAAAATTAGAGGACCATTAAAGGTATCCACCTACCAAATATGCAAGATATCATTAAATAAATTAAGCAATTAAGAGAAATTTACGATAAATCCAACTTGCCGAAATAGGTTAACCAGACAAAGTGAAAAAAGGGAAATAACTGGGAAATATGGATGACACAGTTATATAACTTGGCAATATCATGTACTTTGTATTGATAAGTAAGTGTGGAAATTATGAAGCCATTAGTATAGATAGAACTTAAGATATTTCCAATTTGCCGTTTTAGGTTAACCATTATTCATTTTCTAAGTGCTGAAAAGGGCAATAACTTGGTAAATATGGAAGCCATAGTTATGTAACTTGACCAGATCATGTACTTTGTATTGATTAGTAAGTGTGTAAACTAAGAAACCATTGGTACAGGTAGAACTTTAGAAAAATCCAACTTGCCGTTAACCTCGTACGGACAGACGGATGGACGGTTCAATTACTATATGCCCGGGGGCATAAAAAAAATTTGTAATTATTTCTTTTATCTTTATTGAATCAATGTAAAGGAGACAACAATAACGAACCCAAATGAGTTATTTTTCTTAATCAAATGCTCTTCAAATGGAGGACGATGGTAAACAATCAGTTTGTTATATGTAAATCTGTTCGCTATAAAAACTCCTGATACAAGGAACTAATTTGCTATATGTTTACAAGGAACTCAGGATATAAAAAAAGATTTTGAATGTCCCAATGAGTTCGTTACCAGCGGAGTTTACTATGTATTATAAAAGATGAATCTGTCCCTTATTATCTTATATAAGATGTTCCTTTGAGAGGTCCGTGCTTTATTTGTTAAGTACTTTTGTTTCGTATTTCTACGAAGATTTTATCACATGTTGTGTAGTCATTGCAAGGCAGTCAGTCAACCTTGCCCACTGTCCTGAACCACAAACCAGTAATTACCACTAACACTTCAAGTGACCGACTAATTAGTCTACATGAATAAGTAATGAGAGACAAATGAGCCGTGTCACGACAAAACCAACATAATGGATTTGCGACCAGCATGGATCCAGACCAGCCTGCGCATCCGCGCAGTCTGATCAGGATCCATGCTGTTCGCTATCATTTTCTCTACTTGTTATAGGGTTTGTAAGCGAACAGCATGGATCCTGATCAGACTGTGCGGATGCGCAGGCTGGTCTAGATCCATGCTGGTCGCAAACCCATTGTGTTGGTTTTGTCGTGACGCGGCTCAAATGACAATTTAATCTTTGTCAGAGATGGATTATCGATAAGTCCTTTCTTTGAAGAAACAATGTGAGAGCCATACCTTAAACGGTCGACAAACACCTTCAGTTATATGCCCAAGGATATCTTGAATTGTGTCATCAGTGGCTGAAAAAAGTTTACATGGACTTTGTTATAGTTATTATTGCAAACATTAAACACTGTAAATACTAAACAACATAGAATTAACAAGGGTGCCATAGTCACAAAATACGCCCGTTTACGAAAGCTTTAGATGGAGATGGGGGCATTATGGATAAGTGTTATCTAGCAAGCAAGTTATTATTCTTGGCACTGTGTTGTTAAATGAACCTTAAAACAAATCAGTAGGGAAGATATGCACAGGATGTGTGACCTTGACCTTGGTCGCAGGACCTGAATTTTTATGCACGGCACTCAGCCTCACAATGATGAACATTTGTGCCAAATTATATTGAATCCTCTATGCATGTAGAAGTTTTGCTCCAGACAAGCGTTTTTCTATGAGCTCTAACTGTGACCTTCACCTTTGACCTAGAGACTTGGTTCATGTGCAGGGCACTACGTCTCATGGTGGTGAACAATTCTATAAAAGTAACATTAAAATTCCTCCATGCATGTAGAAAATATGCTCCGGACAACATCTGGATATTTAATCATCTCCAGTGACCTTGACCTTGCAAATATTAACCTAAATTAAATGTGTCACACCTGTAGTCATGATAGTTACCATTTGTGCTACAATCCATCAAAAAATGATGACTAAATGGTCCCTATACACATCTTCAAATTTTTATCTGAACTTTGACCTCTATGTGTAACCTTGACTTTGGTCGCAGGGATCTGAATTTTGTGTGCGACACTCAGCCTCACAATGGTGAACATTTGTGCCAAGTTATATTGAAATCCCCCTATGAATGTAGAAGTTTTGCTCCGGACAAGCGTTTTTCAATGAGCTCTAAGTGTGACCTTGACCTTTGACCTGGAGACCTGGATCATGCATGGAGCAATACATATCATGGTGGTGAACATTTCCATAAAGTATTAAAAATTCTTCCATACATGTAGAGATATGTTCCAGACAAAATCTGGATATTTCACCATCTTTAGTGACCTTGACCTTGCATATATTGACCTAAAGTACATGTGTCACAACCGTAGTCATGATAATGACCATTTGTGTTACAATCCCTCAATAAATGATGATTAAATCGTCCCTATACACATCTTCATATTTTTATCTAAACTTTGACCTCTATGTGTGACCTTGACCTTGGCTGCAGGGACCTGAATTTTTGTGCGCGACACTCCGCCTCACAATGGTGAACATTTGTGCCAAGTTATATTGAAATCCCTCTATGCATGTGGAAGTTTTGCTCCGGACAAGCGTTTTTCAATGAGCTCTAAGTGTGACCTTGACCTTTGACCTAGAGACCTAGTTCATGTGCGTGACATGGCTTCTCATAATGGTGAACATTTCTATGAAATTTCATTAAAATCCCTCCATGCGTGTAGGAGATATGCTCCGGACAAAATCTGGATATTTTATCATCTTTAGTGACCTTGACCTTGTATATATTGACCTAAATTATATGTATCACAGCCATAGTCTTGATAATGACCATTTGTGTTACAATCCCTCAATAAATGATGACTAAATGGTCCATATACACATCTTCATATTTTTATCTGAACTTTGACCTCTATGTGTGACCTTGACCTTCGCCGCAAGGACCTGAATCTTGCGCGCGACACTCCGCCTCACAATGGTGAACATTTGTGCCAAGTAATATTGAAATCCCTCTATACATGTGGAAGTTTTGCTCCGGACAAGCATTTTTCAATGAGCTCTAAGTGTGACCTTGACCTTTGACCTAGAGACCTGGTTCATGTGCGCGACACTGCTCCTCATAGTGGTGAACATTTCTATGAAGTTTCATTAAAATCCCTCCATACATGTAGGAGATATGCTCCGGACAAAATTGGACGTCGCCCGCCCGCCTGTCCGCCCGCCCGCCAGGGGCGTTCCCATAATACGTCCCGTTTTTCAAACGGGCGTATAAAAATGCAAAAATGCATGTACACTCAACCTCTTGCCAACCTTAATAAAAGAAGTTGGAAATCACAGAGAAATTTATAAGCATTGACCCTTCTTTTTTTCTAACAGGGGAACTAGGGACACTCTTTTGCCTGAGAATAAACAATCTTATGCTATGTTAATATATAAAACATAATAAAGTTTCAACATAATGATGCTTTATAAAATCACTAAAATTAGAAATTGTCCTTCTTCCTTAAGGAAAATTATTTCAGACCAAGCAAACAAAACTTAAAGTCCTGTTAAAAGAGTAAGTACATGTATGATTAGAAATGTTTGTAAAAAAAATCATCAATTTTTATTTGAAAAAACTTGACTTATCACAAACCTGCTGTTTTGTTTTATGCTGTTGAAAAGAAAATGTATACATGGGGTCTACTAGTGACTTAAGTTTTAAGCAAGTTACATTGAAAAAGATAGCCAAAAATCACTTAAGCTTTTCCCAATTCTATAGAACTGTCAATAGTTATTAATGTTGAGGTATAAAAATATATTTGAGAGATTGGAAAACATTAAAGACTATATCATTTGTTTAAAATCAAAGCTTTTAGGCTATTATTTGTACTAAGTCTGAGAAATCATAAGGTTAAACTTCATCCTGGTATCTTTTTAAGCAAAAATAGAATTAAAATCAAATACAAGTATATATAGAAACCTTACAATATTGGTTTACAAAAAAATATAATCATTTAATATCTAATCTTGACTAATGTTTAAGGAAGACTAAAAATAAAATTAAATTACAGAATTGAATAGCAGATGAGCTTAAAACAGATTTTTTCTTATATCTATAATGGTCTTAAGAATTATATCACTCTACAGAAACTGAAATACAACTCTTGACCTGCTTCTAAACCAATGAATACTGCATAGCTGATATTATTACATGTATATGCATTTCAGAATATATAAAAATCAGGCAAATCATAGGCCTATGAATATTTTAAAATGAGGTATTTTTCACATTTGACTGCTATCAGAGCTTCTCTGCCTACAAGCAGATGCCATAAAGTTTGCCACTGATTTTGACTGTTCTATTCTGTCATGGTGTCATGAATTGGGTTTTTACATTCACGCTTTGCTGATCTCCATTACCGTCAGTATTTTGATTTATCTAAATATTTGCACTGGTTTCCCCAATCATTTCAAATGTTGGCAATTGGACTAACCAATTTTTATGGATTCTGACTCAAAATTTGCTTGTTCTATTTTAATAAAAGTTCCAACCAACTTCACAATCTGAGAAGGATAAAAAGTCAATGATAATTTGTAATGTTAAAGTTTTTGCTTCTATCACTGTTACAACTGCAGTGCTGTTTATTCAAAATGACAGAAAATTGGTAAAACATATTCAGAATTGTTCAGCATATACAATTAGAACCAGAAAATATAAGTAATAAAAATCACAAAGAAAAGCCAGAAAGAAATAAAGCGTGATTTTATCAATCTAGAACTCATTTCTAAACCTTTAATATCAAAACCATTAATATAAAACTTTTTAATAAAGCAAAATATTAAAGCAAAAATATAATGTGTCTCTGGGTTAAATAAAATGATTAAAGTTTACAGAAGTGCCTAACGTAATCTGGAGAGGTAAATTACAAAGCTTATATGGTATAATACATGATGTTTTGCCCCACTTGTTACCTCCTGTCACATGAATAACGTCCTTATTTACATCCCGCATGTCCCCCTGACATATCTTAATAGCCTCTGTTTTGTGAGAGACAAAAAAGACAAAAACTCCTACTATTCAATCTTACAATTTCTTGCCATTCTTTAACATATCACTATAAGCTAGATTTATGCGGTTTTCAAAATTCTTACTGCAATAATAACGAGTCCTATCGTACCAGTATAGAGCCAGGCTAGCATACCTTTGCAGCTAGTCTTCACTATTTCCTATTCGGTCAGTGCATAAGTTGAAATTTTTCTTAAACATGAAACAAAGTGTTGTCAAGATTGAAAGATGGATAAGTCCAATTAAGATATATAGTATGGTAAGGGTAAATTCTCCAGAGTGGTTAGACCTTTGGTTCTTTTATATTTCTTTCAACAAGTATAGAATGAGTCTCTAAAATGTGATATTGCATGTTTGGCCATCCATATATCTTCATAATCAATCGTAATAATCATGTAACTTGCATTTGATTTATAGACCATGTAATACCACTTGATATCATTTGAAAATACGCTCAAAATTGCGCTATATTTGCTTATCATGTACTTATAATGCTTGGAATATTGCAAGCAATATCACTATCAACATACATATTTTTTGACAGTTTTTTCTTTTCAACTTTCAATAATTAATTTAAATTCATCAGAAAATTTATCTTACGTTCACATCTTTTCAATAATGTCTGCAGATATTCCTTCTCCGAGGCTGTAGCCTGATGTAACCATGCCAACATATCTCCAACATACCTCAAAGGATCATGGGAATGTAATTCAATGGGGCGTGGTGTACCACCAGGACCTGAAACAAATATACTTCAAGGGTCATTTCTACTTCATATCATACTTTAGAGTAAACAAATATCTTTTTGGTGCACTGATATGATGAGCAAATCTTATAGGAATCAAATTTGGGCAAAGTAAGACAAAAGTGATTAAACCAATGAAGTAATTGAAAACTAGGACTTAAAATATGTACTATAGGTTAATGGAAGAATATTGAAAACTCTATGTAAGATATCATTTTGATATCATTTATATCAATCACTGTAAATAAATCATCTTTGAAACACTTTATTATGAAGTATAAAACAAGAGGGCCATCATCCATGATGGCCCTGAGTCGCTCAACAGAAACAACTGCTTTTCAGTGTTATGTCAATATATTCTAATATTAAATTTGAGCATACATGTAGAATATGTTTAAACAATAATTTGAAAAAATGCAATGACCTGGGGTATTTAAACTTTAGCTTAAACCAAGGTAATCAAATTAATATGAGCAAACTTGATAAAAGACTACCTAAGAATGCTACAAAGTTTGGTGATCATCTTTCAATTATTTCAGTAGGAAATGATGTTCGAAGGTTTTTTCTATTTTCTATTTTTAGTTTTAGTGGCCCCTAAAAGGGGCTCATCAAATAAATATAAGCAAACTTGATAAAAGAGTATCCAAGAATGCTACAGACAAAGTTTGGTGATCATCCATCAATTGGTTCTGAAGTGGATGTTTAAAGGTTTTTCTATTTTTAGCTTTAGCGGCCCCTAAAAGGGGCCAATCAAATGAATATGAGCAAACTTGATAAAAGATTACTCAAAAATGCTACAGACAAAGTTTGGTGATCATCTATTTATAAGTTCTGTAGGAGAAGATGTTTAAATGTATTTCTATTTTTAATTTTAGCGGCCTAAAAGGGGCTAATCTAATTAATATGAGCAAACTTGATAAAAGACAACCCAATAATGCTACAGACAAAGTTTGGTGATCATCCATCAATTAGTTCTGTAGCAATAAATGTTTAAATGTATATCTATTTTTAATTTTAGCGGCCCCTTAAAGGGGCCAATCAAAATAATATGAGCAAACTTGATAAAAGACTGCCCAACAATGCTTCAGACAAAGTTTGGTGATCATCCATCCATTAGTTCTGTAGAAATAGACATTTAAAGGTATTTCTATTTTTAGCTTTTGCGGCCCCTTAAAGGGGCTAATCAAATTAATATGAGCAAACTTGATAAAAGACTACCCAAGAATGCTACAGACAAAGTTTGGTGATCATCCATCCATTAGTTCCCTAGAAATAGACATTTAAAGGTATTTCTATTTTTAGCTTTTGCGGCCCCTAAAAGGGGCCAATCAAATTAATATGAGCAAACTTGATAAAAAACTACCTGAGCATGCTACCTACTAAGTTTGATGATCATCCATCAATTAGTTCTATAGGAGAAGATGTTTAAAGGTTTTTCTATTTTTAGCCCTAGAGACCCCTAAAAGGGGCCAATCAAAATAATATTAGCAAACTTTATAAAAGACTACCCAATAATGCTACAGACAAAGGTTGGTGATCATCCATCAATTAGTTCTCTAGAAATAGACATTTAACGGTATTTCTATTTTTAGCTTTAGCGGCCCCTAAAAGGGGCCAATCAAATTAATATGAGCAAACTTGATAAAAGACTACCCAAGAATGCTACAAACAAAATTTGGTGATCATCCATCAATTAGTTCTGTAGGAGATGTTTAAAGGTTTTTCTATTTTTAGTCCTAGAGACCCCTAAAAGGGGCCAATCAAAATAATATTAGCAAACTTGATAAAAGACTACATAAGAATGCTACACACAAAGTTTGGTGATCATTCATCAATTAGTTCTCTAGAAATAGGCATTTAAAGGTATTTCTATTTTTAGCTTTTGAGCAAACTTGATAAAACACTACCCAAGAATGCTACAGACAAAGTTTGGTGATCATCCATCCATTAGTTTTGTAGAAGAAGATGTTTAAAGGTTTTTCTATTTTTAGCTCTGCTGACCCCTAAAAGGGGCCAATCAAATTAATATGAGCAAACTTGATAAGACACTACCCAAGAATGCTACAGACAAAGTTTGGTGATCATCCATCCATTAGTTCTGTAGAAGAAGATGTTTAAAGGTTTTTCTATTTTTAGCTCTGCTGACTCCTAAAAGGGGCCAATTGGAATGATATGAGCAAATTCAAGTGTGACTGTCACAAAGATGCTACAGACCAAATTTGAAGTAAATCTGCCCAGTAGTTTCAGAGAAGAAGACGATTGTTGACGCATGACGATGGACACCGGAGCATCCCCCTTTGATACAAATAGCTCACCCTGAGCCTTCGGCTCTGGTGAGCTAATAAAAGATTAATGTATTTGTCCCTTAATGCATATGACAAATATTTTTACATTTATGTAAATTTTCAAGATATTTGATAACATTTTGTTTCTTGTATTAAAAAACTTATCAGTGAGATATACATAACTGTAAGTACTTTAACTAAACTTCAGTCCTATATGTTATATATAAAGAATGAGACAAATACCTCCTCTAGTCAGAGCATCAATCAAACCCCTGACAACGGCAGTACGTCTTGCTGTACCATACTCGTCTAATGTGTATCTGAAACACAAAACATTAGCAGACTTGTTTATCGTTGAGGCAATAAAAAAAGAATCCCCTCTCAGCAGCTTACTTCTGAGTTAATCCTTAACCTGCTGGTGCCAATTGAATATACCCATGTGTCCAGTGCAGACCAAGAACAGCTGGTATTTATGGCCATCTGATTATTGTCTGCACTTTTTGCTATTCAGCCAGTACTTATTTTGATATTCTCCCTAAAAAGGATGAATGTTTATGTCCAGATTGAAAAATGTTCATTTAAGACATTTAGAATGACAAGAGTTTATGAAGTAAACTTAGAAATGGTTCAAATAAACTTCAAGGTGACTACAATCAAGCTAAAACTTTGATTGTAATAAAGCTCAATGTTCAGTTTATCATTCTGAATATAATTATAAAAGGTTTAACAATATTTCCTAAATTTGATTGATAAATTCAATCAAAAAAACATTAAGATACAAACCTTAAAGCAAAGTTTTTTAACAAACTGACTTATTCACTTACCTGAACAGTACAGGTCTGTCTTGTAGTGCGAGTAATGCCTGACAAAGGATCGGTGAAATGTCCGGTGCTTCTCCGGTCAACATCCGACATTCATCTAGCATCAAAGAACATATCAATATTTATGTAATTTATAGAACTTTCTGACACTTAAGTTTTCAAATGAAAACATTTTATCAGTTGAAAGCAGCATGCCTCCAGATTCTAGCTAATTTTCAAGAAATTTTTTAAAATGTATTTGAAAGTGTTATATTGTAAAGTAACCAAAAGGAAGCAATTTACACATTATCATTGGCACTTACAAACCACGTTAATTACCAAAAAGTGGTCAAAATATGCATAAATAGCCTTTACTGCAGTAGTATATACAGTAGAAATATAGCTGTAAATACTGAAAAATCAGTCAATAATCACACATAATATGTAAAATATTACTTGAATCTTGAAACGTTTTACTTTTCCTTACATCTTAGTATATTTTTCTCAAGATTCATTTTATTGAAATATTTTCAATCATCTTGAAGTGACAATTTGTAAAGATTATTGTTTAGGCAATGTTTCATATGCATGTCTAGTTTATTCTGTTTTTTTCTAGCCACATATTTTTGCTGTGCTGGTACTTCATTTGGAACACTTATTTCTTCCTCCTACTTTTCCTCTTCTAAAGTGACTGATAACTTCCCAAAATGAATCAATAAGCTTAGCTCAATTGATGAGCTGATAAGATAAACTAACTGAAAATATATATTGTTATAAATATTACAGAGGAGAAGAAGAGAATAACACCTCTCTTATGCTAAAAAAAATCTTACTTTGTGACCATCTGTATAGCCTCTCATAAGATGACTCCTGGTGTAATGCCATAGACTCCATTATCTCCAAGCTAAAAATAACACATGAGCTTATTAAGAACTAAAAAAATGATGTATTTAAAGAGCACATAAGCATGACAGCATTTTTAACCACTGTTTTGTTCAATTTGTATAGTTTAAATTAACAACTTAAACAGACTTTCAATCCTCATTCCTGATTTTCTAGACCACATTCTAACATTTACAACAACCAATGCATAAACAATGTCAAAATATCACTCACTGGTAAAAAACACCACTCACTGTATTTCAGCATGGGACAAAAATGTGTTCTTTCTACATAACATACAATATCCTTAAAAAGAGTCTGTACTAAAAAATTAACTTCTTACAACTAAAAGCAACAAAATTTTGTGCCATGAGGATTAATAAAAAATTTCTGCTTTTTATTACAGGTATCATCGATTAGAACATAGGGTCACAACCATGTTTCCTTACATGACAACAGAATTGGTAAATTTCTTGAATTCATTTACATGACTGGTTCAAACATGCTTAAATCAAGCTAAACTTAGGAAGTTAAAACTGAAAGCAATTGCTCTTGACAAATTCACACCTGGTGTTACCAGAGAGGATAAGCCGATGTGTCTTTTAGACAAAGTGTATTACAACAAACCAAAGTCAACTGAATCTTTTTGAAAATCTTTTTGTGTACTGAATATATTTTTTTTTCAAGTAAAAAAGCATAGTTTAAGATAGCAATTTGCCTGTTTGTTACTGACTTTGTGTTTAGTGATACTTTCAAAAATCCTTACTTATCCAGGGTTATTAGAATTTAGAATTTTCTGCCATGGCACTTTGTCCAATAGGCATGTGGGTCTGTCACTCCACAATACATGTATCATATTATTTACATAATACTTTCAATGACAATGCAATCTTACCCAGCTGTTTGATGATTGGTTCTTAACAACACTTTACAATCAGTATGTATCTGCTTTACCCTGGACAATGCTTGGAAAAAATCCTGAAATTTTTAAATATTCAAATTTTATTCAACAAACAAATGTTGTTTCACTTTTTATTAGTTGGAGTCATTGCCAACTGATTAAAACCTAGAAATAATTTTCAAGATTTATGTTTAATTTGATGTAGTCTAGAACAAAAACTTGTGCAAATTTCAGATTATTCGCTACATTGATTTTCCAGAATAATTATTTTAATCGTGTGAAAATTTTTCACTAATACTGGACTTATAAAAGCACAAAAATATGACTTAAATACCGACTTTAATATATGCCAAGCCAAAAATAGTCACTAGAAAACCAAATGCAAATAAATTTGGTGTTCTCTCCAACAGAGGTAACTGACAACAGATTTAGATTTTCATCAGTTACAGTATTTCAAGAATTTTTCACCAATCCTATCATTTAGTACACCGGCTTTAATCCATAAATCCTCATTCCGTCCATGACAATATTATTTTTAACCTAACCCTGCTGAGTTTGCGCAATAAATTTGCCCAGCTTTGAATTTGAAACAGTCAATTCAAAGTTTTAGAGATTTTAGAATCAAAAGTACAATTTTTTTAGCTATTTTACAGTATAGAGCCTTAGCTATATACTCAATGGTGGAAAAAGGTAAATCACTTATGGTTCCAGCAGGTAAAGGGTTTACTATATTTTAAAACTAAATGAGTCAACCCTGAGCTGTATGCTATAAAAAGAAAAAACAACAAATAAAAGAATTTGTAATTAAACCTGTGAAAGTGCACCAGATTTAGCTCCCCTTAGAGACCGTATCTCTTCCGGTTTTAACTGGAACTGATCAAGGAAGGTATCAGCAACTTGCTGCTTCATCTGTAATTTTTGACTGTAAAACAAATAAAACAAGCAATTATCATAGTATTGCAAGCAATCCATAAGTCCCCTACCGGTTAGAACCCCAGCAACATTCTGATGGGCCATTGGCCATTCAATTTTACCAGTGAATGAATGACATGAATGAACTTATATCTTTTGAGTTCTAAGTTTGTCTATATCACAGTAATGTGTTAAGTTTCCCTGCCTAGTAAGGATTTATGTTTATACAACCTTGTCATATTATTACAATGTGGGATTTTAAAGTAAATCCTATAAGGAATGAAGAAGGTGGAGTGAAAAATACCAATTTCTCGAAAAAAATCTAAGTTCAAGGGGGACATAATTTTGGAAATAGTCTTGCTAGAGTATTTAACCTTCTCAAAAATGTTAAGTGATAATAAGAAACATATTATGAAGTTTGAAGTAGATACATTAGGAAATAAAGAAGTTATTAAAAAAAGACAACATTTTTTTTTCCATAAAAATTCTAAGTTCAAGGGAGGTAATACTGATAATTTTTGTGCTAGAGTTGTAAACCTTGTCACATATGATGTGGTTGATGACCAGAAACTTATATTTAAAGTTTGAAGTAAACACCTTAAGAAATAAAGAACTTATAGTGAAAAAGCTGAAAAAAATTAAATCAGAAATCTTGAAATTCAGGCTATTTGTTGCCATAGCAACCAGAATTTTCAACATAGGAAGAAAAAAGACTGCCATCTACCCATATTTTAAGTTTCATAAAAATATTTTCAGTACTTATTGAGTTATCACTGGATCCAGTTTATGTGTTAAGTTTGCCATATTTTCAGACTATTTGTTGCCATAGCAACCAGAAGTTTCTACATAGGAACAAAAGAAAAAGATGTGCATAATCTCCATACTGCCATCTATCCATATCTCAAGTTTCATAAAAATATTTTCAGTACTTTTTGCGTTATCGCGGGATCCAGTTTTGTGGACGGACGGACTGACAGACAGATGGACAGACAGACAGACGGACAGACAGACGGACCGGTTAAACCGGTAGGGGACTAAAAATTGCCTTCATGACAGCAAGCTTAATTGATAAATTATAATTAAATGACCATTGCAAGTGAAGGAAATGTTTATACAGTGTTCATCCTTGTGCAGGTACTTTTTTGTGACAATTACACTGGATACTTATACAAATACAGGTTTACAATAATATGTAGCTCTTATAAAAAAATTTTTAATAATCCTGGCTTCTTTGACTTGAGAAAACAATACACCATCTAAGCTCTTAATATGCCAAGTTCTATAATCTTATTATGTCATCCCTACAAATTTGAATCCAGTGATGGGACATTGAATTGTTAAATTCTTAATTAATTCTTATTTTAAGGAAGCTATCTATGTAGTCTATTTTATGTCCATGGATCAACCCAGGGGAAGCTTGTGACAGAAATGTCTTATTGGGCATCTCGGATCTTTTTCCACTACTTGAATATACTTTTAAAAAAATATGATTTTAAAAATTCAACATTTTTTAAACTTGTTCATCACTTCATATTAATGCACAAAGAACTTGCATACCTCTCACCATGTAGTTTTGTAGTCTGATTTATAAGATCATGTGTCTGTGCCTTGGCATTCTGAAAATTATTAACTAAGATAGATATAAGAGGTTCATCATAACAACAATGTCTTTTTTACTACATTGTGGCAATGAACTTGAAAATTTTGTATCACCAGATAACATAACAGATTGTCATGAAAAATATTCATATTACTGAATTTAAGATACCTTTATTGCAATTTAAGTAAATGATCTACAAATGCTGATATAGAACAATCATATATGTAACACTATAATATGCTTTAGAATCAGAATCAATTAGCTTTTACTCATTTACATTGTGGCAAATCAAAGTCATTGGACCTATACCAGCTGGGGATCTCTCTAAAATAGGAGAGTCCAGGATTCCCCACATCACTTTCCTGATCAAGAAAGGTAACTCTTGATTTTTATATACCTTTGGGGGGGGGGGGGTATAAAATGCAACCAGTTTTCGTGCTGCTTGTTTAAGCCAACCTAAAACAGTTATCTAAAATTTTACTGAGAGCAAATAATTAAAGTACCACAGTTTGTGAGATATTAATGGCCTAAATTCAAGGTTTATAGAGTAACAGTTCACATTTTCAGCACTTTCCCGATATTTAGAAATGTACTTGCCTGAACAAGCTAGTAGTGATCAAATATAAAAATATCAAATGTTAAGAAGTTGGCTTTATAAAGACTTGGCTTAATCCATCCAAATATTCACTTACCTTTAACCTTGTGGTCATATCCTGACAGCAGTCACTCATTGCTTTAACATCTGAGTACACACTGTCCAATTGCTGTGACAACAAGAAATAAACAGATATCATACATTTTGTAAAATACAATATTCACATATTTAATTTACAACATCTGGCTAAATGCAGTTTTTTCCCCACAAAAATAACAAGCAAACATTTCCATGCATTTGCTTATCCCGTAGCACCTGCTTTCGAAATTTTCTATCTACAACACTTAATAATAAATTGAAAAATAATTATAGAATCAATTACTACATTAATAGCAAAGGTTGGATGAAGAAATTTTGAATAAATAAAAACAATGACGTAACTTTTCACAACTACTTTAATATAAGGCCATAAAATAATTTTTCTACATAATTTTTATGTCAGAAGACAAAATTACATAATATCTGTAATTACATTTTTGACCACTTGGAAAGTTTGAAGGAACTCCTCATTAATGGCAAGACTTCTTCTTTCAATATCACTACGAAGGTTTCGTCTTGTCCTCAAGCTGTTCTCACCAAAGAAAGTTGACAAAGCTTTAAGAGCCTCAAGCATGTCCTGGAAAACAATGAAAAAATATTAATTATTTGATGGCTGTTAACCCATTACTTCATGAGCATTTTGTGAAAAATGGCTGTTTTCATTGAAAAGTCTCCCGTTACAAGTTCAAATTGCTATAATACTTTAAAAACTGCTTCAACACTAATCAAACTTGGCACAAATGTTGACTGGACCATTGCCCTTGCAACAACATGCTCAGGCTTAAATTTTCTGTTACCATGGCAACGAGGGAACATCTCAAAATTGCCAAAAATCACTTTTTTGCGTTGATTTTTTCCATCAAAATTGATTTCAAAATGCTGCAACTTCTCAATGGATTGAGATAGAGTCAAATGCTTTTCAGCGTTGGTTACACTTTACCTTATGATCAATCTGGGGTCATTTATAGCCTCTCACAAGTCCAAAATTTTCTTGGCGATGAGGGGGACTCTGCCCCCCTTCAAACCCCCCAAACAACAGAAGGGGTCACAGCCCCCTTCTGGCAACCCCCTGATGTATCTTTTGGTTGGGGGGCCGCGCCGAAAAAGAGGTCACTTTTTTTAACAACATTTCTCTAACAAAAACAAGTGTTGGGGGCCTAAATAAGGCATATTTTCACCATTTGAGACAACATAAAGGGGGGGGTGAAAAAGGCGTTAAAAGGCGTGTATATAACGTAATGGGTTAACTTAGTGTTTAGGTAGACAGTATGTTGGTTAATTCAAACGAATGAGACAAGTTAACTTGTCCTAGAGCACCTGACATGACATGCTATATAGGACATGAGCAATAAGATAACCAACTTGTTGATGCTTTTCCAAGATATTTAAGGTCTTTGTAAGCCACTCCGTGGGAAAACATACTCATTCAAGCAGTCTTCTATTTTGTAAATTTTCCACCTGTCCTTTCAAAAGACCACATATAGCCATATTTTCCTGTACTTGTTAATAATTCTTATAACTGAATGACGTTAATCTAAATAATATTCAAACCTACAATGTGTCTTAGTGACATTTTTTTTTTTAAGAAAGACAGTTATATCTATATAGGATTAGATAGGCAACATTTAGGCGCTGACAATTGCTTCGTTCTAATTGATGCACTGCCCATGTCCAGTTTCTTTGATCAGCAAAATATTGGAACCGGAGACTGTGCTTATGGTGAGGGTTTCGAAAGGATTATATACGTGACGTCACTATAGTTTATCCAGTGTAGGTTTTCGAAGTGTCAAGTCGAACTACAGTGACCATAGTTAGCGTCTGAACCCTGCTATAAGTTTTAGACTATAATTTGTGTGCAGTATCAAATTAAAAGTGATGCCCATCTAAGTGTAAATGGTGAGTGTTCAGGGAAATATTCAAAATAATTTCATATATCAAATTATATAATGTGGTATTAAATTATGTGTATTGATTAATTCAGGGTAGGCTTAGGGGTGCCTACCGGCCACGCCATCTGCTATGTTTTTATCGGGTTACCTATATATAGAACTGAAGTACTATCTTCATGTATCAAGCTTGAATACCCAGCTGAACATCAGTTCCTAGCATTTTAGGAAATGATTATATGGGGAAGACCAGGCTGCGATCGCAAAGCGTGCCCAGCTATATAGACAACATGTGTATATTTAAAAGAAAAGCAAATAAAAAACAATTAAAGAATATTAATAATTCTACAACTATCAGGAAAATTTTCAGTGTCAGTTGTAGTCTGGTGCCGCCATTTTCAATGTAACTCAATGATAATAGGCGGGGTATTGCGACAATGAATCGCAACTTTTCGGATTAAAAATAATCGTCCAGTATTCTGAGTAAAAACAAATGCGGTGCATAAAATTCCGAATGACACCTTTAAAACGGAAAAATGAACTATTTTTTCAACTGACCTCCCTGTTCATGGGCTTTGCCTAATTTCATATTCATGAATCATATCCTTGTCAGTCACACAGGGACCCAGCACAGTGTTGGGATAGTGTAAAAAAGTAATTTAAAAAAAAATATATATTGTATATATAATATATAGACAAGGGGTTGAACTCGCCAAATCGGCCGAATGCCCCTAGTCCAGTATAAGTCAAAATTGGAAAGTCATTCTTGCGTAAATTATATAAAGCTATATATTAAATTGCAGCTAAATGACATCACTAGACGTTGATAATAACATTACTGTCCCCACTTAAACCGTTTTTGAACAACAAACCGATATTTCGGATGAAACATCGTATTTTTGCTAGGCCGGACACAACCGTGCAACCTGTCAACACTCGATTTTCTACGTGTAAAAACGCAATTCCAGACCATGTCATTTTTTTTTTATACCAACCCGCAATAAATCGATAAAACAAAACAAAATAAACAACTTACCGCTGGAAATTGTTCCAAAACCAATCAACTATAGTAAACATTCATTTCTTTTTATTTCTCTTCCGTCAAAATATTTTTTTGAAGCCATGATACATACTCGTCAACGGTTGTAAGACATTGTTTGATTGGACGATTCTGTGACCCAGCAATGCTTTGTATTTTAATCAACCAATGAAATAATCTGTTTCAAATTGGTCACGTGATAGCCAATGGATGCTGATTACAACTTTCATTTTCACATTCAGGAATTATTTGTTTACAGACGCTTTAAAACATTTTAAAAATCAATTTCCGGCGGTAAGTTGTTTCTTTTGTTTTGTATTATCGATTTATTGCGGGTTGATATAATGACATGGTTTGGAATTGCGTTTTCACACGTAGAAAATCGAGTGGGGACAGGTTGCACGGTTGTGTCCGACCTAGCAAAAATACGATGTGTCATCCGAAATATCGGTTTGTTGTTCAAAAACGATTTAAAGACATATACACCCAAATGAAGTTCAAATAAGAAATGCCTGAAAATTTGCACAGATACCCTTTAAACTATAATGAACACATTGATCCAAAGATATTTATATGTTACCATACTATTTTCTTTTATATTTGCCTTTAAAGTAAGGGTATATGACCGGTTTACAGACAATTTTACAGGCAAAATCTTATTTTCTATGGTGATTTCCCAAAATGCACATAATTCTTTTGCAATCTTTTTCTTTTACATTAAACATTATGTTTTCAATAAATATGTGTATATAAGACAAAAAATAAATAAAAAAATAACTGTTTTAACTTTATTAACATTTTGTTGTACAAAATAAAACTTATAACTTGCTAAATTTTATTATGGAATTTTCGAATATTTTGGCATCTTTTCACAGAAAAGATGAATTTTTATAAAAACTACAAATAGGAAACATACCAAACTTGGCCATAAGTTAGATAAATACATAAGCAACAAGAAAATGTACAGAAAACACTGTGTCACCATTAAAAGTTTTGAAATATTTGATATCTTGTATGTATACCCCTTACGAATTTTTCAGTCACAGACTCACTTTTAGTCACTAGAAATACCACTCAGTAATTTCCATAAGTATTATATCAGTTTAACACTGTATATATGGTGTCTTTGATTTCTTCATAACAATATACATATTTACAATTTTATCTATTGTCAAGTTTGTTCAGAAATAAAATGATCTGTCAAAGAATCTAGCACTCTTTTGCATGATGTTACTCGTGTAACACCATCCTTTTTTTCACCCAAAAGTTGTTTCAGGCCATTTTTTCCATCCTTGAGAAAAACTGCCACTAAATGTTTGTATTCAAGTCCAGAACATGCAATTTTAGTAATCATCTGCTTTGACAGAACTTTCTTTGTAGCCAGGGATTCCATTGTTTTTTCATTACACTCGGTCACTTCCTTGTAAGTCAAATTTTGGAAATTCCATACTGTTGAGAAACTTGATTTTATGATCTGATTATGTGACACATTTGAAAAAGTATATAATTCTTGCAGACTCAGAACATCATCAAGGGCATTATGAGCACAGTACTTTTTATTCAGTAATGTTTCATATAAGAACTGTTGTCTGTAGTTTTCCATACCAGGATGAATTTCCTTGAAAATTGGTAGCGTATCCACACCACCTAAACATGCATTTGTAAATTCAGCTTCCATATTTACTGCTCGAAATGCCATCAGTAGTCTAGGAAAATCAAATCGTTTCAGATTGTGTCCGATTAACACTACTGGTCCTATATCTTGGCACCAGTTTAGGAAACGAATTAAAGCTTCTTTCAGTGGTATTGCTGGGACAGGGGACCCATGTAAAAAAAGAACACCCCCACTTGCTGTAAGTCCGGTAACTCTGGATGATGATGGCGCTATTGGTTTCCTTGGAAGAATGTATTGTTCAAATGTTTTATCTTTATAACAAGCTGCTATTTGTAATATGTCTGTGTCTTTAGCAAGAGAGCCTGTTTCTATATCAAAAAACACAACATTTTCAGCTGAGGTAATTGGGGATAACTCTGGTGGCTGAGAGTATGTTGGAATTGAGGTGTCGTCTGCATGGTGGGAGATGGCCACTGCTGTCTTATATGTAGTACCTTCTTTCTTTTCTTTCTTGCCAAGATCCAACCTTTTCTTTGATTTCCTTTGTAATTTTCTAAGTTTATTTTCTTTTTTATTACTGTATATCAGCTGACGTTTTCTTTCAGTGTCCCTTGACATAGCCTCTTTCAAGTACACCTTTCCGGGTGATATTCCTAAATTGGCATATATTCTACTCACGTAGGCATTACCCAAGTTTTTTTGAGCGACAGCACATCCAACACGAGACAAGAGGTTACTAGTAGCTGAAAAGTGACACCTCTTAGGTGCTTTGGAGGCCACCATATTATTGAAAGATTCTACATCCTTTGTCGAACCGCCAGGTGCAATTTTTTCACAGTTTTGGCTGAATGATTTGAACACAGCATCCAAGTCTTTTCTCAGGTCCTCACCAGATAAGTCTTTTGATAATGTGTTATGTGTGTAACTGTCTGGATTATTTTGGAAGCCACACCACTCACCACACATGGAATGATTACCAAAAGCATGGGGGACAATCTGTTCTATCTGCGATTTACATGCCGATGAGTCTCCTTTCGTTTGAGCAAGAGCGTAGTTAAAACATTTCTTGAGGTAAGCTATCACATTGTTTGTTAAAATTCTGTGCTTTTTCTGAAGTAGGAAGAGGCTATTTGTTAAATGTTTAGTGGTATGGTTGACATCACTCCATTTGTTGACAGTATGGTTTATGTCTTGTCTAATTCTGGCCATAGTTGTTGTATCATCATCCATAATTATTGTTGATACTTTCACACCTTGTTTTTCAATAGATTTGATAAGGTTTACTCCAACATCTGATTCCATTGCTTTTGCGCTACCAGACCAATTTTTAGTACAGTTATGAGGTGGGACATTCTCTTTATTTCCATTTACGTCACGGGTACAAATTCTACAGTCTGACTGTCTCACACCAAAAGCACATATTTTTCCTGTGTTGTTCCCTATGAGGGTCCCAACACCTGACTTACTGTCATATGATCGACCACTACCTCGTTTCTGCCATCCCATGTCATATTTAAAAATTCCTTCTTTATTGGTAGGATCTGATGCTTGGTCATCTCCTCCAGAAAATGTTGGGCTGAAATGAAATGATAATAAAAATGGTTATGGCATTTAGAGACAAGACTAACATGTAACAAATCTGCTTGACAATTATCAATACTAGATGGTAGAATGTGACTATGATATTAAAACATGCCTATGATTTCAAAGCAATATTTCAAAAGGTTGAAAAGGCAAGATGAAAATATAAACAAAAGAAACAACAATGAATAAACAATGTTGGCTATTTGCTTGAAAAATTATCAAACTAACCAATAGCATACTGGGTTTCATTCACAGCATATTATATAAAATACTCAATGTGGAATATAATGTTATCTTAGCCATTCACTGTCTTCATTATGTGCTCAAAATTTTTCACACTTCAAATATAAGAGTTAAAATTGGTGTTTTTATCTATATAGGGTAAAATATGTTTTGGTTTTTCAGTTTTTCATGACACGGCTCATATGTTTTATTTATTAAAACTGACCTATTGATTTGTACTTCTTCTTGAAGAACTGCTGAGCATGATTCATGAGCGACATCTTGTATATGTGGATGAATTTCAGCTTCCCGTCTGGTCATGGCTGAGTGATGTAGGCCTCTTACTTCCATAGTTGACATTAAACTATTCATTTGCCTGTATGTCAAGCCAGAATGGATTATACCTAAAAAACAAACAAAAATGTGTGAGTTAGAAATTAGAAAATCATCTATGTAACAACATTATAAGATCATGTAATAAGCCAATTTGTTTTAATTTTAATCTTTGAGGAATTAAATGCTAGAAAATAGTCATAAACTAGAATACTACCACATTAATAAAGTAGCACCGGGGAATTGCACATAATAAAGTACATAGCCGTACATTGTTGTAATTGTATTTCAAGCAAATACTCTTGGCAAAAGTGTAGGGTGTACGGAAATTACCAAAAAAATTTAATTTGTGAATAATTTGATTATTTAAAGTGGGGAGGAGTGTAGTGCATGTAATAAAAATTTAATTAAAGTCATTTTCAACATCTAATTGTTGGATTAACCTTCAGCAACATGGTTTGGTATGCACCTAATAAATGAGGGGCCTCTGAATGAATAATCTGTTTATAGAATAGAAGTGTTTCTACAATTCGCTTTGAGGTACATAATACCTAATTAGTGACTTGATCATAGTACCGATTGAGTTTTACTGTACCGCACATTTTTGTTTTATAAATTATATGGACAAAGACAAAATTGTGTGCTTGTAAATTAAGTAAAACTGTTAAAGATATCAACATATCACATAAATTCTTTCCATTAAAAACTTATATACATTTACTGCTATCAAAAATATTTATGAGATAATATTATATATACCTAATACAGCTTTTGTATTGATGTCATACACAGGCATCCCTCGTTTTGACTTGCCAAGTGGACGATGGCTTTTTCCTGTTGAAATCTTATTCAATATACCACATTCACATGAGATATACAGGATACTGGCATATCCAACCCGTTGTTCCTTGTAAATATTGAATAGATGTAGCGGCTTTGAACAGTTATTGCAACTTTTGAGTTGATCAGCAAGGAATTTCAACTCGACAATTCTGCGACCAATACCCCACCCACTTTCTGTTTCAACTTGACTGTCATTCTCAAGGGTAGAATCGCTGTTTTCTGACAAATTCGGCTTAGTTGACATTTGCTGAGATAAATTCTCCAATCTTGCACGCTTACCAGCTTTCATAAACTTGCCTTTCCACCGTCTTTTCATATTTTCTGTGTTTTTTTCAACGGCAAATTCTAAGCGGAAGTAAAACCGGAAATGCGTAGGGGAAGTAACTCAGTGATAAAAAACCAGTTATTTTTCAAACGCGGTTATCTTTCTTAGTGCCAATGTTTCTGATACGCCAGATGTCGCATTAATTCTGCGAGTATGTCTTTAAGTTGGGACAGTAATGTTATTATCAACGTCTAGTGATGTCATTTAGCTGCAATTTGATATATAGCTTTATATGATTTACGCAAGAATGACTTTGCAATTTTGACTTATACTGGACTAGGGGCGTTTGGCCGATTTGGCGAGTTCAACCCCTTGTCTATATATTATATATAAAGTATAATTTTTTTTCTAGAATTACTTTTTTACACTATCCCAACACTGTACCTGGTCCCTTTGGTCAGTCAGTAACCAATTCACAAAAAAATAATTTTAAAAAATGGTGCAGCTTTTTTAAATTTTAGTCTGATTTATCTGTCCATATCAATTATTATTCAACTGCCATTTTAATTGTAACTCTTTTAAACAATTCAACTAATTCATCTCAGCTTGACAGTAAAAAAATGAGCATAATAGTAAAAAAATGAGCATAATGTCACTTTCACTTTACAGAATAATTGTGTTAATTGGAGAATTGTCATAGATATATATCAATTCAAGTAAAGAAAATAGATAAATGTATACTTTGTCATTATCGAGTCTAGTTTCTAATATCTTGTTTAGCTTCTTTGACAAAGGATTTGATGCAGGAAGATTTCCTGATGTGAGATTTGACGTGGTGTCTGCCATGTTTGTTATTGTTATTTAAATTCCGTCTATAGACGTACCTTTTCTGGATTTGCGTATACTTCGGACTAAAGGTACTTCGGACCAGATACCATGAAATATATGTGTGAAACTCAGAATGTAAAGTGAAAAAAGAAAAAGAAAATGTTCAACTTTTGTTGCATACAACTCTTAAGGCATACAGTTGTTTTTTTTTTTTGTTTTTTTTTAATAAAATCTAATTTTAAGCAATAGGAATTTTATGAATGATAGTAGATCTATAGGTATATAGCCACGGATTTACATTACAAAAACTTTTTTATGACCAGATTTTTTTTAAAGTTTATTTTCATTGAAGCATAGGGACTAAGTCGCAAACATTGCTAAGATACGCAGAATGAACTTTTTGTGGAAGACAGTATACAGATATAATTATTAAAGAACTCGACTTTATTTTTATGCTTTTTAAGCCGTTGAAAAAACAACAACAAGAAAGTAAAACTTATACATTGTTTCTTCAAAAATTGAAATCTTACATTAAATTTTGTGATTTAATATCCTAATTTTTTGACAACACCAATATTTGATTTGATTGTCAATGTTATGATTTATAGTGAAATCTAGTTTTTGTAGGTTACGGTTAACCCATTACTAGATATACACGCCTTTTAACGCCTTTTTCACCCCCTTTTATTGTTGTCTCAAATGATGCCTTAATTATTTAGGCCCCCAACACTTGTTTTTGTTTGAGAAATGTTGTTTAAAAAAGTGACCACTTTTTCGGCGCGGCCCCCAACCAAAAAATACATCAGGGGGTTGCCAGAAGGGGGGGGGGTGACCCCTTCTGTTGTTTGGGGGGTTTGAAGGGGGAGGCAGTCCCCCTCATCGCCAAGAAAATTTTGGACTTGTGAGAGGCTAAAAATGACCCCAGATCGATCACAAGGTAACGTGTAACCAACGCTGAAAAGCATTCGACTCTATCTCAATCCATTGAGAAGTTGCAGCACTTTGAAATCAATGTTGATGGAAAAAATCAACGCAAAATAGATATTTTTGGCAATTTTGAGATGTCCCCTCGTAGCCATGGTAACAGAAAATGTTGTTACAAAGGCAATGGTCCAGTCAACATTTTTGCCAAGTTTGATTAGTATTGAAGCAGTTTTTATAGTTTTATAGCAATTTGAACTTGTAACGGGAGACTTTTCAATGAAAACAGCCATTTATCACAAAATGCTCATGAAGGTATGGGTTAAGATGACCTTTCTACATGATATATAATGCCCGACTATTTGTTAGAAAAATATGACTGTGTACTGTACATATACGAATTTAGACCATCATATCTACATATCTATGAAAACACACAGACGAGGCAGACCAATAGATACTTGAAGTAGCTCCCTATAATTATCATATTTAGTATTCTTGAACTATTTTGCAGGGGTAAAATGCAACAAACATGAGTTCGAAACAGAAGCTATAAATTTTGTAAAACTTTTCCTACTTCTTTATGCAGACGACACGTACTGTTTTCATGGAAGAAACTGCAGCAGACTTGCAAAACCTTTTAAATATCTACGCTGATTACTGTGATGCTTTGAGACTTAAATTAAATTCTTCTAAAACAAAAGTACTTGTATTTTCAAGAGGTAGACAACGTGAATATACTTTTACATTCAAAAACAAAACGTAGCGGGCGGTTATTAGCGTGTTTTCGCTCCTTGTCCCCGCCGTTTTATTTCTTAAATCTCGCTCCGCGCCCACGCGGGGCGAAGTTTTATTTCTTAAACTTCACCCACGATCTCGCTAATTAGCGTGTTTTCACTCAGCGCCCCCGCCATTTTAACTTGTTAATTTTCGACTCTTCGCTTGGCGGGGTCGCGGGGCGAAAACGCGAATGGTACAAATCAGCCACCATACCACACTTATATTTTTTCTATTATATTTGTGTATTAGACATCAGGTGCTTGTTACATGTCAATGATTATATTTATTTTGAAACATTTAACATTTTGATGCCTGTGTTTGATACTCAAGATACTGAACTACGGTTCTCCCCAGAGACTCAGAAATTCCTTTTGATGTTCGCGAATAACGTGCAGAATTGTAATTTATGTCAATGTCATGACGATATTTGAGTGATAGGCTAAAAGCCAGATACTATATATGAGACTATTTGAGGCTTTAATACATTATATCTTATAGTTTGACGATTCATATATGAATTTAACTTGATTGTCTGCTTTTATTTTCATGTACATTGTATAAATAAATATACAGTAAAATGTATCAAAGAGGAAATCACCTCGTAAAAAACTGATAATCAATATTATGTTTCTGTAAAATATCGGTCTTCTGGATTTGTCACACCCAGTAGGACCATTTAGTTTGTAGCTACCCGGGATACTTCTATCAATTAAACGTCACTTTAAATCATCTGTAACATTTGCAAAAAGTTCTACATGTACATTCTTTAAAATCTGAAACTACTTATGGCAGACTTAATTGTACGGAATCGGAAACGACGCATACATCCCCGTAAAAAGTAAATGGAAAAAGTATACTGTATCTCTTTGATAGCGAAATACGGGTAGTTTGAAGCGTGTTAGTATTAAAAAATAATGCAAGGAATCACGTACACAAATAATTGATGTGTTTGGAAAAAAAGAAAACAATATAAAACGTGTTGTATGACCAGGAATCATTTTCACAAATTGATCTTTTACATGAATTTTGTACCAACACAACTAATCTGAGACAGTAATTGAGTTTCTCCTGATTCCGAAATTCTGATTACCCCGTTAATGGAAGAAGCAACAGTGGTCTCGATAGCGGGGTCCTACCGTATATTTTGGTCGTATTGTAAATTATGTGTAGTAAATACTATCTGGGTAGTTTTAAGAAACTTTCTAAGTCTCTTGAACAACATTATCTTAAAGTAAATATAAAATGCAATACAAATGTGTATAAACATGTAATAAATTTAAATCTACTATCGTATGCAAGGATTATATTAATGACAACGCAAATATTTCTTCATAAATCTATCTTTTTTTAAGCCCGTGTTAATATTAAACAAAATGGCTGAACGCAGGAGTAAAAACACAGAGCAGGAAGAAGTTCCTGGGCGCCTTATGAAAGAAAAATGTCAGCCATGTTTAAATAAAGATAGACGGACTGTCGCTGACAAATTTTGTACAACGTGTAAGGAATTTCAGTGCACAGAGTGTTCAATTGCTCACAACACGTATGCATTTATGAAAAATCATGAACTGGTAAACGCCAACGACGTGAAAGCTAAACAAACCATATTTGATATGAAGGGATTAGATCAATGTGATCAACATCATGAAACTTTGAAGTTTTTGTGCGAAGATGAAAACAAGCTTTGTTGCAGCACTTGTGCGATTGTTGACCATCGTAAATGTCACAGCGTAGTTGAAGTGGAAAAGATTGCCAAAAAGTTACCATCGACTGGTTCCAGTTTACAGAAGACATTGCAGGAAATAAAGGAGAACGCTGAGTTCGTTGTTAACAAAGTTATCTCTTTTAAAGATCAGTTAAAACAAGATGCTGAAAAAATATCCATGACGATAAGGCGAATGCGGGATGAAGTTGTTGATTTGTTTAATGCTTTGGAAGTTTCAGTTATGAAGAAAGTTAAATTATTTAAGGCAGACAAACTTGCTGAACTCGATAGGAAACAATCAAAGAATGAGGCTTACATAGCTATTGCTACACAGAGTCTGGAATCCATTAATAAAGCACATGCAAACGGAACATTAACTCAGCAATTTATTGTAGAAAAGAAAATGGAGAAACATGTAAATACACTATACAACAAGGTACATGAAGAATGCCAGAACATAAAGATTGTGGTTATATCCTTTGCTTTTGATGAATCATTGAAACTACCACCACTGCCGATTTCCGACTATGTTCCGGGACGACTGATTTTGAAGTCACAGCTGTCAGACTCTAGAAGTGACGTTAGTCAACAAAATAATAAAATTAACACGGATGTTTCTAAATGTTGAATTCTGCTCATGCCAGTGATAGGGACAGTTGAGAGTTACGTCGCACCAACACAGTAGAGGTCATATTGCAACTTTTCAGCTGTGCTGGTGGAGAAAGAGCTAAGGTGTTCGCGTAAATGGTAGTACCGTGCATGAATATTAATCAATCAGTGACTGCAACACTTTTAATTTTGCCGTTTTGGACGTTCTTAAGAGACTCCTTTCATCTACTGTATTAGATTAAACTGAATAAAGTAATATAAACATGTGTATCATAAAAATATAGCGTTCGTACATGTTCATATTTATGTTTTTATTATTATTTTTCAGTGCATTCTAAAAGTAACCATGCAATAATCTGGTTGGTTATAAATAAGGTTCCAGTATTATGGATTTTTTGTACAAATTAAATTTCTTAAAAGGCAGGTCATCTCCAGTGTTATTTATAGTTTTGCTACATATAAATGTATTTCACTATTCAATTATAATCCTGCCCCAACCCCTTCCTCCCAAAGGAATATTGGGGAATTGGGGTGTTTCTAATTAAAGAAATACACTTCATATATAAAAGGCCGGTGTAAAGCTATAACTGAATAATTAAATAAACAAGAGGGCCAAAATGATCCTAGTTCGCTCACCTGAAATTACTCATATAAATATTCTAAAATTGATTTTGAATTTACACATGCCATTATCTATCAAACTACCATTATTTCCTCAAGGAGTTTACACTCTTTGTATACAATACATTGAATGTTTGCATGATTGTGTTGTTAAAAGTTTGAAAATGGAATAGAGCGATAGATATATGATCCGCGTCACGACAAAACCAACATAGTGCGTTTGCAACCAGCTTGGATCCAGACCAGCCTGCGCGTCCGCGCAGTCTGATCAGGATCCATGCTGTTCGCTATCAGTTTCTCTATTTGTAATAGAGTTTGTAAGCGAACAGCATGGATCCTGATCAGACTGCGCGGACGCGCAGGCTGGTCTGGATCCATGCTGGTCGCAAACGCATTATGTTGGTTTTGTCGTGACACGGCTCATATATTATGTGAAGACAAATTGAACATTTTGCAAAATACCTGATGATCCCAAATTGGATCACAATTGCCCTTAATTTTATTCTGCATGTTTTCAGATAATTGATTTAAAAAGTATGGTCATAAACATTAAAATACTATACAGATAGATGCAAACCAGTATACGAGGGATTCAGAAATACCCAGAATTAATTTAGCCGCAAATACATTTTTTTTTATTTGAACTTCATATTACAAAAACTACACTAATGCGTAATATACAACTCAAAATTTGCTAAGGATCACCTTTTTGGCATATTTCAGTCCTATTATCATCATGTATTAAAATCATATTTCCGCTAACGATACACTTGTACAGGGACCTCATAATCGTGTACTTAAGTTATCGATTTGTCAAGTACACCTTGCACGATATTAAGCACGTGGAAAAGCATACTCATGGAAATTTGGTGTTTTATGGCCATGTGCTTTCACTTAAACGTGTACAAGCAGCAAGACTTCTCTCATTTTATTGTCAAACTGTGTTCGAAATTAACAAACTATGGCAAATCGACAGGTTAGACTTCGTCTTAGTGAAGATGAGATGAACAGGGGTATTGGAATGTTGGAGGCTGGCCGTTCACAAATGCACGTTGTCCATGTCCTTGGGGTATCCCAGAGCGTTGTCTCCAGGATGAGAAACCGATTCCGAATGACTGGAAATGTCTTTCAGGGCCACGCCGGAGGTCGGGAACGTTCAACGACTCAAGCCCAGGACCGATTTATTGTCCTTCAGGCCAGGCGCAAACGGTTCTCGAACGCTAGCTACGACCTTACGTAACGACTTCCTGAATGCATCTGGTGTGCGTATAAGCACACAAACTGTTAGAATGCTGGGTTGAGGTCACGGAGGCCAGCAAATTGCATTCCTTTGACACAACGCCATATTCAAGAGCGTTTGCAATGGGCGCAGACTCATGTCACATGGCCAGTTAATAATTGGACCCCGGTCCTCTTCACTGATGAGTCAAGGTTTTTCAAATATATAAACTTTGGAACGAAAACTGTTGAATCTTGATTTCACATTTATCCTACGTTCAAATGACGCGAAATTTACGGTGTCGTTTCCCATAGTTTCAGAATTTATGAATAGGTTCCTATTAGTAATATACTTTTGGTGTACTTTTAAAATTTCAACGTACGTGTCGTTCTATGAGCTGCGCTGCTGTGACATTACCGTGGTTATTTAATGCGTACTTAAATAAAACAAGACGTCATTAAATAAATATTATTTTACGAACATATTGGTGAAACATTGAACTTAACACATAAATTTAATGAAGACAACATGAAAAAAATATAAACAAATTTCGGGCAATACAACGGAAGCGTCCTGGTGCCAATTTAACATGTTCTATAAAAGAGATAACCCCTACGTAGGACTTTGTAACTTCTACGTAGGACTTTATAACTCCTACGTAGGAGATAAAAAAGCCTAATTAGGAGTTTATAACTCCTACGTAGGACTTTGTAAGTCCTACGTTGGACTTTATTAGTCCTACGTAGGACTTTATAACTCCTACGTAGGACTTTATAACTCCTACGTAGGGCTTTAAGTCCTACGTAGGAGTTACAAACTCCTAATTAGGCTTTTTTATCTCCTACGTAGGACTTATAAACTCCTACGTAGGAGTTATAAAAAACTATGTAGGACTTTATAAGTCCTACGTAGGAGTTACAAACTCTTAATTAGGCTTTTTAATATCCTAAGTAGGAGTTATAAAGTCCTACGTAGGACTTATAAACTCCTACGTAGGAGTTATAAAAACCTACATAGGACTTTATAAGTCCTACATAGGAGTTCCAAACTCCTTTAAATTAATTTACACTAGACATTTGTTAAGAATGACCTTTTTGTATAATAGTTTTGTTTCTGGTTAGGTTTCTGTCTTATTTACATTGTAATGTTCATACATATAACATTTTTCTATATTATGTAGTAGTGGAGGAAGACTTCAAGGCCCTCTGTGCATTGTTTCTGGCTCAATGAACCACACACTATTACATTAAAACTGGCAATGATTTAAAATAGAGAAAATAACATCTAGTTTTAGCTGTTTTGTAAATGAAATTTTAAATGAATAAATCTTTTCCTTCACAGAAAGATAGAATCACAACTGGCTTTATAAACTACATATAATGTAAAATTAAAGGCACATTATGTACCAGAAACGAATAAATATTTCGCAGTATCGGTTTTATAACGTTTAAATAATGGTTTTTGAACATGTTAGAGGCTTATCACCTACGATTGTAGCCCTGAATATGAATTTATTTGTCATTAAAGTGGCAAAAGGTAAACTAAGTAGTATTTTGACTTCCATACAAAATACTATATTATTACAATCATACTAATTGCCAAAAAGCAACGGAAACAAAACATGGCTCAGGTAATTGGCCGATGAGTAGCAATTGAAAAATATATCAGGACAAGAAAAATAAATCATTTGAGAAACATTAAGCATTTATGGGGCATAATGAACCTTTAAACAAACCAAGTTATGTTAAATTTTTAATACAAGCTCAAATTATTCTTACTTTCTTACACTGAATAAGGACATTAATTTCAGAATATTTCTATATAATAATGGTGGGGTGAAAACAAAAGGCAACAAGAATTAATCAAAGAGACATGTATATATTACAACAGACAGTTACAAGCAGGTCTTTCCTCAGTTACACAATCTTTCTTTAAATAAGAACAATTTTCAATCTACATATCATTAGCACTTATAGCAGAAAATAGTCATTTAACGAAGTAACATCATATAAAATGTTATAATTATGTCTCATGACATTGGGTGGCGTTATTTTAAGTGTAAGCATGTTTCAATCAATCATCATGGGAGTTTGTGGTAAAAGAAAGTAAACAACACAGTAAATAACTAACTGGTTTAAAGCACTGCAGTTTTTGTCAAAATACACAGTAATCAAATAAAAACGTTGCAAAGAGGTATATACCCTGTGGTCTTTTGGACCATAATATATGCATTACAGTCTGCATTTAACAACAAAATCTTAACAAAAGCAGTGAATTTAATAAACTATAATTTAAAAACCACTGCTTAACACTTTTACACAGATCATTTTTCTTCTCAATATATTCATACCTTCTTAAAATGCATATTTTTTATATTTGTATTTTTTTCTTCAAAATGTTCTGGTAACTTTTTTTTGAAAATTATGTCAAGGAGTTTACTACAAAAAGTTAAACTTATGCTAAATTATATTCTATTTCAAATAATTTATAAACAGGTATCAAACAACAAAGCAAAAACCATGGGTAACAAATGCGGTAATATCTAAATTAATTGGTGGTTTTTTTAGTTGCAGCAGTTAGCCATTCTGAATAGATCACCACTGCATTGTTTCTGGGCAGGCTGTCAAGCAGTTTACCAGTACAAGCAGCTTCACTTTCGCAAGGAATTGAAATACTTCTGTATATGCCAGAGCAGAGGTACAGTGAAAATAAACGTAGAAATGATTTGAGCAGTGTCACGACAAAACCAACATAGTGCGTTTGCGACCAGCATGGATCCAGACCAGCCTGCGCATCAGCGCAGTCTGATCAGGATCCATGCTGTTCGCTATCAGTTTCTCTATTTGTAATAGGGTTGGTGAGCGAACAGCATGGATCCTGATCAGACTGCGCGGATGCGCAGGCTGGTCTGGATCCATGCTGGTCGCAAACCCATTATGTTGGTTTTGTCATGACACGGCTCATTTCATGATTGATCACAACAAAAGTGACCTGTACCCTTTGGGAATCAAACCTGGGTCCCCTGATGCACAGTCCAACGCTCTACCAATTGAGCTAACTAGAAGATGAGATAATACCTAGAAATTATTTTATTATGTTTTATAAATTTTCTGAAGTGTACCATGTCATTTTCAAATATTTACCTACACAAAATTAAATTTACATGTTTCTCAGTCTGTTAACATACAAATGCACAAATAACAAGAATAAATCAAAAAGAAAAATTACCAAAATAAAATAAAATTTATTTCTGAATTCAGAGAAATCTTCCAGAACTTCTGTGAATTCAAGGACTAAATTAAAACAAAGATCATTTACAATGTTTACAAAATTAGATTATTTTTTCTTTTTGGGGGATTTGGTATTAATAAATTTTTTTTTGTCTCATCCAAATTTAAATGAAAGAAAAAAGGGGGCCATCTTTAAAATAGCGCGTCTTTGACAAAACCAACATAAGGGGGTTTGCCGAGCATGGGATAAAAGACCAGCCTCGCATCGGGTCCCATTTTGTAAGCAAACAGCTTTGGTTTCCTAAATCAGACTGCGCGGATGTGCAGGCTGGTCTGGATCCATGCTGGTCGCAAACCCATTATGTTGGTTTTGTCATGACATGGCTCAAATGAGGAAGAAATGATGCAAAATATCTTGAAACATTCACTACCATTTATCTAAATCTAACTGCACGCACACACACTTCATGTCCACCCATTCTCACAAGCTGATTATTCCTTGTTCTTAAGCATGACTTAGTTTCCCATAAAATACCAAGGACATTGAATTGCAAAAAAAAAATTACATACATAGTTACAGGAAAAAAAAACAAACTTGTAAGTCAACTATAATCTACTTCAAAAAGAGCTACTTTTATCGAACCTTTTTTTTAAACTTTAAGCTTTAAACTACCAGCTTTCGCCTTCATTCAACAACCACATATAATAAATAATTCAACTCGGCCAAGTAATTTACTAAAAGACCGATTCTTTTGCAAAGCAGATCAACTGGCATTCAATAATTTTCTAATACGAAAACAAATTATTGTACACTGGTAAATACATAATTAAATAGTAAAACATCGTATGTGAAGATACATTACACGTATTTTTTTATTTGAAAACAGTAAAAATTATAACAGAGTACAATATTTATAAGTAATTTGACCCTTAACCTGCTGAATTTGACTAATGATTTGCAGGACTCTGAATATTTAACAATCCATTCTACATTATAAGAGATTTTAATATTGAAAAACAAAATTACACTACTTCTTGCACAGTTAAAGAGTATGGACAGACTATATAGATGTGCAACCTGGCATGACTCTGTACTGTGGGCTATGATGACCACTATCAGTTTTACGGACTGTGATCATCACTATCAGTTTCATGGGCTGTGATCACTGTGAATATTACTGTAAATTTCATGGACTGTGATTATCACTATCAGTTTCATGGGCTGTAATTACTGTGATTATCACTATCAGTTTCATGGACCATGATTATCACTGACAGTTTCATGGGCTGTGACTGTCACTATCAGTTTCATGGGCTGTAATTACTGTGATTATCACTATCAGTTTCATGGACCATGATTATCACTGACAGTTTCATGGGCTGTGACTGTCACTTTCAGTTTCATGGGCTGTAATTACTGTGATTATCACTATGAGTTCATGGGCTGTGATTATCACTATCAGTTTTATGGGCCATGATTATCACTATCAGTTTCATGGACTGCAATTACTGTGATTATCACTATGAGTTCATGGGCTGTGATTATCACTATCAGTTTCATGGACTGCAATGACTGTGATTATCACTATGAGTTCATGGGCTGTGATTATCACTATCAGTTTCATGGGCTGTAATTACTGTGATTATCACTATCAGTTCATGGGCTGTGATTATCACTATCAGTTTCATGGACTGCAATTACTGTGATTATCACTATGAGTTCATGGGCTGTGATTACCGCTATCAGTTTCATGGGCTGTGATTATCACTATGAGTTCATGGGCTGTGATTATCACTATCAGTTTCAGCAGATTAAGAATTAACATTGAACTGTACAATATAACACTGGAGTATACTTAGCTGAAGATACATGGCAGTTGCCAGACACATCCTGTATTGTACACAACAATATTAAATATTTGTTCATTCTATATCCAAATTTTTTTTAGAAAAAAAAAAAATGTGTGTCTTACTTAAATATTCTAATAAGAAACATCAGTTTTGTTTTTCAAGACAATTTTAATGTGTCATTTAGCAGTTGCAAAAACCTTTTTTTCTTGACAGTAAATGGTTAAGGTCATTTGCACTAACCTGTCCTCGAAAGAAAATATTGGATACTTCTGTGTCCAATACAGGAAATTCTTCGGACAGTAAAGTGGTACAATTCAAAAGAAGCAACTAATGTAAGTTACGAGTATAAAATTGGTATACAACAATATTATCTATCATATTTCATAACAACTTTCATTTTGTAATGTCTGCATGGGTGACAGTTTGACATTTTAGAAAAATCGTGAAAATGTTTCAGTGAACAGTTTTATGTGGAAAGTAAACAGGTTTCTGAAACAATCCCTAGACTTTCACCCTTTTACCTATTTACAAAATATAAATGTTTATATTTTATTACCAAAGTTACTCATAAAACAGCAATTTCTGTACAAATATGTGATCTATGTAATAAGGATAACTTTCTGGTAAAAAGACCCCGACTCTTTACTATCTAACTATGCTGTTATTACACATATTTGAACAAAAACAGCTAACTTCTATCATAAATTATATATATTTCATATATTATATTATGTTATCACACATAACTTGATCCAAAAAATTACAGTTAAAAGAAAAGGATAATGGAGACTTTTAACTGAGTAATCCTGTGAGTAAAATATTTCTTTTTCTGTAATGTAAGTATTTTTTATATTTATATAAATGGTGTAAACACTGCAACAAACATACTGTATGTTCTAGATGAAAGTGGCTTGACAATGAATGTTAGCATAGCCTGTACGGATAATATAACATATCTGACAAAAATCTCTTCATACAGACCTAAGCATACAATTCTAACAAATGTCTTCATACATTTTGACGCTTGTTCTTCCAAAATGGCTTTATGTGTTCAATGACTGAAATGTTGCCTTTTTTTTTATATCAATGAAAAATAAAAAATGTGACAGCCTAAAATAATGCAGGGAACCACAGTTGCAAAATTCGAATTTCAAGAAGTCTTAAATAAATATCCAGTATATAAATATCAGCATTTTGACTGGCTTATTTTAAACTTTACACTTAAAATTATCCAATGAAAAAGCAGATTTCCGTGACTGGTTCCTGCTTTATTGTATAACTTTCATTCCTTGAATTTCGGCAGTTGATTGGTTAAAGTTAAGTGCATAAGTGAAACTGAACCAATAACACGCTACCTCTATGACCTTGACCTCTGATCCTCTAGTTTTGCGAAAAAACTTAAAAATGTTTATCACACACCTGTGCCGATTTTGTGACTCTGTAAAAATGGTATTGCACGGCCGTGCATATATTTTGACGTGACGTCATTAGCGTTATACAAACATAGTGTAAAGACGCGCTAACATTTAGCGTTATTCTATAGGCATGACAATGAAAAAATACTCTTATATTTACTTTAAATGGTCTTTATTTTGGGTTATGTGATAAATAGAATATTAAATTCGTGTAAGTTCATTACTGAATTTATTGAACTTGTTAAATAAAATAATATAATGCTCCCCAGAGGCTCGCATAATATAACTTTATTCAACTTGTGCAATAAATTCAGTATTGAACTTACACTCATTCAATATCCTCTATTTATTTTCAGTTGTTTAATATATTGAATATGTTTACTTTATTCTGTTGAAAATGCTTATGTGAATGTGACCTTAAAATGATCAATATCCATTTACACAGACGGCCTTTTGATACACTATAAATAATAACAATAATGTAAATAAGGTAGATTTTTTTCAATAATAATGCTCTGGTGAAAATCTGAGTACACTATCTGATGCCAATCGTGTTTAAATTATTTATCAACTTTAAAATGAACATTTCATATGATGATACCATTAAAACTAAGAGCCAATGCATCTGTAAAGATTTCATCTTGAAATTACATCTACAAACAGTAATAAATTCAATCCAAGTGGTGCAAAGCAAATGTCTAGTAATTCCCCTTAAGACTTATCAAAAATGTATGTTCTATATTATTTAAAGTACTTCATAACCTTAACAGTACGCATTAGAAAAAAAAGATTTTCAGCAAGTGTGCAGACAAAAATATCGAAAACTGTCAACACGAAATGAATCATCATCGAAACAGGTGTTTATTTGTTGTTTTTTAAATAGACCTTTATAGAGCCATTACGGAATACCAATGGCAGAAAAAAGACCCAGCTCTTCTGGGGACACACTATTTAAAGTAAGAGGTCAAAAATTTCTGTGAACATCATGTGACATTTAAAAATGCATCAATGAGCTAGTTGCCATGGCAACGATGATGAACGATGACTATGAGAGATGAGAAATCACAAGAATGGAGCGTCTAGTGGAGGCCTTATTAATTCCTAGCATACTGTTCTGTCCATTCCTTAGCTGAAAAATATAACAATAAATAAAATATAATGGAAGCTGACCTAGAATTTTAAAATACATTATGATAATTATATCATCATAAATATGTAGCTTTAGTAAACATGTGCATGTATATCTTATTACTGAACACTGTCGATTAAAACTAAAACTGCCACTGTCATGGCGTGAATACCCCCGCATACCACTTTGTCAGAATCAACACTGGCCATTTAGAACTCAAGGACAACCACCCAGCCAAATCTGAGGTTACTAATCCAGTGCATTGCTAAGATACGTATTCTCCATGCTTCAAATGTGAAAATTTTAAAATCAAGTTTTTTTAGTCAAGGCCCCTGTGACCTTGACCTTTGACCCAGTGACCTCAAAATCTATAAGGGTCATGTACTAATCATGACTAACCTCCATGCCAAATATGAAGACTGTGGGCCAAAGGAATCTCAAGTTATTGGGCAGACAAGCTTTTTAAAGTCAAGGCCCCTGTGACCTTCAGGGTTCTCGGGGATGCTTATTTCGGCGTCCCGGTACGCATGTTTATTGCAGCTGGACGCAAATATTTCAGAGCAAGGATTCCACGTACGCTTAATTTTGCCCGGGGACGCATAAACATTCCCGATTGTTTACAACCACAAAATTTAATACACAAATGCGTCAGCGCGTGTCAGTCTATAAGGTAGGCGGTCCTATGCACATCGACCCGTGAAGCAATTAGCAAATCAGCGATAACGCTTCCGATCATTATCACGCAATAGTGATCAGACTAACGTATACACGCGCTGTACAGTACATGTAATTACCAGATATATCACGAGGTGATAATTTTATATCTGATTGGAAATTAGCAAATTTTACCGACAAAAGGATAAAATTATCGACTATTTACGCCGCAAGTTTAAAGACTGTTTTCTCAAATTACAATATTTTCGGCATTTTCTAGGCACAATTTTGCTTTAGTTTCATTCTTGCAAAAACTTTCTATAAGAGTATTAAGAATTTAAGATATTGTGCCGAAATGCCAGGTACACATACGCTTTTCTCTATCCGAAAATTGATCCCGAACATCGGCGATTTCACGTTCGCCAGAAACCCTAAAATTTCGCAAAAATTCTCGGTTTCCAAGCCAAACATGCGAATGAATTGTTTCTTTATTATTGAATCAACATTAAATCTTTAAATGTCGATCTTTAATTTGCCCCCTTTTGAAGATATTTGCTAAAATAATCGTCGATCGGATGAATCTCTTACACACTGTGTGAATCTGTACACGATTTTCCTATTCATTCCGCTAAACGCTGCCTATATACATTTACGTTTTTTTTTTAACAAATACAAACTTTTTGTCTTAAGAGTGGACTTATTTAACCAGAGAAAAATTTGATTTGGTATAAAAGTGAAAAAAAAGAAGATTTCCATGGGTTGATGCATTATAATGAAATAATTTCATAATAAATATTAACAACAAAACAATAATTATACTATGTAGTTCAGAGTTTCTTTTGAATAACTATTTACTTTGGAAGTCTCTTGAACATTCAAAATATCAGCAATGCTATTGTGAACATTGAATGACTAATCTGTAAACATATTAATTGCGACGCGCTTTTGGACTCCCAACTTTTTCAGGGTTGGGAGTCCATGGACTCCATGTTTTAAAGTCCTAGTGAGAACCCTGACCTTGACCTTTGGCCCCAAAATCAACAGGGGTCATCTACTAATCATGACTAACCTCCATGCCAAATATGAAGACTATGGGCCAGAAGAATCTCAAGTTATTCGGGGAAAAGGAAAAACCGACGGACGAACGGGGAGACGTCCGGACGGCCAAGCTGATTCCAGTATACCCCCCCTTACAACTTTGTTGTGCGGGGGTATAAAAAGTAAGGCAATAATATAACTAGCTAAACTGCAGTAAATTTAGCAAACATATCACTTTGAAAAAAATTTAGATCATATTTATTTTAATTATTATTTTTTCTAAACAAGAAACACAGAAAGCCTGACCTTTAGTGAGATTTTAATTTTTGGGCTAAATTTTAATTCAAACCGTCACTGTCAGGGTTATAATTATAGCGACTTTTCAGCTTCACTGTAAGAGGAAAACCTCAGGTGCCCCTCTGTGCATAAATGAATTCAAGGAAGAGCTGGCAAGATAATACAAGCATTGACCGTCTGTAAGCTAGCGACACAGCTACCTGTCATGAACGAATACAAAGTCCCTGGCAGAATTTATATGCTCCTAAGTATGACCCAGGGTTCTCGGGGACGCTTATTTCGGCGTCCCGGTACGCATGTTTATTACAGCTGGACGCAATTATTTCAGAGCAAGGATTCCACGTACGCTTAATTTTGCCTGGGGACGCATAAAATTACAGATTGTTTACAACCACAAATACACAAATACGTCAGCGCGTGTCAGTCTATAGTTAGGCGGTCCTATGCACATCGACCCGTGAAGCGATTAGCCAATCAGCGATAACGCTTCCGGTCATTATCTCGCAATAGTGATCAGACTAATGTATACACGCGCTGTACATGTAAATTACCAGATATAACACAAGGTGATAATTTTATATGTTTGATCAACAGTTAATTGGAAATTAGCAAATTTTACCGACAAAAGGATAAATTTGTCGACTATTTACGCCGCAAGTTTAAAGACTGTTTTCTCAAATTATAAATGAGTGTAATTTTGAATGATTGTCGAATATTTTCGGCATTTTCTAGGCACAATTTTGCTTTAGTTTCATTCTTGCAAAAACGTTCTACAATAGTATTAAGAATTTAAGAGATTGTGCCGAAATGCCAAGACAACAAACAAAAATACACATATGCTTTTCTTTGATCCGAAAATTGATGCCGAACATCGGCGATTTCACGTTCGCCAGAAACCCTAAAATTTCGCAAAAATTCTCAGTTTCCAATCCAAACACGTGAATGAATTGTTCTTTTATTATTTAATCAACATTAAATCTTTAAATATCGATCTTCAATTTGCCCCCTTTTGAAGATATTTGCTAAAATAATTGCCGATTGGATGAATCTCTTACACACTGTGTGAAGCTGTACACGATTTTCCTATTCATGCCGCTAAACGCTGCCTATATACATTTACGTTTTTTTTTTTACAAATATAAACTTTTTGTCTTAAGAGTGGACTTATTTAACCAGAATAAAATTTGATTTGGTATAAATGTGGAAAAAAAAACACAAAAAAAACCACCTTGAATTGTGTTGATGCATTATAATGAAATAATTTCATAATAAATATTAACAACAAAACAATAATTCAGAGGTTTTTTTGAATAACTATAAACTTTGAAAGTCTCTTGAAGATTCAAAATATCAGCAATGCTATTGTGAGCATTGAATGACTAATCTATAAACATATTAATTGCGACACGCTTTTGGACTCCAACTTTTTCAGGGTTGGGAGTCCATGGACTCCATGTTTTAAAGTCCTAGTGAGAACCCTGTGACCATTATTTATTTACACTGTATGTCATTAAAAACCTAGAGTAAATAAACCAGGCAATAATATTTATAAATCAGGTAACCAGATCACTGTGTCTTACTCACCTGTTTGTATTGCTTTAGCTTCGTTGTTTTTCCATTGTTCTGCAACGTCATTAGCTAGGGGATCATCTGGATTAGGTGCACTAAGTAATGCTTGTATAGATAATAATACAGTTCTTATTTGTAAAGCTGGACTCCATTTATCTATAAAATGAAAAGAAACATATCTTTAACATGTAAACTTACTATAGCACAGTAAACTAAACCAGTTTTAACAAGCAAATTCGTTAAAATTTATATCCCAGGGCACTTGACACCTTTTTTGGAACAGGTACCCATACCCTAAGTGAAGGGGAATTTTGCGTCGTTTTAAGGCAAAATTCGAAATTTTATGTTATCATGTATTTAGTGTATTTTTTTATCACATTTACTCATTACAGTATTTCCTACCATGGGTTTCAATAGTTTGTAATTTTCCTACCATTGAAATCAATAGCTAGTATTAGACTAACAAATCAAACAAATTACTTTAAGTTGATTTATTTTAGAATTTGGAGGGGATTATATTTTGAGATAAGATTTTGAGAGGGGAACGGTACCCATATTGGGCTCCAAAAACGACCAAACGAGTGCCCTGTACCCCCCCCCGTCATATGAAATATATCACCTAATTAAAGCCTCAGTGTTTTATTATGATCCAGAACTCACAAAACAAGGCAGTGTCAAGTAGACCAGGAAGGGCATAATATCAACTTAAATATAATTATATCTAATTGTAAGCAACAGATTTATTTGGGAGATATGCAAATTGATAAAAGATATGTAAATGAATTAAAGGGAGTGGAGGCCTAGTGGTTAAGGTGTCTGCCTCTCAACCTAGGGATCATGGGTTCCAGCCCTACTCAGGTCATGACCATGTGTCTTCATACAACACCAGTAAAGGTTGGTTCCAGGAAGCGGACTCAAAAGTGATTAATATGTTGCAAGAACTTGTTTCCCACTCAAGCTTAAAAATATATGTTTAACCTGAATAAAATTAATTAAATATCTTACAAAAAAAGTTCCTGGAATCAACAACATTTAAAATCATTAACATTACAGTTACATTTAGTGTACAGAGTTAAAGACATCCCTAGCTACAAATTAAATATGAACAAACATTTCAACTTGTATGAAAAAAAACAACAAATGGTAACATAACAAGGGGGCCATTGGCCCCAATGCACTCACCTGAGTACTAAATGCAATTGATATATAAAAGTTACCAGGTCTTAAAAATATACAAAACAGGGTTAATGTATTTGTGTAGGTAAAAAGTTGATGTTTTAACTTTTAAGACAATACACCAAGAACTTTAAAGTTATGATCAAGGTGGGAACAGTTTTTACTATAATATAAGCATAAAAGGAAAACCTATGACCCCAGGGCAGGACCAACTTTTGACCCTAGGGCTACAATTTGAACAATCTTAGTAGAGTTCCACTACACAATGCTTCATGCCAAATATCTTACCTCTAGCCTTTGACAGTTCAGAGGAGAAGTTTTTTTTAAGTTTTACTATATAGATATAAGGACCTATGACTCCCCCCCCCCCCCCCCCGGGGAGGGGCCAATTTTAACCCAAAGGGCTATTATTTGAACAAATTTGGTAGAGGACCTTCAGATGATATTATATACCAAATATCTAAGCTCTAAGCCTTGTACCTTCAAACAAGAAGATTTTTTAATTTTTTATTATATACATATAAGGAAAACCTATGACCCCCTGGGGCGGGGCCAATTTTGACCCCAGGGCTATAATTTGAATAACTTTGGTAAAGGACCTATAGGTGATATTACATACAAAATATCTAAGCTCTAAGCCTTGTACCTTCAGAGAAGAAGATTTTTTAAGTTTGCATTTTTTTATTCCTTTTCTAGCCCGTGATCTACTTATGCAACAGACCGGAACCATTTGAACAACTTTGGCAGGGGACCACCCAAGGATCATTCCTGTAAAGTTTGGTTACTGTGCAGTCATTGGTTTTTGTGGAGTTGATATTACATACAAAATATCTAAACTCTAAGCCTTGTACCTTCAGAGAAGAAGATTTTTTAAGTTTGCATTTTTTTATTCCTTTTCTAGCCCGTGATCTACTTATGCAACAGACCGGAACCATTTGAACAACTTTGGCAGGGGACCACCCAAGGATCATTCCTGTAAAGTTTGGTTACTGTGCAGTCATTGGTTTTTGTGGAGTTGTTGTATAAACAAATTGTTGATGACACACGACGACGGACGGTGGGGGATCACAATAGCTCACCATGAGCACGTTGTGCTCAGGTGAGCTAAAAATATCACCTTGGCAAGTTCATTGTAGAAATTCACCAACATTAGGGTCTATTTTTATCTTAAAGATTGCTTACCTTTTAATATATCTAAACATATTCTGCCTAATTTATCAATATTAGGATGGTAGATTTTAGTCATGAATCTCACTTTTGGCGCAGACATTGGATATTCCTCAGGTAGAAATAGTTCTAATTTGAATGTACCATTTTCATACGGTGACTGAAATATAAAAATATATAATTTTTATATTCATATAATACATTTATGGCACAGGTATTGCTCTGTTGTGGGGAGATTACTATTTTTCGAAATTTTGAGTAAGAAATTGATTTACATGTATGCATATTATTCAAAAAGTAATAAATGCTATCTACATAATTATAAAATCAAATTTCCAAAAATGGTTGATATACATTATAATTATTATACTCTAGTTCGACAGTCTTTCTTTTACAAATTAAACTATAAATAAAAAAGGCTTTACCAATTAAATCAAACAAGTTGTAAAACATATTTCTACTTCTTAAATGGAACAAGTGTTAGTGCAAGATTTTAGGATGGTGAGAAAACAAGACTGGAACACTGTCCTGTATCAACCTCATTAAACAAAATAAGTTGTTAACAAAAGCTTCCCCCTGTTATTCAACCAGGAAGTTAACAGACTTTTAGTCATTTTAAGCTCTTAATGTAAGTGACCTCAAAACAAAGGGTGTCATCTGACAAACGCCATCAAATATATTTGAAGTTTGTTACAACTCAATAACTATCAACAACAAAATGTCCACTCATTGATTTTTTGAAATCATTTTTTTTCCAGCAGAAATATTTTACAAATCTGTGATTAGTATAATTCTGACAGCTGTCTGCTATTAGTAAAAAGTAAAAGTAATTGCATTTTATATTCTAAGTTTCATGCTTACGCACGTTCACCGACTTTACAGCTATTACCCCTGGTCATCGGGCTACTGGTATCTATCTATCAATCTCCCTGGGGAGTCTTTTAACTCCGCTTAGTGCAGCCGACACTTTGGCGCAACGGATTTATACCACCCTCGCAGGTACCCATTTACACCTGGGTGAAGTGAAGCAATCGCAGGTAAATTTCTTGCTCAAGGAAATTAGCAGTGCCCCTAGTGGGGTTCGAACCCGGGACCTCTCGATCCCTAAGCGCTCGTCCTACCACTGGACTACTGCTCCTACAACTATAACTACAGCAAACAAAAACTCTACACTTCAACAATCTTAATAACTGGGTCTATTCTTCCTTCTATAGCAGGGGCTTTTTACAACAATCTTCCCACTCAGAAAAATATACTAAATTATCCAGTTTTCCTCTAACCTTCACTTTATACCAAGTTTTTCTTCTTCCCCTTTTGCAAAATTAATGTTTCATTTTCCCCAAACTTTATTGGAAGATTCCCTCCCCCAAATACCTGTGAAAAAGGCTTTGAGTAATAATAATGGCAACCTTAAATACCAACATAGCAGTGTCAGATCACAAGGCCCAATTTATTGAATGTCAGGCTATGGAAGAATTGCCAAGATAGCCAATCTCGTCCCATTATACTAAGTAAACAATAAACTGACCTGTCCTTCCAACAATCCCCTTGATCATTTATGTGGTGAGCCAAGACAGAAATCATTTTTAAATTGGATTTTCTACAGACATATTAGTGATCTAACCCTCATTTCTTTTTATCTATAAGTGTGACCTTGACCTTTCAGCCAGGGACCGATTCTTGCATGCAACATGATGTCATCATTATGTGCGACACATTAATTTTCAAAACCATCATTGTTGATCAGACACGAACATCAGTGCATTTTTTCATTAAAAATTTTCTTTGAAGTCAGTGAGTTACCTTGACCTTTGATCTTCAGACCTAGATGTTGCTTGTCCCAATGAGCTACACATTTATAAAAATATTTTAAAATCCATCCATAAAGCCTTAAAGGACAAAATTATGGACCGGACATTAAGACAGACAGACAGACAGACTGTACAGTACAACTTCCCTTTAAAGCAGGATATCAATTCAATCATTAATAGCTAATTCCTCTTAAAATTACCTCAGCAGGTCCATTGACAATTACATGGAAATATCTAGCATTAGATTCGTCAGGTCTGGCTTGAATCCCAGGTACTGGCTCCTGCATGAGCCGTTGCGTCTCCTGTGAATAAACACGACATGAAATGTTACACAATGCACACCTTATTCATGAAATATTGAATAAATAGGAATATCTGCTGAGTCAATTATTGAATATCAACTTCAGGTACATTCCTGTTAATGATAATCTTTTCACAAAATTGAATAATTGTTCTTTTCCTGAAGGAAGTAGTTCGCCCGCTCGCATCTGTTTGGGTGGCGCAAGAAAAAAATTCATTAAACTCGCCCAGCAGGGCAAGTAAGGTTCTCCCAATCAAAATATTGTTTCTCTAAACTTTTATAAATAAAGTTATTCAGTAAAAGAATCAACCTGCAGGCACTATTCAATCATATTACTGTAAAACTAAAACCGGACATTGACCTTATGACTAAGTTAGTAAACAAGAGCTGTCACAGGAGACAGCAAAGCTCGACTAATAAAATACTGGATGCAGTAAGGAGGACAAAACTATGAAAGAAAAATCAATTATGTATAATTATGTATAAAGTTATAGTAAAAAAATAACATTTGTTAACATAAATTCCAAGATCAAGGGGAATAATTCTAGAAATAGTCATGCTAGAGTTATGGACCTTGCCACACAACATTTGTGTAATGATAAGAAATATATATTTGGAGTTTGAAGTAAATACCTTAAAAAATAAAGAAGTTATTATATTTCTTAAAGAAAATCCAAAGTTCAAAGAGAGATAAATCTGTAAATATTGCTTCAAGAGTTATGAACATTGTCACATAAAATGTAATTGATGATAAGGAATAAGTATTTGAAGTTTGAGGTAGATACCTTTTAAAATAAAAAAGTTAAAATAAAAAATAACATTTTTCTAGTAAATAAATCTAAGTTTATTGGGAGATAATTCTTGCAATAATGGTGCTAGAGTTATGAACCTTGTCACATAAGATGTGGATGATGAAAACGTAAATATATTTGAAGTATGAAGTTGATCCCTTTAGAAATAAATAAGTTACAGTAAAAATAATATTTTGTATGGAAAATTCTAAGTTCAAAGGGAGATAAATCTGTAAATATTGGTGCTAGAGTTATGAACCTTGTCATATAAGATGGGGATGATGATAACGTAAATATATTTGAAGTATGAAGTTGATCCCTTAAGAAATAAAGAAGAAACCGTAAGAAATAATATTTTTTGAGGAAAATTCTAAGTTCAAGGGGAGATAAATCTGAAAATATTGGTGCTGGAGTTATGAACCTTGTCACATAAGATGGGAATGATGATAAGGTACATATATTTGAAGTATGAGGTTGATCCCTTAAGAAATAAAGAAGTATCAGTAAAAAATAGTATTTTTTAAGGAAAATTCTAAGTTCAAGGGGAGATAAATCTGAAAATATTGGTGCTAGAGTTATGAACCTTGTCACATAAGATGTGGTTGATGATAAGGAACATATATTTGAAGTTTGAAGTTCATACCTTAAGAAATGACAAAGTTATAGTGAAAAATATTTTACTGCACCAAAACTTTAATCTAAAATCTGGACGCGGACGCCGACGCCGGGGCGAGTAGGACAGCTCTCCATATACTTCGTATAGTCGAGCTAAAAACTGTACCAAACACGTAAGATGAAACAATTTGACAACAGCAGCATTTGACAATGTTTTATACATACGCGTTCATTAATGTTTTATACTGAGCCATTAGCTGAGTGTGTTAAAATCTGAATGAAATAGGTATTCGAGGATCATATATTAAAAGAATGATAAGTACAATTATAAATAATATGTAACTGTATAGAGCTGATCATACCGATATATAGACCGGTAAATAGTTAATTTGAGTCTTGTGCTTTTGATTTTAACAAATTTTGTCCATCAAAATGCAGGGCAAGTACATTAATTTTAATTTTTATCAATCAAAATATAATATCATTCTTTATTATGGTTCCCATTCAAATTGACATTTGGAACCCCTTGCCGATTAATACCATCAATCCAAATATTTTCAAAGTTTCACCAACATACTTTTCCCCAAAATGGAACTCTTAGCCAATCCCAGTTGTTTAATGAATTAATCATAAAGTAAGTAAACTTTTTACTGATAAAAGAATAAGTACAATTTTTTATAAATCAGATAAAAGAACCTTTATACGCAACTTATTCATAAAATTAAGAATAAATAGAAATAGACGCCAAGTCAATATCAACTTCATGTAGGTTCCCTGTTTCACAATGTCATTTTCCTGAAATGGAATAATTAATCCCAAAATTTAATTTTTAAGTTAACTGATGTTCTCTGATAGGTGGCTTGAAGCCTTCAATTTAGATATCTTATTAGACATGAAATGGCTGTATTTTTAAAGTAAACAATAGCATGTAGTATTGACAAGTGGTTTGTGTGGCCAAAAGTGTGCAGCCACAGATGGGTTTACTAAATATTGTCATAAACATTGACTGTCTTTATATGAACTAAGTAAAAAACTGAGGTATATTGAGTGAAAAATATGAGTTGTTTCCCTTATCTTTGAGTAAAATCAATATCTCTCTAATGCTAAAACAAAGCAAATTTAGCCAATTATTAAACTTCTAGTTTAAGATGATTTAATGTCCAATTTTAAAATTTATTACACCAATAAAAAGCTTGTGATCTTGGCTTTGTCTCAGTATATACACTTAACAAAAGTTCTAACCGATCACTTTTTAAATTTAGATTATTTTATAACGGGTCAATAGATCCTTATAAAATTTTGCAGAGGTGATTTTTGTGTCATTTTCTACCGATCTGTGGAATCAAAAATAATTTAATACGCTTCCATGCACTCACGTGGGAGACAGGGTGCGGTTTACACATTTTGGCACGAAATGTTTGTGCAGAGCGTGGTGAGTATTAAATTTTACATTGCATAAATCCTTGTTAACTTTATAAGTGAAAAAACATAATACATGGCACGAATGACTTATAAGTGAAAAAACATAATACATGGCACGAATGATGATGCAGGATCGTGCCGTAGTAGTTGGAATGTTGAATGCTGGAGCCTCTGACAGGTGAGTGGCTGTTCATAAAAATATTTTTTTTAAAATATCGATAAATTATTATTTAAATTGAAAAATGTTAAAATTTTATTATTCTTAATGTGTTCATTCCCTTTGAAATTAAATACAAGTCAGATCTATTGGTATTATTCTTTTTCATTTATAAGCGAAAACTCAGGGTGATTGGTTAGAACTTTTGTTCAGTGTATTTCAACACATTGACACATAACCCTTTCGCTGCCAGAGGGTTATTGTTTTATTGATCACCTATTTGCCAGAGGGTTTTCTAAGAAATTACTATGTTATTAATTACTATAATTATTATTATCATTTGTTATTAGTATTATAATAATTAAATATGTTTCCAAATATGCTAGTATAACAATAATTATTGTCGATAGTATAATTTTCTTTATATTTATTATTATTTTCATTATTATTATTAATTTATAATTATTATTATGATTATTATAGAAACGGCAAAAGCGGTCCATATGACAAATAGGCCGAAAATAACAGGGACGGCATAAGCCGTCCCTATGGCAGTGAAAGGGTTAAGGTATATAAATTTAGGGTTAATACTACAAGTCAGACCATTTTACATATGATTAATACAGTGAGATACGCAACCGGTTATCTTTACTTGCAATTCTGATAAGAATAGCAGGTCATCTGCTAGTTAAAGGAATAGGAATGGATGGATTGATGTCTGTCTAATATAAATATTCATCATTTAAAAAGAGGAACTATGACAGTTTTCCTATTGACATCAACCCTATAAGAGAGAAATTCGTGTTTTAAGACACTATTTTTTACTTGAGAATAAGTTCATGGGCGCCGCCATTTTGGCGTTCTGTCATTCTCGCGAGACAGACGAGACCGAGATTGTGACGTGTTACACCCACTTCCGGTATAGGTGTACACGCTGGTACAACTGAAATATATCTTGATGAAGAACTTATTAATTTTATTGCGTACATTATATATTATTTATGAAAACATCATATGGAACTGAATTGCTTTAATTAATTAATTGAAGACGCCGCGACATTAATTATCATTTGTCCGATATTCAAGCTTGCTGATGATCCCACCACATGATTTAAGCAATGACTGCTTAATTTTCAAAGATAAACCATAAATTTAATTTGGGTACTATGAGAAACTTCTTCAAATTGACGATAAATCCTTTTATTTTGTACTTAATTTTCGCTAGACAAGCTGTCCAAATAGGGTAAATCGCCGGTCATGTATCTTTTTTTTCAGGTAAAATATTAACTAAATCCAATATGCAGAGATCTGCTGAGGACGCGATTTTCCGCCATTGACGCTAAAAATGAGAATGGCGCAGGAAATCGGCAGCCAGACTAATATCGTATGAAAACAAAACTGTCCGCTAGGTTATTTAGGCACCCAGTCAAAACTGGTACCAACAGCAACAGGTTGCCCATTCCCCTATAATTACGCATATTCTCGGGTTTATCCAGTTCCCTAAAGCTTTTTTTCCACGTTATCTACTTACCAAATTCCTTTCCCCGACAGATACGCATTTCTACTACCGTAAATTTAATCCAATAAAACAAAAAATCATAAATCTACTTAATATTTAAAATGATTATTGGTAACTGAAAAAAAATTTGTTGCTATTTTATGACGTGCTGTAATTTACACTATAATTTGACAGGTGTGGAACCTAATTCCCCCTAAAGTCATTCAGTTCACTGATGAAGCGTAAAAAAATAGATGTCTATTTCGTCATTAGAATATTTGACAAGGGTGATTAACCAATCAGGGCAACATTGTGCATGATCAAAAGGTCTGTCGGCACAGAGGCATACAAGGAGCAATAAAAATCGTCAGTACACAGTGTGACAGGAACATTTGGTGCAAATTAGGAACAATTAAAATGGACAATGCGCAGTATTAGACATAAGTAGTAAGAACCAGCAATTGTGTGAATAAATTATGCAAATTAGATTTTTGAGCAGCCAATAAAAATGTTTTGCCTGCAGTTAATATTAGGCTACGATAACGATGCGCAGCATTATACGTTGACAGACATGTTAACAATTTACTTTTCAAAAGAGTTGCTTATATTTTTGAAATGTGTACATCAATTATAACATATGTTCACACCTTTAAATTTGAAAGTCAGAATCGAACTGCAAAAATTTAATTATATGTACTATTAAGAACACCTTTTAGTAGGGTTTTTATAATGGAAGTCGCTAGCGTACGGGCCCGTACGGCTAGCCAAAAGTTTTAGCCGTACGTGAGCCACGTACGACTAGCAAGGACACACTGTATTGGCTAGCCGTACGGCACTTTTCAAAATTTTATGGAAGTCGAAAATGCATATGTTATTTTATGACTTTAAGCGAGGATTTTAACCAAGATACAGCATTAATTGTCTTCGGATGTTAACTTTTTAGAGATTCATCGCCTTGATCGCTATATATATATCGATCTTTGTCATCGCAAGATGTCGAGAAAAAAATAGCCTTTGGTTGCATTTACACCAATTGAAATAGTTTACAAAATTTTGATCATAATCCTTTTTTGTTTCATTAAGTTTTCGACACCTTTAATATGAAAAAAAAAAAAAACAACAAACATTGAAAATGATTGTTGTTAGGCTCTTGATAATTGCGACAATTACCGACGGTACTGTATAGAAGTTTGTCCATCAAGGAACGTTTGCATGTTCCGTGAAAGGCATTCTAAAATTCTATTGTCAGTCCCTGGATAGGTCTTAATTAAGGCTAATTTATTGATTGACTGTGCTTATATGTTCGATATTTGTCTACTGTTTTGAAAATTATATAATTATTTTTGCATTTCACCGTTTGTTTTTTTTTTCAATGTTCTTTTTATTTATTTATTCCACTCAGATCATTCTTTATTCGATCCATGTGCTAAAAATTAACAAAAATGATTTAATAATTCATCTTTCATACAAATAAAACAACAAATGATAAGCATGAAAATCAACAATTTTATAACGTTCGACTTCCATATAATTTTGAAAAGTGCCGTACAGCTAGACAATACAGTGCGTCCTGGCTAGTCGTACGTGACTCACGTACGGCTAGAACTTTTGGCTAGCCGTACGTTTCTTTATTTTTTATTTTATTTTTTTGATATTGTTACGTATTTTGAACCATAAAAAAATCTCCTCTACACCTCCTGTGAAAATTAAATTGTCTGGTCAATACTTTATTATATTAATATTTCCTTACGATTCAACTAGATTTATCATGAATCTAAAGATGTGGGGAAATGACATCATGCGCACCTGTTTTTATACGGCCAATACACAAACATGGCCGCGCTTACACCTGCTGATTTGTAGAAATCGGTGATTTAGCGATTTAAATTTTGTTATCATTCGTTTAATATTATTATTTGGCGGCAGAAAATTTGCAGATTTATTATTTATAGTATTCTTTTTCTGAAATCAAGTTTTTATTCTAACCTTGTCTTTCCCTTTAAGAAACTGATAATCAGAGTATAGTGATTAGTGAAATGTAATTATGTATTGTAATTTCAGTAAAAGACTGAAAGTGCTCACTTTGAGGCTTTATCATAGTCATATTATAAATTCTGTCAAAGAGCTCGCTTCGTGGATTCGCCTTATTCATGTTATACTGTAAAAGACAATGTAAGGCTCTTTTCGACAGTAACAACTGTCTTAAAGGAAATAAATATTATTATGGTAACAAGACTATGACTTGAATCAAACGATTTGTACGTTCGTTTACTGGTCTCCACCGTTGTCGGTGAACTATTTTGATTGTCATTAAAAACAGTACGTTTGTTCCAAAAGTTACCTTTATAATTCTTCTAGGTAAACCAGCCATGGAATAATAATTACGTTTTCTTTTTGTAATATTTTATTTCCAAATATTCCGGCAATGGCGGAAATTAGTGCAGAGTTGTCGTTCGCGAAATTTCGAATCTACTAAAAAACTAACGACATGTTTTCAAAATCGTTGTAATCATAAAGTTTTAACAACTGAGAGGTAAATATGAAATCAGACACGCGAACGGGAGTGAGACAATTAAGTAAATTTTATAGATCAAGTTTTGAAAGGCCTCGACGTTCTTAGAACTTGTTAGTAGAAAATCGATCATTGCATGGTCTTCCAAATAGAAAAACACCTTGATTATCATTATTCCATGTCATGTCCATGATTACAGTCGTGATTTAAACACGGCCTTTTGATTACATTCTGTGTTTTAAGCACGGACTTTGATTACAGCTTAAGCACGGACTTCAATTACGGTCTGTAATTTAAGCAAGGGCTTTGATTACAGTAAGGTTTAAACGCGATAGAAATGAACAGTTATATTTGACAATTAATGTATTTAACATTGTAATGACACCCATAAATGTCTTCAATGCTGTACACATATTTCAATTATTTTTATTTCATTATAACCATTTAAGAATTTTACAATTAAGGGTGTTCTAATAACAGTAATAGGATCAAATTAGAAATGAGTTTATAGCTTGATTAATGGGCAATTTAAGGATAGCATAAAACACACTTTTTATCATAAATATATTCCGATCTTTGTTGCATTTTTGAGAGTCTTTCATATGCACGACAATTTAGTATTTGTTTTTATATGTGTATTCCCTTGAATAAAATGTTATGATACGGCAAAAGCCATCGCGACCAAAAATGAGTTGGACCAATGTCCACATATGTTTTATATGGCTGACAAAACCCCTCCAAAGAAATTTTAAGGATGTATAAATTATCCAACACATTTATGACACATTGTAAATATCAAATGACTGCATACCATATCATTGCCACTTTTATTGTAGTGTTTTAACAAATGTATATATCTCCTGAGTCATGCGACCTTACGAAACTGTCAAAATTTAACATTTCCTTTAGTGGAAACTTTTCCCTGATCAAGGGCAAAACCCTACATTATGTGAAATGCGAAAATGATTGGTAGCAATCACAAAGTCCGATACCATCTTAAAACAATTAAAGCTCTACGCCTTTACGATAGATTCATGTTGATTTACACGAACCGTAGCTATAGAGTTTAATGTAGCGAAGGCACTATATATACTATTATCATACCACTCTTTGCAGGAATAGTACTTTCTCCGTTAGTTAGAAATAATATACATGTATATGGTGATTAATATAGTACTTGAATTGTGCAGACATTTCTGCTGCTTTCTTAAGGAGAAAATGAATGTTTTTTTTCTAACATTAAGCATCCATGGTTAATAAAGTATGTTATTTTACTTGCAATCGTCCATGATGAGACAACAGTTTATCTTTATATAATACTTCACTCCCCTTGATTATTAATTTCTGACAATGACATTTAACTAAGATTGATTCCTTTAAAGTGAAATTTATATTTATTCTCTTTAGATAACCATACATAGTTTAGTTTGCGTTTTATTTTTTAACTCAATTATATTGCACGACGACGTCATTAAGACGAGTCTCGCGTTACCCGTCTTTTAATATTTTTTTATTACCTGATACCTTATATAAATGTTATTTGTTTTTTTTTACTGTTTTCTGAAATTCTTAAAACGTCAACGTTCATGAACTTTTGACCGGTCAAAAGTTTTGACTGTTGCCCTCGCGTGTTCTGACGTTATAGCTAGAGAATTCCCCCTTGAAGCGTTAACATATTTGGAAAACTATTTTCTTGTTCCTTTTTTCCTTTGCAAGTACTGTTGAAACAGTAATTGATCAGGTAATAAAATAGTTATTTCATGTTATTTGGGAACAGTCGGACAGTTGTCCCTCGATGTTGGGGATAGTGTTTTCAACTGTTGACATCGGCCAACGGCCTTGGGAAACAGTTCAAAACACTATCTCCTCCACCTCGGGCCAACTGTTTGACTTTTCCCAAATAACATATGAAATAACTGTATAATGCTATAATGCATAATATTGATAATGCATTCTAGAAATCATTCCTTTTTAACGAAATATTCAAGTTATGACCCACATAAGTAGAAAGAGCCAGTCTGCCCAGATATGAATTAGATATTTCAAGGAGTGTATGCAGTCGTCTTAAAGGCACAAAAGTTACTGTTAGATAAGCCGAAACAATAACAGCAAAACAATATTAAACAAAGATGAACGAAACTTTTTTTTCACAGTTATTTACAGCAAATTAACGAGTGTATAACTTTCCATAATCCCCATTTTATACTTTCCATTACATTCCATTTGCCGTACTACCATTTAGTGCCGAATGTAAAAACATCCTCTAAGGTATTTCCGCCCACAGTGTTGGCTTCTCTAATAAAGGCTTGATGTAAACTGCTTCTTTAGGAAAAAGATACACCGGTTGTTTCGGTAGTGAACACGATGTCATCTTTTTGGATTTACTATGTTTTCATAAATACAGTGATAAGTATTGCTTGTAAGTGAATATGTCGCTTAATCGTCAATTACATTAATTTATTTTTACTTTATTAAAAAACTTTAAATCCGAAAGTATCCAAGACAAGAAAGGTTTTCCAGACTTTTTAAAAGATATCCGTGTTTTAAGATTCGTTTACTAATCCAAAGAAAGTTAGCATTTTAATAAATTTCTTTTGTTAATGGTATTTAAAACATTTAATATTACAAGTCTTTCACCAACATCAATACATTCAAAGTTCTCTTACTATTATCAACGGCTGGGGTAGCATATCAACTATGTAAAGCTAGGTCATAATCATAGCGACTTTTACAACGTGCTTTAATTTAGACATTCGTTAAACAACCGATCTCATGTAAACTGGCTAGATTTGCAGACTCTGACGGGATTAGAACCAACGAAAATGAGGGGAGAAGACATATAACCACTCTTCCGCAGATGTTAATTAGACTATAAGTACACACACGGGGATTAGATACAACCAATCTAACTAGAGCATTTCGTCACTATTTTAAATAAAATTTTAATTGATATCTTTGAAATACCACTCAATTTAAAAAAAAAATTGAAGTTTCAAATATAATAAAAATGATTGCTCTATTTTAGTTTATATGGGCTTCCATAACAAAGCGATTAAGGTCACTGAATTGCTTATTTTCATTGCTGTTAGTAAAGGGAGCTTTCCAGTTAACTTGTGTAACTCAAGTGCCATTTTGTGCCTGAAATATGTACGAAAAGAAAATGATTCCATTTGACCTTAATATTGTTGGTTTTGAATTTGAAAATAATGAAAATAAATAATTTAGACATGTATTCAATAATCAAAATTCTCACTTCTTATGAAAATTTATCTCACATTCATTCAAAAACTAACAAATACACTTTCGCCTGGTAAAAGTTTCAACCCCAATCTGCGAAGAGTCGTACGGCTACGTGGAGGTGGCAGAAGACACGGAAGTTGGCACGATTGTGAAGGAGATTAAATGTTCACCAAGTATTGCTGGACCTGGGAAGCTCAGCTTTGTCATTAAAGATGGAAACATTCACGGAAAATTTGGAGTGAACACGACCAATGATGTAGGAAAAGTGTACGTCTACCAGTCCATCAGTTTTGAGTCGAGGACAATAAGATTTCAAGTTAGCAAATTTCATTTAAAAGCTCATTATGCACCAGAAATTCTTTCATTTTTATTTCTCAAAGTATCTTTATTTTTGGTATTCTTTTAAAGTTTTCAACAAGTTACTCATTTGCCAATTACCTAAACTGTCTTCTTCTTCAGTTGCTTTATTGTAAATAGTACATTTATATAATGATTTTATATGGAAGTCAAAATAATACTAAGTTTATATTTTGCTACTTTTATGACAAATTATTTTAATTTTAGAGCTTTTTTTTTCAGGTAACACTCACCTAACATGCTCTAAAAGTTTTAAACCATTATCTAAACGTTATATAAAACTCATGTTTAAACTTTCTTTTGAAAAAATAGTTATTAATTTCTGAGGTATAGTTTGCCTTTAAGCTAATCTCCGAGAGTATTTATTTTCAAAAGTGTTATGCTTATTTTTTTCCATGATGCTTGACTGTGAAACAAGTGTTTGCAAGTTGCTACATATAAAAATCGTGCTCTTTTTGGAACTAAGCAGTGTGCTATATTTAAACACAATCGTAACCAAAGTAGGACTCGAACCTATATAATAACCATGATTTGAGATGCAAACAACTTAAATAACCATTAGGTTACCCAAAGTTTTATGTATACGACAAGGAATCCTGGCAAACAATGTACGTACATTATGTATTTCATTTTCGTATCTAAATTTCATAACCAAAGGCCTTTTGATTTTTTATTTCGTTCAAGCTATCAATTGAGGTGACAGAGAATGGTCCAGTTCGATCGACCACCAATTACGTCCTTGATATACAGATTACAGGGATAAATGACTACGCACCGTTATTTCTTTTTTCGCCGTATACCGTATACGTCAATGAAGATAAGCAACCGGGTTCCATTATTTTCAATCCAATACCGTACGACTTCGACAAAGGTGATGACGGCGCAACAACGTCAGTTATACTCGGTAAGATTGGGTTCTTTCCCGCCATTTTTTAAAAAAATAGACAAAAAATAATGGACATAGACATCTTACCATGCCGCTCCTTCTAGAATACGGTCATGTGAAAAAAGACTTGAGATATCCAGAGAAAGAATAACTGCATTGTAGATCTATCATGACAATATATGAATATGTGACTTTTTTTAATAAATAAAAGTTTTTTTAAAGTAGATCTCAGACTAGCAACTCTCATTTCTGCATTCAATATTCTTAACAAGTTTAAATATACTTAGCTTTGATATATGCATATTTTCAAGAATGAATCTAAACTAAACCCCAGTGAAACTCTCCCTTTTAGATGGCGATGACACTCTTTTTTATATGGACCCAAGTACGGCGAAAGTTTATTTACGTTCTTATCTTGATTTTGAACGTAAATCAGCATATGTACTCACCATTCAAGTGACTGACAATGGTGTCCCTCAGAGAAGGTCGTCCACAACTCTACTCAGTATAAATGTGAAGGACATAAACGATAATGCACCGGTACTATCATCAGTTTTCATAATTACATGTATATCTCGCTATATAATGCCTATCTTAAACATTCTGAAAATGTTCATATTTCAATTAGGCCACATTTGTCAATAATCATCAACAATGTATTGCATTGTCATTCCATTTGAACACTAGGTCGTGGTACTTGGAGTACCGGCTTCCTTTACTTTTTGTTCAGGACGGTGCTTTCTGACCAGTCACATGATATTGGATGGACCAACATTGTTTTTATACAAACAAATAAAACCCGTTCTTTTTGTCAAGGTTACTGATTCTTCTTATTAACTTTAATTGGTACAATGAAACCAATAAATGGCAGATATCAATTTTCGTCGCACGCACTATCTTAGTTTTGTTAATGTTTTTTTGCTTAAGCCGATGCTAAGGAATGTGGACGGCGGCTTGCACTTAAACTTCTACCCATAAACAAGCTCAATCGAACCGAGTCTGCAGCATTTCAATTCTGCCGTTTTGGGCGTTCTTTAGGGATTCCGGTTTTCTCTATTTTATTGGTTTGGGAAACGTTAAATTTCATCAAATATATTGTATTAGTGCAATGTGTAAATGCATTTTCATATAAAGGACGTCACGATGCACTTCCGCTTTGAAATAAATATCACACACATTTGGAGTAAGAAGCTTTAGCTTTAGCTGGTGATCATGACTTTTTTTGTAGGTTTGCGAGGATTCATATGTCACGGAAAACTTTGATGAAACAAAAGAATCAGGTTCGGTCATCAAATTTCTTAAGTGCACTGACGCCGACACGGGAAACAATGGAAGGTTATCGTACACTATCACTGAAGGTAACTTGATAAACGGTCATAAGAATTCAACATGGGTTCTAGTTATTTGCTTTACATATGTGGCCGAGTGGTTAAGGTCGCTGACTTCAAACCACTTGCCCCTAACCGCAGGTGAGGTTCCCGACAGGAACTTTGGATTCCTTCATGTGAGGAAGCTACCAAGCTTGCTAGCTTACGGAACGTCGGTGGTTCTCCTAATCTACTCAGGTGCCCATTTTGTGTCTAAAATAATGCACAGAAGGGCACCTGAGGCATTCCCCACCAGTATAGATGGAAAGTCGCCATATGACTTGTACTTTGATGGTGCGACAAAATCCCTACAAAATACATAAACTTTACTTTCCCCCTTCTTTTTACAGAGTTTTATATATTTCTTGTACTGGATCAGTCATATGAATGAGAACACCGACATGAATCATTGCAATTTATATGGATCTAAACTTTAATGACCCAATGATATTAGTTATACTTTAATATGTGTAATAGTTATGTGCTTAAATACGTACTTGTTGCTGGGTCGTGTGGGGGTTGCGTTTCCTTGTTGATCTTGTTTATCATATTTTCTAAATTTAACAATTTGCCCTTTAATCTTATTACAGGAGACTATACCAAGTTTCGTCTACAGGGGCCATATCTTGTTCTTTCCAAAGAGATCGACGTTGACACTGAACCAAACGTATGGAGTTTGACCGTCGTTGTCCGAGACAGAGGAAACCCACGACTTTCTACATTAATTGATATAGTCATTTATGTAGAAGGTGTAGATGACAACGCACCTGTCTGGGCGCCGCCTGAAAATGGAAAATATGTGATCGGTAAGTTAAATGTGTTCTCGGTAATAAAATTATGTTGTCAATACAGAAAATGGACACTTTAAGTGCAAATATGTTGCCAGTAAATAAATGTAAACAAATGATATTATAGCAAACCATAGCCATAATTCTGTTGAACAAAGCATTAAATGATTTCATTGTTTATTGTGTAAGTAAAAGTGAAACTACAGGTTTAAAAAAATATTTAAGATTGAAAAAATACCACTAAATTGACATGTTTTACAGTAGATAAGTTAGCTCAACTGGAGATTTGAGACACAATTTTTGGCTGAACTTCATTAATTTTGTATTTATGTTCTCTCTCAAATATCGTTGCAGATATCGAGGAGCATTCGGCAGTAGGGAAGCTTGTTGTTCGCGTATCAGCAGATGATCTTGATAGAGACGAACATGATTCAGTTGTTGTTTATTATATGGACGACTATAGCAGTATTTTCACAATTAAACCGACCACAGGTTAATAGTTGTATTCATTGTAACTGGATTTCGATTACTTTTATTTCAGTAGGCATCTGTTATATAGCAAACCCTTTGATACAAACTGTTTCTTTATTTCTATACCAGCAATGGAGTATTCTGAAGTCCTTGTACATGTCGACTTTTTCTCGGATGTACACTGAAAATAATTTAAGGTACATAAAATGACTTACTTTGGTAAAAGATTCAATTTTTCTTTTATGAATTACGTAAATGTGAAAGGAAATTTGCAATTATGAATAATTATCACTGGAACTGAATTGAAAAAAAAACTGATCTTTGGATATCAATTTTGAAAAAAAGAATGTAAAACCTTTATTGATTTGTTAAATATTTGCAGGAGATATATTTTTAAGTCAAGAGCTTGATCACGAAAATGGAGGTACATATACAATACCAGTGTCAGCAGTGTCACACAATAACCCACTAGATCGCGTCAGTACGAACGTCATCATTAATGTGATTGATGTTAATGATAATACACCAGTATTTGTAAAGGTTGGTAAAGATAATGATATATATGTTATGGTTATTTATTTACAGCCAGAAAGATTCTTCAAAATATGTTACTAAGTCAAATACGCATACAATATTGTTGGTCTGTTAGAACATTACTGTTTATGCTGAAAAGTAGACTGTTTATCTAAAGGAACGCTTAGAAAATGATTTGTAATTTTCAACATAATGAAGATCATATGATTATTAATACATTTTTATGTATTACTTTCAAATCTGGAAAAACAGAAAAGAAGTTATGATGAATAAAATATTTCATGGATAATGGCCCAGTAACTGCTAGATCCAGTTCTTTAAGCGTTAATTCTGAAATTAATTTGACTAAAATGCTTTAAAAGTATGCGAAAATAAAAAAGGGTTTTCCTATAATTTCAAAATGTAATTTTAGGACGTATTTCAAGTATACGTATCGGAGGATTTACCAGTAAAAAGCGAAATAGCCACCGTGACAGCCACAGACAGTGACGCAGATCAAAATGGTGTTATTCAGTATAAAATTATCGGTAAGAATTCCAAACATTTTGTATTAAACCCTTTTATCTTATTGTAAACTTCAACTACTTTCTACAACTAAAAATCGCAATGTTTTTGTTGGATAATAAACTGTTTAAAAATTTGTAAATATAAAGCAGCAGTGTGTTAATTTTTACTTTTATAGGAGGTAATACAGATTCACTGTTTGACATACAATCGAAGACAGGCGTGATGTCTTTAATGGGAAACCTAGACTTCGAAACTAAGATTACGCACGTAGTTTACCTTCGAGCTTCTGACAAAGGACGTCCGACAAGATGGTCAACATGCACAGTCATTGTTTCTATACTGCCAGTCAATGAGTTCGCTCCGATATTTAAGGAAATGGAAACAGTCCTTATTCCTGAGGATACCACAATAGGTACTTTTCTTTTATTGTACAGATCGACGTACATTTCATTGAGCAATGATAAATGTTTAACAACAACTACTTTCCTAAACAAGCTAGTGTTGATTTAATACACCTTTTGTACACAAGTAATATAATGTGAATGAAATTATTATACATTAGCTCCACGCTTGTGTTCTTTGCACATGCATCTTTCAAGATAAAATACTAGAAAAATATCCTCTTATTTAACGTCTTTCGAAAAAAAAAATTAAAAAATCTATTTGTAGGCACCTCAGTGTTCACGGTTTCGGCAACGGATAATGATATTGGCATTGACGGGACTATATCTTATGAAATTGGACCAAATGAAAGCAGATTTGCGATTGAATCGCGTACAGGTGTCGTTCGTCTATTACAAACACTCGATAGGGAAACGGAAGAAACATTTAGCGTAAAAATAATCGCCACTGACATGTCTGAATCTGTCAGAAAGTCTGGATCAGCCGTTGTAAATATCAAGGTTTTAGACAGGAATGATAATCCACCTGTTTGTGAAAGCAGCTTCTATTCGAACAAACTTGTTCCACCCACTTCTAGCGGCGATGTGGTTCAAAAGTTATTATGTTCCGATGCTGATGAAGCAACAAACAGTAAACTTTCTTACACAGTTATATCCGGTAACACAAACAGTGACTTCTCAATGTCGGCGGACGGTAATTTGGTTGTCATGCAAAAACCTTCTTCTCCTGAGTATCGGCTAGAGATTCAAGTGAACGATAACGGCAATCCATCATTGGATACATTAGTTATGATTGTAATTAAAATTGGTGGAACGCCGACTTTTATTAATCTGCCACAATCGTTACAAATCCCGGAAGGTGTCAGCATTGGAACGCCCATTTTTCAGGTAAAAGCAGAAAGTGTGTCGCAGCAACTTCAGTTTTCCATAAAAAACATAACATCAAATGGAAAAAATACGGACATTACAAGACCTATCGTAAAAATTGACAAGATTTCTGGGCATGTTTTTACATGGAGTGACATTGATAGGGAATTCAATGATCATTACTTTATTGATATCGTTGTTAAAGAATCTATCAGCGGTAAAGAAGTTGAAAGTTCTATCGAACTTACAATACTAGATGAAAACGATAATATTCCAATATTTGACAAATCATTTTACAACATTTCCCTAATGGAGAATACAGAAGCAGGAACGGAGTTGATAAATCTAATTGTTTATGATCCAGATTTAAAGCAAAATGCTGCAATTTCCTACAACATTGAAAAGGGAAATGAAGGCAATGCCTTTGTTGTAGACAAAAATGGCGTTATTAAAACAAGGATTGCCGTTGACAGGGAGCGAAATGACTATTTTACTCTTATAGTTACTGCATCAGACAGAGGAGAAATCAGACTTACAGGCTCGGCAACTGTCCTTATTACAGTTTTGGATGCTGATGAATACATTCCTATGTTTATCAATGTAGGTTCGGATCTTGAAACTAATTTGCCTGAAGATACGCCCATAGCAGCAAAGATATTTACTATAAAAGCAAGAGATCTTGATGTCCATAAAAGGATAACTTATGACATTGATGAACATTCCAAAGAGCACTTTATAATTGAAAACGATTCTGGAGATATATTTTTGTCTAGACTCTTGGATCGAGAGAAGCAAGATATGCATACATTGATTGTTACAGCTGACGGAAATGGAAAATCTGTAACAGCAAGCGTAACACTAAGTGTTACTGATGTGAACGACAATGATCCAGTTTTTAGCTCCAATATATACAAGTTTAATGTACATGAACGTTCCAAAGCAGGAGATTTTGTTGGTACTATAGACATATCAGACGCTGATATTGGAGAAAATGCTTTAATCAGTACTTCGATAACAAACGGAAATAGAGCAAATGCGTTTGTGCTTCGGTCAGAAAAATTATACGTAAGTGGAAGTTTAGACTTCGAGCTTATCAATGAATATCTTCTTGAAATAGAAGCAAGAGACAGTGGAAATCCGCAAAGAACATCTACCGCGTCGGTAATTATCGAGGTCACACCTGAATATAGGATTCCAAAATTTGCTATAGATCTTGAAGTCATACATATGTCAGAAAATGTCCATGTCGGTAACTCTGTTTATGATGCTGATGGAACTCTTGACGGAGCTAGAGAAGGTCATGGAAATGATTTAATGTATGCTATAGAGAATGGAAATGAAAATGGTTTTTTCTCTATTACTTGGAATACAGGCGAAATAACAGTTGCGAGAAAGCTCGGCAAGAATTTAGTGAAAAATGTGTTTATGTTATTGCTAGTTTCAAAAAACATTTATAAACCGTCACTAAGTGACCGAATGACTTTGAAAATCGAAATAGATGATGTTAATGACAATAAACCAATATTTGAAAAGAACATGTATACTTTGAATATTAACGAGAATTCCAACATTGGAGTTAGCATTGGAAGCGTGTCTGCAACCGATTTAGACAGAGCGCAAAATGCTTTCATTACATATAGTCTTATTCAAAATGAAGATGCAGAAACCTTTCGAATAGACCCATTTATTGGTACATTAAGTTTAAAGAAAGAACTCAATTTTATGTACAATACGAATTATCAATTATCGGTGATTGCATTTGATAATGGATCACCTCGGCTTACAGGCAGCGCATACGTCACCGTCAATGTGATTGATGTAAATGATAAACCACCATTATTTGAACAAGAAAACCCAAGCATAAAGGTTAGGGAAAACTATGCACTTGGTAGAACAATTTACCAAATAAGAGCACATGATGGCGACACAGGAGTCGGAGGGGAGCTTTTGTATAGAATAGTTAAGGGAAATGATAACGGAACTTTTGAGTTGGACTCAGAGACTGGTGAGCTTACAGTTGCCAAACAATTGGATAGAGAAACGGAAAGTTTGTTTATTTTTGTAGTGGAGGCAGAAGATAAAGGGACGCCTTCATTCACTGGCACAACAACACTTTCGATCATAGTTACTGATGTAAATGACAACACACCATACTTTACCGAAAATTCGTATGAAGTTTCGCTTGACAGATTCGCACCAGTAGAATCCCATATTTTGAGTGTTACAGCTAAGGATGCCGATAATGGAGATAATGCAATACTTGAATATCAGATTGCACAGGATCATGATGAACTTTTTCAGATCGATGCCAAGTCTGGTCATATATTTACATTTTCTGATTTGACAGAAGTTGTCAATGATATAGAACTTGTTATAGTTGTTAAAGACAGAGGAATTCCAAGATTGTCAACCTCTACAACTGTTCTTATTGATATCCATCCTCCTTTGGTTACTGAAACTGAAGATTTTTCTTTTGAAGTATCCGAATATGCATCACCTAATACCTTTGTTGGTACTGTAGGGCCTTCTGCATTAGCATCATCATCAAGATACGCTATAGTGAGTGGAAATTATCAGAAACATTTCCGAATTTCAGAGGAAGATGGAAACATTTTTCTAAATAGTGTCATTGACAGAGAAAGCTACACTGATTATTACATTCGAGTTAAATCGACGCACAAACTGAGTCAAAATATCCAAACGGACATCTATGTTCATATTTCTGTAAAAGATGAAAATGATAATTTTCCGATATTTGAAAAGCAATATTACAATATTCTGGTTCTAGAGCATACACCTATTGGTTTTAGTGTTGCTTCTATCATCGCAAGTGATCTTGACGAAAGCAGTAATGGAAGAGTTACGTACAGTATAAAAAACGGAATTGAGGGTGATGCTAACAAGATATTTGATATAAACGAAAATGGCACTCTAATCGTGCAGTCGTCCATCTCATACGAGGCTGTTGAATATTTGAACTTTACAGTTGTTGCTAAAGACAACGGACAGTATTCTAGGCAAGGTTCATCGGAAGTGAATGTTCAGATCGTTGATATAGATGAAAATGTCGTTTCAGGGAGTAAAACAAGTGTTTCAACAGTCATTAATCTTGAAATGCCAGCGTCGACTTATAAAGATTTTGTTGTTGGTTGTTTAGAACCAGAAATGTTTGGCCTTAATATATCTGCTAAAAAGGTAAACTATCTTGCACAGTCTGGACACAATGTCTTTTCTTTAAGAACAGACACAGGATGTATCAAAGTGAAAAAAGACACTGATCTTAAAGACGGAGATAGTTTTCTGATTTGGGTGGCAGCAGTTTTGTTGACATCAGACAAAGCGCGAGGCCGCCTTGCACTTGTCCGCGTGGACACTTTTTCTCCAAGCAAACATGTAGTGGTATTTACGCATAGCGTCTCAAAAGAGGTTCTAGATTTGAATAGGTAAAAAAAGTTACATTTTCATCTAATCTTATAGCATTTTTCCTCAGAACCAATGTATTAAAAGAAAATATGGTTCATAAACTGATTTTATATAAGTAAATAAATGACTTCATTTTCGACGTTAATGAAGATCTTACACCATTTGTAGTTTTACTCAATCAAAAACATAACTAAATAACTTATTTTACATAAAAACATGTGTTGCTTTGTTCTTTGTTAAACAGTGACTTGCTTCTAGACCGTCTTCACGATTTGTTTCCTTCAAATCAACCAAGATTATGGAAAACTGAAGAACTTTTTAAACCTGTGCGGAGAAAACTGTTGTTTCAAGGGTAAGATACATATCAGAATTGAGATAATACAACATCGCTAATCCAGTGAAATATGGGTATCAGTATTTTGAGTGTTGTTAATATAAAGATAAATTAAGTGATCCATATCTTGATTAACGTAAGAGGCTTTGGATAATGGCTAATGGTTTGGTGACATGGCATTCTGAAATGTTGGTTAGTGTACTTCAAACATATAATGATTGAATATTGACATTATTTTACTTAAACAGCTCCAAGTCCTACATATACATCATTCGTGGCAACGTGACTGACAGCATTTCTGAGGTAAAGATCAGAAAACAGTTCCTTAGGCAAAATGATATTTTAAGTGTTCTTCAAGACCCAGAAGGCGGGGTATCACATGACCTTACTTCGGAAAGCTTTGATACATTTCCAGTTGTCTCCGTTGATCCGTACAATGATGCAAAAGTGGACGAGACGCCATGGGTACACACAACGATTGGAAAATACACACTTGGTGTTACATTGTCGTTCGTTATCTTGGCTATAATTGTTGCAGCGATCATTTACTGGACAAAGAAAAAGAGCAAGTCGTATGTCCGTTTGTTTATAAGTTGAAGTGTTGCATAATATGTCATGTAGCCTATATCTAATATTGAAATTGAAATCATTTCTGATTTTCATTAATATATTGTGACATGCAAGAATGATGAATAAAGATATAATAAAGAGATCCGTGGCAACGAGATAGTAAAAAGGAAAGAATAGGAAAGAGAATATGTTAACACGTAAAATAGAAGAAAATAACGTAGAAAAGTTAAAAACAAAATGCATCTCGTAGCCACGTAATAATAATAATAATAATAATAATAAATAAATAAATAAAAGTAAAAAAAATAAGCAACAACAATAAAATAACTCATGGCCAAATTCTATATATGAAAAAAGAAATTTCCCGCGGCTCACAATGGCTCTGCAGTTAACTTAAAGTACATACACCATGGACAATGTTTAAACGAAGTACAGACAATGTTAAAACTTTTCAAGGACTGTCGTTCATTTTATGTTCCTTCATATTTTCAGAAATGTCGTTAATGCAGAGAGATCGCCGAAACCAAGCCTGTCCGTCCGTATGTAATGAACTATTTACTATTTCTTGTTTTACCACTCTTAGATTGTACGAAAAGTGTTTCTTATTACAAGCATAATCATATTTTAACACGTGTATCAATATATATTAATAGTTTTAAATATGTATTTGATTTATCTAAAGTATAATAGAAACAACTGTTCAGCATTCCTATGATCTTGTATTTAAACTTCGGCGATTAAAATTTTACTTGCTGATTATGAAAAAGCCATTGTTTTAGCCATCATCTTTAGCATCATTTTCTTTCTAGTCCCTAACACAAACAAGTTCAATCCGAAGTATAACAATCTACGAAGAGCAGTAAGTAGTTGTTGTTTTTGTTTTTTCCTTTTCTTCATTTCCTTTGTCCTAATAAGAAACAAAAAGCAATGAGAAGATAATATCTTAAGCAATGAGTAGAAAACATTTTATTATTGAACAAGACAAAACATTAATTAATATCAATCTATCATCTAACTAATTATTTTTTGAAATAGGAACAAGAAAAATCAATAGGCACATCTAAATTTTAGAAATAGTTCCTGAAGGTTCTGTTTGGTTGAGTTTTTTCATTGAACATGATGATAAATACTTGCTTCTGTCCATATATAGCACCGAGGACCCGATTTAGCATTTTAATTAATTCAACGTACAGGTACTAGTATAGCTAATGGTACAATTGAAATTTGAGACTCGGTTGGTAACCGATATAGATGTTAGGTATTTTCATACATTTGATATTGAAATGAAATCATGTTACTCAATACATTGAAATAAAATATGAGAATTTTTCTTTAACAGTTGCGTTCCTTTATTTATTTGTAATGAATTGTGAGACTAGAGTGAGAAACAAACTCGTGCAACTGTAACAAGTTTTAACTTCATTAAAATGTGTTATATTTAAAAAACATTCGCGGATATTGCGCAAGCACTAGTATTTAAAGCATGTATATTTCTGTTATCAATTGTAGTCATCTACGGCTGATCTGGTTCCGCTTGTAAGTGCTCTAAAGATCCTAAGTGGTATGACAGAAAAGCAGAGGAACAAACTAATAGAGACAACTCTTGGCACCAAAGAAACACAAACAACAGGTATCACACAATGTGATGTAACAATCGTCATGGTTTTCAGGGTTTTTTTTTCTTCATTTATATATATATTTATAAGTATATTCAAATTTTTATTCTATTTACTCGTACTAGCTCATTACACTTTATAGAAGTGATAGAGTTACATTTTTATAAACATTTGACCTCTTTTTCTATTTTACAGAAGCTGAGAAAAAGAATGAAGTTTCCTTTAAACCGAAGTTTCTTACCAACAAAATGAAGACATTGCCATTCATTAAAGTGTCGCATCTCGACGAAGGTAACGACCTACGTAAACTATCTCAAGATGATGATAAGATCGTTCCTCTCAACAACGCTGCTGCGACCAGTAAGCAGTCAACAGCAAGAACACCTATCATCTCAGAACCGATTACGCCATTTACTTCCAATACTGAGGAAACATGTGCACAGGCATCGGATACTCAAACACCGGAAGAATTGGAACCAAGCAAAAACGTAAGAAAGGACAAAATTCCGATGACCGACAATAAAATAAATAATTGCTTTATGTAGATTCTAAGAATGTGTTTTTGGTAGAATTATATGGATCACAATACAATTTAATAGAGTATATGGTGTTGACCTAAATTTTCGAGTAAGGAGGTAACATTATTTATACGAATGATAATAGCAGTAATTAATGTATGTGGGTACACTAGAACGTTAATACTAAAAATTAATTAATTGAGTTATATATGTTTGTTTTAAATAACAGGGTGTTAACAAAACAGAAGTGCCAAAGCTGTCGAATCTAGTGGTTCCGGACGATGATAGTTTGTCCAGCCTTGACCTTGATGAAGTTGACTTGGTCAACGATTCTGCATCTGATACAAACAGTACTTTGAAAACTGTCCAAACTCCAAAGGTTGACAATGGTCCAATAGTTATTGGCGGGAAGGAATATGACGGTGTCGGTAAAGATGTTACAAGTGCGTTCTTTATATCACTTGCTATATTTATAATTATATATTTTGTAGTTAATATAGCAGACTAATAAGTTTATAACTAAATAATTATCTGCCTGTTTGTGAATGGTATTGTTTTGAAACAATGTTACACATTTTCATAGCAATGATTGTTTGACCATAAATAGAATATTATCAAATAAATCATAGAGTTATATTGGAGGTTAGTTCAAGTCCTTGATTGGAAAACACGTGGAGGGGGGCACGTCATTGTCCATCACGAAGTTGCCACTGATTGTTCTAACTGATACTTTATAAAACGCAGTGATAAAAACAAATCGTTAAATTAATCAATAAATGCTTAGAAGACTGCGTTGTTTGGTGCATTATTTCGGACAAAATGGACACCCCAATAGATCCACCGGATTTCCGTTAGCTAGCTTTGTCACATTAAAAATCCAAAGCCTCTGATGAGATTTAAACTTGCTGCAATGAGTGGCTAGTAATTTGAACTTTAACAATTCAGCCACGAGGGTCTTTACTAGATTTCTTTACTTCATGATGAATGATGCAGATGATTTTTGTACATTTATATAACATCTTGCATAAACATTTTGTTGAAGAAATACTTTACATAAAAGATCCATGAATAATGATTTTACTTAGCAATAGCGTGTTTATCATAAATCAAAACAAAAATCTGTTGTTTTTTTTTTCAGCTGGTAAGAAATATCTTTACAATACAAGAACTGGAGATAAGATCTACGTCACAGATGAGATATTGAAAGGCGCTGTTGAGAAAAGGGAAAGCGTTGTAACCAATGATTTTAACGAAAGACACGGGGCCAAAATGAGCACATTTAAAAGACCCCCGATACGTAGAAAAACAAGCAGGACGCGATTTAGTACAACAACTATTTGGGAAATGAACGTTGATGTTGATCCTAATCAAGATGGTAATGAAAGTTTAGATGATAATGTATTTGATACGAGTAAAACAGATAACAAAGAGTTGCTGGATGATTCCAAAACCATAAGGAAACGACGAACTGGTGTGGACTATACAAAAGGGAAACAATGCGTTAAATTCCAGACTGATGACCACGATAGAGAGATTGACACAAATTCACAAAAGAAAGACAGTGCCACAAGTATTGAAAGCATCGAGCTGGGCGATCCAAGTAAAGATGCCATAAAAGATGACATTAAACCTGAAGACGGTGCTGTAAATGCAGAAAAATCTGCTTCCAATGCAGAAAAGTCAAATAACGATGAGGATGTCCCTGATGAAAAAAACAACGAAGCTGAAACTAATGCAAATTCTACTGTGAAAACAAAGTTTGTGAGACCAATTTACAAACCACTTAACCTTGAGAATGTCACGTGCAAAGTTCCAAAAGGAAAATCGGAGAAAAAAGATTGTCTCGCAAAGGACCCATTTTACGCCGGCTGGGCCAAAATGGTTGGGAAAAGAGTATCTACTAAAACAGTGAAAAGGCCTGATGGACCCGCTAAAACTGTGACTGTTCGCCAAGGCCGTTCTCTACCGGCAAATATTGCAGGGCCTTTGTTGTCAAGTCAAGTACCAATATACAAACCGCAACGATTAATGACTCTCGATATTCCGTGATGAATTGCTTGCGAGGTCAAATTTCTCTCTGTAGAGAAAATTAAACACTCTATCTTGTCTTCATAATTGATATTTTAGAGGACATCATTGTTCCCTTTATACAGATTTTTTTTAATTTGAATTTCCTTTTCCAGAAAAATTATAAAAATTGGAATTGTAAAAAATGAGAGATTTCACTAAAATATGCTATTATGAATAGATTTGTATAAGAAGATATCATCCAATATCCATCAATTGTTCGTTTGTATAAAACTCATTGTCATACATATAATCAAATACTATAGCAATTTGTTTCCTTACTAAACTACACTAAAGTGCATGTACACGCACGCAGTTTTTGAAGTTGTATCAACAGTTTTATAGTTTTTCAAAACGATACCTTTCAAGTGAAGGTTTAATACATAAAGATTTTAGAATAATTAATTTAGCTTAATAAAAATATTTGTAGATGATTGTATTTTGATACTGACATAAACAAAATGAAGAACGTTGTTCAAAGCAATCTCAACAGGTTGAAAATGTTAGATGCTGTACATAGCTTTCAAGTATTTAATTTTAATGTCAAGTTTAAATATTAGAGGTTCTAAATATTTCTTTCGTTTTATTATCGCAATTGCGATTTTTCCTTTCAGAAATAAGAATTTACAATATATTGACATGACACTATTGTACAAATTAAAATCTTTTAATAGACATTTTACAGCAGTAAATAAACGCATATATATCCATGTGTCTTGTTTTCTGTGTGTTTTCTTTTTGTTGTTGGTGGTGGATTTTTAAGGCATCAATTTTCACAATTATCAGGGGCGGATACAGAACATGGTTTCCTGACAGAGGGGGGGGGGGGGGGGGCTGACATATGGGTGAAAGAATTTGACAAAATAATGCAACGGGCGAAAATTGAAGATTGGGCCAGCATCTTGTTCATTTGACAAAAATTATAATTGATGTGTTTATAGCTCATCTTATGATTGGCAATGTACTTTGGTTATATATGAGTATACTAATGTTTTTTTAAGTATTTGGGTGATACGGAATTAAGAAAAATATATATGTAATTGGGGTGGGCCTGGGAGGGGTGTCCCCTCCCATAGACCAAGAAAATTTTGAAATATAAGGTTGAACATGCTAATATTTCCTTGACTTTCTAATGCTGTTAATGGTACCATTTGGATGGTTTTACAAAACACTGTATTTTGTATAGGTTAGTGTTCACAGGCCAGGGTCTTTCAAAAAGAATTCCCCCCGGTGTTTAGTAGTGAGTATTCATAAAGTAACAGCACACTAACCAATGTATGCACAACTGTTGATATTACTCATCTGAATAATAGACGATTTTCCAAAGGAAAGTGGTATTAAAATACTGCCTTCCTAATGTACAAACAAAAATGATTTCAAACACTAGTATTCAATTAGAATTTTTTCCATCAATGAATCCATTTTAGATACTAAAGAGGTCAGTACAATTTAAATTTTATTTAAAAATATAACTGCCATAAAAAGTTATAAAAAGCATGCATACAACCAATTATTTCACTAAATAAAAATCTTAGTAAAACAAGTTATTAAAACGCGATTCCTTTAACATTACATGTATCTTAATAACACTTGCCATCTTTTTAATTTACAAATAATAATTTTCAATTTCTTTATTTTCTTAATTATAGGAAATGGAAAAACAAAGATAATAGAATATGATGTACAATGTAACACATCTATTTGCCACTATCTGTGACTATTAATTTTATTAATTTTAAAAATTTCGGGGGAGCATATAGTCGTCGGGTTGTCCGTCCGTCCGTCTGTCCGTCCGTCCGTCCGTCAGTCCGTACGTACGTCCCAAATTCGTGTCCGGCCCATAACTTTGTTATTTTAAGTCGGATTTTAAAATTATTTCACAGAAATGATCACCATATTGAGACGACGTGTCGCGCGCAACATTTGGGTCGCTACCGTGAAGGTCTAGGTCACAGCATGACCTTGCAGCAAAATCGTGTCCGGTCCATAACTTCATTATTTGAAGTTGGATTTTAAAAATATTTCACAGAAATGATCACCATATTGAGACGACGTGTCGCGCGCAACATTTGGGTCGCTACCTTGAAGGTCAAGGTCACAACATGACCTTGCAGCAAAATCGTGTCCGGTCCATAACTTCATTATTTGAAGTCGGATTTTAAAAATATTTCACAGAAATGATCCCCATATTGAGACAACGTGTCGCGCGCAACATTTGGGTCGCTACCTTGAAGGTCAAGGTCACAGCATGACCTTGCAGCAAAATCGGGTCCGGTCTATAACTTTGTTATTTGAAGTTTGATTTTAAAAATATTCCACAGAAATGATCAACATATTGAGACGACATGTCGCGCACAACATTTGGGTCGCTACCTTGAAGGTCAAGGTCACAGCATGACCTTGCAGCAAAATCGGGTCCGGTCCATAACTTTGTTATTTGAAGTCGGATTTAAAAAATATTCCACAGAAATGATCACCATATTGAGACGATGTGTCGCGTGCAACATGTGGGTCGCTTCCTTGAAGGTCAAGGTCACAGCATGACCTTGCAGCAAAATCTTGTCCGGCCCATAACTTCCCTATTTGAAGTTAGATTTAAAAAGTATTTCACAGAAATGATCATCATATTAAGATGACGTGCCATGCACAACATTTAAGTCGCTACCTTGAAAGTCAAGGTCACAACATGACCTTGCAGCAAAATCGTGTCCGGCCCATAACTTCCTTATTTGAAGTCAGATTTTTAAACTATTTCACAGAAATGATGACCATATTAAAATGGCGTGTCATGCGCAACATTTGGGTCGCTACCTTGAAGGTCAAGGTCACAGCATGACCTTGAAGCAAAATTGTGTCCGGCACATAACTTCATTATTTGAAGTCGGATTTTTTCACAGAAATGATCACCACAATGAGACATTGTGTCGCGCGCAACATTTGGGTCGCTACCTTGAAGGTCAAGGTCACGGTATGACCTTGCAGCAAAATCGTGTCCGGCCCATAACTTTGTTACTGGAAGTCGGATTTAACAACTATTTCACAGAGATGATCACCATATTGAATCGACGTGTCGCATGCAACATTTAGGTCACTACGTTGACGGTCAAGGTCACAGCATGACCTTGCAGCAAAATAATGTCAGGCGCATAACTTTGTTATTTGAAATCGGATTTTACAACTATTTCACAAAAATGATCACCATATTTAGACAATGTGTCGTGCACAATTTTTGGGTTGTTTTTACACTTTGAACTTTGTCTGTGACATAACTCTGACACAACAAGAGGTATACCTTCCTGTGTCCAAAAACTATTCGGGGAGCATCACCCGGTTCAACCGGCTCTTGTTAGACCTTTGGAAATCAATTATGCAGTTTAAGCATTGAAGTCATTGAAGCACGTTGATAGATAAAGATCTCTGCAAGCCCCCAGGCAGGAGATTAACAACTGGATGACAGCAATTACTGTTTTGATAAGGGAGTACACTACAGCCAATAAAGTTTGAAACTGCCAAAAATATATTCCAGCCCAACAGATAAACGTATCTTTGGGCTGAGCTGGCGGGGGGGGGGGGGCTGCAGCCCTGAAGCCCGGGCCTGAATCCGCCACTGATTATAATGCAGTATAAACTAGTGAAAAATCAGGAATCGTTGTCTTTGGCTTAATTATAGAAACATTGCTTTAATAATTGCATTTAAAATCAATAAATGTGCATATATGAACAATGTCAATATGAAATGACATCAATGTCTTCCATTATTAAAAATTAAAGCTTGCATGGCCTTTGCATTGTGTCTGAATAAATATCATAAAAAAGAAAGTTTTAAGCTCATTCTTATGGTGGCATATTTCTGCCACCAGATAACCATATAATTAACTAGTTAATTAAGAGGTTAACTAGTTACGTAACTAGTTAACCTCTTAATTAACTAGTTAGTTATCAGGTTAACTAGTTACGTAACTAGTTAACCTCTTAATTAACTAGTTAGTTATCAGGTTATCTGGTGGCAGAAATATGCCACCATATATACTGTCATACGAACTCGTATACATAGGCCTTCTCAATGTTTGTGTTACAGATCACATCTCACGTTATTTTCTGTTATAGAATATCTTGTAAAAGAATGTCATTTACATACATCTACCATATAGCATGTATATGATAATATTTGTTCCTTAAATGATAATTATCCTACCCTTTAACAATAGCGCTTAATAATTGTTTTGACCGGAGCCCTTTAATGCCATGAACGTCGTTGTTTGTACATGTACATTCAAATTACAACAGTCAATTTTATATTAGTATTTAGGAAATAATGCTTAAAACTTGTTCAAAAATAATCTAGAACATGGTGCTCAAAACACAGATATATTTCTATCTAGGACTTAAAAAATGGATATTCATGCATAATATATTTGTTGATTTTCACACAATTTTATATATACAAATGTACTAGTATGACAGTATATGTATTAAGTGATATCTTGGTTTACTAGTTGTGTAGTCTGATAAACGTACTGGGAGAGTATACGCACTTCGTGGGTCCAAATCATACATGGAACCGTTTAGTTCTATCTAAAAAAAGTTAATACTTGTTCTGGTGATAGTTGGCCTTACATTTATACCATAATTCTTCAATGCATTAGATTTGACTCAGGAAAATGTTACTATATGTGTTTAAAAACTTATGATGACTAACATGTCAATTATTGTGTTTAATTTGGAAGTCGATTCATTTGAAACATCCTTGAGCTAAGTGGGCATTATTAATACAAAAAAATGTTAGCATTTGTTTTACGATATATGATGAACTTCGGTATCCTAAAGATGAGTATCAACATAAAATGTCTTAGATTTTGCAGAATTGCCTATGTTACATTCTGATTTATTACTGGTAAAAAAGGCATTAAAACCACAGGATAAGAAAACAGACTTATCAATTTATTCTTTTTGTTTCATGGTCTTAAGAGAAGAGTGTTCAGATTAACTTGTAAAGTAGTTTTGAAGAAATATATTCGGTTAACTTGTCCGCCAGATATTGAAGCTTCGGGTGTATTTTCAAAGATTTCTTATGGAACTGATGATATTACATAATCTTTATCTCCCTAATACATACTTTTCGCGATCCAATGATTTAAAATTGATGGACTAAGACACTCTTATAATGTTGATATTTCCGGGAAGCTAAACAAAGTTACAACAAAATTATGATATTTTATTTCTAAAGAACTGTTTTTTATTTACAATAAAAACAAAATACACTTATTGATTATATCAACACATAAAAAGTAAGTTTTGTCCCAATAATGAAACCTATAAG